TCCGGGTGTAAAGACATCAATCCCGATGGAAAACTCGTCGAATCCGATGAAGGAGGGAAAGGCAACGGGTTCGAAGCCTCAATCTGAGTGACCAATTCGGCGACACGATCCGTAAAAGAGTTAAACATCATCGGTACCAAGTCAGCAGCAAGAGTTATCGAATCCACCATGCTGTCAGTTTCAGCGATGGCAGATCTGGATGGCGAACTGTGCCCTCTTGTTGAGTTATTAGATATGGAAGAGTTGGAAGTTGAAGGTATTCACCATGAGACATTCGAAGAAGTGTTGAAAACCATGCTTGTTGTGGTCACCATGGAGTTATCAATAGTCCTGTGGCCCCGTCATGGGCTATCTTCGATATTACTCTCATAATGAGGGAAATCGGAGGGAAAGCGTAAAAGCTCATATTGTCCCAGGGGATCATAAAGGCATCCCCTAATGATCCTTGTCTGATTCCTGCTCTCGAACAAAAGTTCTCGCATACCTGTTCTGCCAGGTAGCAAACAAGTTCATATCTGGATGTCCCCAGCGATGGAAGAGTTGGTCGCATATCTCTCAATCTAGCTCCCATTCATGGGATGTGGACATTTGTCTGCTTAGAAGATCAGCATCAACATTGTCCATACCGGCTAGATGTACTGCTACTAGAGCAATGTCTCTTGGGATGCACCAATTCCATATCTGCATCGATAGTCGAGCCAGAGTGGGAGACTTCGTCCCACCTTGTTTGTTCAGATAAAAGACTGTAGCAATGTTGTCCAAGGCTATCTGAACTACCGATGCCGAAGAACGTCCTCGAACGATCGTAGAGCCTTGAATACTGCCAGAAGTTCCAGGAAGTTGATATGATTCCTGGACTCCTGTCGATTCCAAACACCTTGAGTGTGTAGACCGGAGCACAGTGCCCCCCGTCCGAGCAGAGATGCTTTGGTACCGAGAGTCACTGTAGGGCACCGAGTCCGGAATGGGACTCCAATGTTCAAGTTGGCTGGGACTGTCCACCGTATCAAAGATTGTAGAACGGAGGATGGGAGCCGAATCAACTTCATAGGCAAGTCCCTTTGTGGTCGAAACATCTTGTTGAAGAAGAGCTGAAGGGGGCGAAGCCAAAGTCCGGCATGTGGAACGACGGCAACTGACGTGGCCATGTGTCCCAAAAGTCTTTGGATAGATCGGGCAGGAACCGTCCCCTCTCATTGCATTTGAAGGATGTGTTGAGCAAGAGTGCATTGTCAGTCTTGAGGAAGGAATGCCTTCGCCACTGTGGAATCCAGATGGGCTCCGATGAAATTGATAATCTGCGCAGGAACAAGAGAGGATTTCTCGTGGTTAATGCAAAGTCCAAGATCCTGCAGCAGGGTGCAGGTCATGTTTATAGAGGGAAAAAGTACTTCTCTGGTCTGAGAAGCCAATAACCAGTCATCGAGGTAGGGGTATATTTGAACACCACGTAGTCTGAGGTATGCGCAGACCAGAGCCATGCACTTTGTAAAGACCCTTGGGTCGGTAGCCAGCCCAAATGGGAGCACCATGAATTCGAAGATTTCCAAAACAACAGCGAAATGGAGGAAACGCCTGTGACACGGATGGATCGAAATGTGGAAATAGGCGTCCTTCAAGTCCAATGAGGCGAACCAGTTCTCTCTCCTCAGCAACGGTAAAATATTTAAAGGATGGTCATCCGAAATTTCTTCGGTGTTATAAACTTGTTAACAGCTCTTAGGTCCAGTATTGGCTGGAGACCCCCATCCCATTTCAGGACCGTAAAGTATCTAAAATAGAAACCGTGGAGTCCTTCAGATAGAGACAAGTGACGAACTGCTCCTTTAGAAAGGAGCTGATGAACTTCGCGTAACAACACCGGCGAGCATGGAGCAAACCGGATCGGACTCGATGGAGGAACGATGTCGAATTCTATTCAATATCCATGCTGAATGATGGATAACACCCACCGATCAGATGTGATGGACTCCCAGATGGGGAGTCGGCCTTTCAACCAGTCCCCACATGAGAGGGGGAAGGGTGGGGTTGGGAGTAGAGGAAAGGTTCACCCGCCCTGTCAGCACTGGCACTTATCCCCGTCAAAACGGCGGCGGCCTTGTTGGAATCACTGGGGCGGTTGCTGTCTGCGGCGCTGTTGGCGGTGCTGTGGCTGTTGTCGGGGCTGGTATTGTTGCCGGTATTGCGGATGGGCCCACAACCACTTACATCAAGGCTGAGGCTGTAGTTCCATATGACGAGCCGTCATCCTATACTCGTGGATTTTCCTCAACTTGTGGTCGGTCTTTGTGTTGAAGAGGCCGGACCCGTCAAGGGGCATCTCCTCAATTCTCCTCATCTCCTCCGGGAAGTTGCAATTATGCAACCAAGCATGCCTCCAGAGGGATATGGCATGGACTAAGGCCCTCGAATCGGTATCCACATGGTGTCTGGCTGTGGAGAGCTGTTGTATTGTGACCTGCATGGCCTCCTTTACGAAAACCCATGCAAGGTCGCCTTGGTTGTCTGGGAGAGTGGCAATGATGTTGTCCAGGTGCTGCATTATAAAATACTGATAGCGTGCCAATGTCTCCTCGTAATTGGAGATTCGCAGGCTGAGTCCAGAGGCCGCATAGACTCAGCGTGCGAGGGAGTCGATCTTCCTCCCTTCCTTGTCACGGGGCATGGTGTGACCCCGTAACTCCCAGCCCTGAGAAGACTCCACCACGACCGAGTTCGGTCTAGGGTGACATAGGAGGAACGGAATGTCCTCCTCTTGTACATGGCTTCATATCTACTTGATGTTGACTGAAGGTGAGCCGGGAGGTCCCATGGCTGGGTCATCGCTTGGCGCAGAGTTGTGATGAGTGGCAAAACGATGGAGCCAAGAATGGGCAAATACCAGCATGTTGTAGCTTTAAGCCCTGCCTGTCAATAATGAAGTCTTAGAAGAGGCACTTCTACCTTGTAGTATGGGGAAAAATTATATTGTTATTTATTTTATATTGTTATTTTTGTATTCTATTGTATTTTATTGTGTTGTAAGCCGCCCTGAGGCTTTGGCAAGGGGCGGCATAGAAATGTTTTAATAAATTAAATAAATAAATAAATAAAACAGTGCTCAGTCTAATCTACATTACAGGGTTGTAATGACAATTATCCAGACAACAGCCATGGACTCTGCCTTGCACTTCTTCAAAGACAGGTGAGGCACTTATATAAAAAATGAAAAAGCATCTAGTTTACCATTCGGTAGGCAGAGTGTGCTATACCTGAGCACAGATGTTGGTGTGGCCTCTTCTCATGTTGAGAACATGGGTGTTACTATAACACTGGGTTTTGGGAGGCTTTATCCAACCATGGCTGAAGAGAAACCTAGCACATCTCTTCCCTGCATTTTAGAAAGACCTTCAAAGGACAAAGGGCTGCAGCCACACTTAGCCATCTGTCCTCCTAAGATTCCTCTGTGGCCCTGTTTTCATCCACTGCAGGCTGCTGCTTGCAAAGCAAAAAGTGAAACCTCACAGGCACCAGTGGCTCTTCTTCAGGGCACAGGGAAGACAAGTGCAGCCTCACCAGTACTGAAGAACACACTTGCATGCTATTTTGCATTTAAGCAATCCCAGGTGCTCTGCACAAAGCCAGTGGCTGAGGGGAAAGCATCCAGTACCTGCTATAGTTCAGACAGACACGTAAAGGTGCACATCAGTTACATGTGTATAAAGTTGGATGCAGCCCCTTTCAGTTGTCACTACAGCAGCCATGCCATCGAACTGTAGCAGTGGGAGGGTTGGGGAGTCAGGCCACCTGGCTCCTCCTGCTCCCAAACTGCTTCTTGTTGCCGCTGGTCATTACAAGACCTCCTTTTCTTTTGAAGAATCCATACCCCATTCTGGGAGCCTTTTTGACTGAAGGACAGGGTAAGGCTTCGAAGCAATAAAATGCCTGTTTGGGTAAAGTGGTCCTTTGACTATGAACTGTAAGGCTGCGATCACTGACTTCACAGGTAGTTGTACAGTACAAAAATGGCCATGCTTTGCATGTCCTGCCTTGTAGGCAAACAGTGCAAACTTCTGAGCACTTTTTGCACTATGGAAACTCACTATGATTACTGGAAGTCCAGCACAAAACTGGAAGTGAAAAGTGAAACCTGGAGCAGCTGCACGCGTGGTTTCCACTTAGCATTGCATGGAACTGATATTAGGGTTGCTCCCTTGGAACAGCAGTGTTGCAAGATAACCAGCTGTCTAGGGACGTAGCCTATATTTAGGGGCAGGGGGAGATGGGTTTGTTCCCTTGGATTCCCTGTATATGTAGAACATCTTGCTTCAGCACAACAGACTGGATCAGGTGCCCCTTGGAAGGGGTTGCATCCAGCTCTATAGGCATGTTACTATGGATGTCAGACAAGTTACAATGGACTTGAATTAGCTTGGATTTCTATGAATCTATGGCTGCAGAACCAGGATCTCAACCATTATTCTGGAATAATTATCTATACAAAGTACAGGACTGTAATCTCATTTATGGGGGACATGATTCTATAAAGGGCTGGTAGAGGGTCAAGGAAATCAAGGAAAGATGGGAAAGCCAGTGGCAACATTTTCTTCTCACTTTTTCATTCAGTCCAGTAAAACAAGCCTTCTTATCATTCAAATAATGTTTATTGTTTCTGATAGAAAAAAGACATCTTCCTGTCTCTTTAGGAAGCCTCAGCCTTTCAAGACCCACAACCCTTTCCTAGAGGAAGAAGTCCAACACTGCCTTTGCCTTTCTGGACCGCTGAGGAGAAGTCAAGTCTGGAGAAGGGGCAGCAAGCAGTAGACTCCCTAAGCTAGACAAGGACGCATATTGTGTTCCTAATCTGAGGGCAATATTTTGTGTGCCACGCTTTGGCCTCCTTTCTTAGCAGGCACTCCCATCATGGCACACGTTGGGGCAAGCGCCTGCCAAAGTCCTTAGAGATTTAAATCTATCTGCAGCTGCAGTCTCTCTGCGCCCCACCAGGGGGCACTTTTTGGTCAATAAGAGGGGACACAGGCCATCTCATCAGCTAAATCCTCTTCTTCACGGGAGCGGAAGGGTTCCTCGTCACTGTAAACAGGACCCAAGCTCCCGACGCCACTGTGCTCCCCATCACTGCTGTACAAGATGTGGCCACTGGCCCCTTGGTGGCTGCTTTCACCTCCCACAAATTTGCGGCTCAGCAAGTCTGTTGCAGCACTTTCCATTTCGTCAATGGTCATGTGGCAGGCATCTGCTATCTCTCTCTTGGTGAAGGCCACAAACTTGGGGTCCCGTGCGTAAAGGCCAAGGCCCTCTGAGATGAGCACCTAAAAGGCAAAGAAAAAAGGGGCTTGCTAGGCAAAGCTGTGGAGCTCATCTTCCCTTACCTAGTCAGGGGCTTAGTTGAGACGTAGCACCCAAACCATGGGTAGGAAGCTAAGCTATGGTTTAACATGAGGTCTGAATTGACAAGCCATGATTTTCAATCAATGAACAAACTAGAATGAGAAACCAGGGCTTCAAAAGGACTTGCCCACGATAGTGCATGCATACTGTGGTGTGGCCTGGCGACTGATTGGCACCATTAGCCATCTGCTGTCTGCCTCCAGAAGCTCTTGCATCATGGAAGCGGAAGGGAAAGCCTTGGTCTAAGAGGCTGGAAAAGATACTCAGACAAGCGGACAGCCTATTGCATGTCTGGAAACTCAAATCATGGCTTTGCTTGTAAAAACACTGCTGCAGTCTTTGAAGGTAGCCAGGGAGTTGTGCAAACCAGGTTCCCAGTAGTCAGGGAAGGTGGGATTTCAGTACCCTACACTGGCTCCTTCCTAATTTATCATGGCCAGCAGAGCCAGAATGAACCATGCAAATTAAATACACACACAGACGGATGTGCCCAGTTAGTTTCAGACTGCAACATTGCATTTGCAGTCTTTCCAGTGATGAAAACTCTCATGCCATCACCATCAAATGCGGGATTCTCCACCAGTGCCCTACAAGGGAATGGTTTCCATACCAGGAGGGCTAATTCTAACTCCAGCTCTGCAAACATGCACACAACACAAGCCAGGTAGTGGAGCATATCCTGGTGCTTCCGGGTCCGAGTCTCAGCATGGGGATGGGGCAGAGGTGGGCCCTTGTCCCCAGAGAGATGCAACCTTGAGAGAAAGCAGCCCGCCCTGCACTCACCGCCTCCACTAGGCTGTCTGCACTGCCACGCTTGTCATTGTAGCTGTGCTTGAGCTGGCTGGGCACGTGGAGATGGCCGTAGGTGCGGTAGGGCAGCTCGGGCTCGTTCGTGTACCAGCGTGCCCGTGACATGGGAGGAAGGCTGCTGCTGTTCTTCTCCCAGCTGCACCCTGGCAGGCCATCCTCTTCCACCAGGATCAGTGGGGCGTAGAGCAACCGGCCCCGTTTTGGTGGGGTGGCCCAGGACTGCAAGGAAGCTGTTGAGGAGCGGCTGCCACTGTGCCAGGAGTCATAGCTGCCATAGCCCTGAAAGAGAAGGCGAGATGCATCACAATGGACTAGTCTCAACAGCACAGTCATGCCATACCACAGATCCCCCGTGGGAAGGTGTCAATTGGTGTCCTGCACCAGTACACGGTTGGACTCAATGGCCTTCATGGCCCCTTCCAACTCTGCTGTTCTATGACTTTATGATTCTATGCTGTGACCCTAGGACAGGGTCTGGGCTAACAAAACACTGTGTTATCACACAATCCCTTGCTGGAGAACACAGCTGAAGTCAGGTCACAGCTGCAAACCCCACTGGAAGTGTGGCTGATCCTTTGCAGAATCGTGCTCGAATTCCACAGATGCACCAGTCTGCAGATCACAAGGTGGCCCTGGGGACTTGATGGCTAACATGCAGACCCATGTTCACACCGTCGTGGGACATGCCTGGGCAAATCCCCTCCCCTAGCCCACCCTCCCTCCTGGGTTGTTGTGGAGATAAAACAATTCTCCAAAGGGAGGACAGGACACCAAGACGGTGGACCAGGCTGAGGAACCCTTAGGAAGCCTCCACATGCTGCTGGACCACTGACTAGGCTTGTGGCAGGTGACGGGACAACATCAGAAGGGTGGCAACTGACCCGCCTCTGGGATGGATGGATGGAGCAGCTATGTTTTATGACTGACTCATTTGGGGAAAGGTCACAGCTTAGCAGCAGCTGCTCTGCATGCCGAGGGTCTGTCCTTAGTTCGGTCCCCAGCAACTCCAGCTGTGGATCTTGGGGAGGTCCGGGAAAGGTCTCCCCCAAACAAGACCTAGGAGAGCGTTCCCCAGTGAGAGCGGACAGCTCAGAAAGAGATGAGCAAATGGTCCAAAGCAGGACAAGGCAGCTTTGTGCATTCATGGACAGTACAGCTGGGTGACACAGAACAGCCATGCAAGAGGCTTCTGGGAGCCAGCTGGAGAACAGTCGCACCGCTCTGCTTGCTGCCAGGGCTGCTTAGATAAGGCAACATGTGGTATGAAGTGGCAGGCCACAGGCACAGCTAAGAGCCGGCCCAGGCAGCAAAAGCACATGGCAGTGATGCAGCACTCAAGTGACTCCCGCTCTAGAGAGAGGCAGGTACTGTGCACTCTGCAAGGAGGTGGCTAATAAGGCAGGGAGAGCAGCTGGAAAAGTGCCAGAGGGTGTAGGTTTGTGCTTCGACTTTGTCCTGCCTGGTAAAATGCCAATCTTCCATTCTGCCTGAGTCAGGCCACATCAAGGCATGGTGGGCCTGATCCATCCAGCATATGAAGCACTCCCATCAAAGAGTGCTATTAAGTACAGGCAGACAGAGTGCCTTTCCCACAATCAGTCTTCATGTGTTGGGATCAGGAGGGAAAGGATTCCCAAAGCAATAAGCTTTGTACTGTAGTCAATAAGGGAATTCCGCCCATGCCTTTTCTGCTTTAGAAATGGAGCCCTGTGGATACACGCACTGCTCTTGCACTGGGTGCCAAAATTACCTGTGCACGTGCACGGCAGGGTGGTGCATTTTGGTGGTAGGTGCCTGGGATGGGGATGTCGTCACAGCTGCCCTGGCGCTGCAGGCACTGGATGCTGAAGGCTGGCTTACGGCCTAGAGGGGTGGGTAGAAGGAAATGACAGAGGAAAGGTGAGAGGCCCTGGTGGGGAATGGCCATCGTCTTCCGCAAAGCACATTCCATCAAGTTCCTCATTTATCTGAACCCAGCCACTGCCAAACTATTCATTTTGTAATCATTTCTGGGTCACCCTTCAATACATTAAAAACAGATTACAAGAAACATTAACATCAGCACAAAAATGGCAGACAACAATAAAGCAGGATACCCTACGCAACCCTAATGTCAGTGCCCCCCCACCCTGCTCCCGCCCCAAACACCAACTCATGTAAAACTATTCTACAGAAGTTTACAGAGTTGGAGAGATAAAAAGATTTTCATCAGACACCAATGTTTGTCACCCAGCCATCCACCTCTCCGATTCCTTCTAGTCCTTCTCCATAATCCAGCATTGCCCAAGTGCTTTAAACTTGGATCCTGCTTCAAAATTTAATTCTATCTTTTGCTTTTACTCCAGCTTACCACTATCCACCTCTCTTACATGCAGTTTATATGTGCAGCCTGCTGCAGCAGGTGAGGTACAAGGGTGTCTTCACCAAGGACAGGGCCTGCACAGCTTTGGCCCCACCAAAACAGACACGGGCTGCCCATCTGCTGTGTGCTGAAGCTTGCCAAATGAACTGGAGCCCCTCAGTTCTACTGACTTTCTGCACTGGCCCTTAACATAAAGACACTCTTGACTGGCTGGCTGGGGCATCAGGTTCTCAAAACACAGGCCCAAGTTTGGTACTGCTTCAAGGAAAGAGTGAGGCAGCAGCGGCATGTGGCACTGGAGTCAGGCAAGGGGGCTGGTGGGAGGATAGAAGGACCAGCAAAGGAGAAAGTCCTTCCTACTGCCATCCTCACAACCAAGCTCAGGCTAAGTGTTCTTTCTCTTCCCACCCACTGCTTCAGAGTAATTCCTCAGCCCAGTTCAGCCCTTCAGCAGGAAGGATCCAGCAAGCCAGAGCAGCCCACCAACAGCCAGGCTCCTGTGAAAACCTCACATTTTTGCTGCCCCTTCAGACTGTGCATGAGCAGCAGGGGGTCAAATATTTAAATGCTCTTCCCCACACATATCCACAGGAAGGTTGTGCCGAACCCCCTGAGGCACTAGTTTGCTATTTGCAAGGACCTTTGTTCTCTCCACAGGGCAACTTTCAAGCACGGGACCCTGTCAGCCCATAGCCTGAAGCGGTGTACACCTTTTGCCAGTTGATCCTGCTGGGTGTATGAAGTGAAGTGGCTTTTGGGCAGGGAGATCCTGGCAGCACAGGCCGAGCTACCCAGAGTCTGGCCATCCTGACCTGTGGGTGTGGGAGGCAAGAGGCGCCTACGCTTGGTTTGCCGGCTGTCCAATCCTCCGTTGACGAGCCCACTGTTGATGCACCGGGAGGGGAGCGGCAAGGAGCCGCCATAGCCATTGTCCCAGTGACGACGGCGGGGTTGTGGGTTGTGCAGAGCAGGCGGCCTGCAAGGGAGAGACACAGAACCCTGAATGCCGTTCCTCGGAGCCAGTTTCAGCCAGCCATCGTGTGTCATGCACCCCCCTCCCCCAGCAGTGGTGGGTATTCAGATGACCATCAGGATACATACTCCTGGGGCATCCACTCAGTGCCTAGCTTGGATGCCAGCCACAAGGAACTTGTCCTAATCACTAATCCACACTGTGAGCCAGTTCGCATGATCACCACAGGTGGGCTGCGATGGCTCACTGTGAATATCCAGTGGGGGTTGCCATGGTTTGTTTTGCCCTTCAAAACCTAGAGGCAGGGTATAGTTTGAATGTTAAACAATCCTTAAATAACCCTACCACAGATCATGGGTTATTTGAGGGTTGCTTAACCCTTGAACTACCCGGACATCTGGGTTTGGGTGACAAGACAAGCCATGGCCAGGCTTGAAGACAGAACCAGTTACCCAGGTGCCACGCCTCATTGTGACTTTAAACTATGGGGGGCTGCAGTGATTGTGCAAAGCAGGTCACTGTCACACGGTGCTTCTGTGATCCTGTTAGCAAAGTGGATCTAGGGACTGCTTTTCTGTACACTAAGTGCCACATGGGTCCAGTGTGGATGGAGGAATCCATGCAATTCCTTCCTTCACTAACTTTGTCTGATTCCCAAGGACAGTGACAATGGCACAGGAAGAGAATACAGTGCAAGAACCTGGCCCTGCGGAAACAGTTCCCGCTCTCTTCCAATGATTGAAGATTGTGCTTGTGTCTTGTCCAAATTTGCTCTCCTTTGTCTCAACACCTAATGCAGGGGTCCTCAAACTTTTTAAACAGGGGTCCAGTTCACTGTCCCTCAGACTGTTGGGGGGCCGGACTATACTTTAAAAAATATGAATGAATTCCTATGCACACTGCACATTAGAAATAATTAAAATAAATTGAAAAATTAATTAAAAATGAAAATTAATTAATTTTTTAAAAAATAATTGAAAAATAAAAAATGTTTGCTCCACTCACTTGGGCTGTAGCAGAAGCCCAAGATGAGGTGGGAAGAGTATGTCCATATTCAAGGGACATAGCTAAAATGTCCACGATCATGCAGGAGGTGGGGGAAGATGGGTGAGATAGTGGTGGAGGGGGAAGATGGACATGATCACGCTTGTGCTGGGAAGACAGGTGTGATCGCGATCGTGCTGGGGTTGGGGAGATGGCCACGATCACGCCTGTCTTCCCTGCATGAGTGCGACTGCGATCAAGGCCATCCCCCCCCCCCCCCCCCCCCCACAGCATGATTGTGCAGGGAAGATGGGCACAATTGTGCCCATCTTTCCCCCCCAGCATGACCGCAATCGCACCCGTCTTCCCTGCATGAGCACACCTGCAACTGCGGCCATCTCCCCACTGAGTATTCCTGCGCTGGCTCAGAGCTTTTGGACTCACGCGGAGATCATTTTCTCCAAGAGAGTCCAAAAGCTCTGAGGTGGGCTGGATAAAGGGGCATGGCGGGCCGTATTCAGCCCGCTGCCTGTAGTTTGATGACCCATGATCTAAGGCTTACCTGTCACGGGAGGCCAGGCTCTCAGAGTCCTCCTCTCGGCTGTAGTATCCCTGCTCAATGGAGGTGTCCTCCCCATAATCTTGGCCATGCGTGGCTTCTTTGTGCACCGTTGGTGGGATGCAGCTGCCCTCAGAGCTCCGTCTGGCAGGTGCACAGGACTGTCAAGAACCCTGAAATCCAAGCCCCTGCTCTTCCACCCAGCCGCACCCCGCTCAGCCCCACAACCACCTTTTCCCCTGCCCAGCACCTGCTCATCTTGCGCCGGGAGGGCATGTTGGGCAGTTCAGAAGGTTCGTGGTTATCAGCAGCATCCTCCTCATAACAGGCTGGCCCATTGGTCATGTGGGAAAGGCCAACACTGGAGGGGTGCCGGGAGCCCACGAGGCCATTCATCAAAGTCTTGTTCTCCCTGTCTGGTGAAGTTGCAGTGGTGGAGGTTTGGTGGTCAGGGGCGGAGCCATACAATGCCTCAGAGCTCTGTGGGGAGGGAGAAGCACACCTGCCTTGGAAACCGGTACTCCTGTGATCCACTGCTGCCTTACATCCCTTCCCCTGAAGATTAAAGGCCTGCAGCGAAGGTGCCGGCTGAGTATTTCAGAGTGCGTGAACCTCAGTCCTACTCATCTCTGGAGCTCCTGTCCACACCAAGTTCTCCTTTCTTCCTCAAATTCGTTTCCTTCTGACACCCTCCCTCTGACCTTCTGTTTTCCCTCACATTACTTTGGAACATTCTCAGAGGGTCATCCTTATTAGCACATCTGATATACAACCAAAGCAGTTTTCCACTCTGACTTCCAGCACAGGACTGTGACCACGGAGATACCAAGGCTCAAAAGAGGGCTGGGCAACTTGTGGTCCTCCACCTGTTTTGGCCTACAGCAACCACCAGTTCTCACTATTGACTATGCAGGCTAGGGCTGATGGAGGTTGTAGCCCAGCACACCTGGAGGGTACCAGGTTGGGGACAGGGGGTCTAGAATAACGCTGCTTCACTGAAAATTGCATCCTATTTCAATGTACAGTGGAAGAATTGGCCGTGTGGGATTCTAGGCTTTTCCTGTTTCTATGCCCATTCCTTCTTCTAACCCTCCTTCCATGGTTTGCTCAACTCCCTGCCTCTGATGCATCCCCTTCCTCAGTCTCTTCTGCTTGCCCTGCTCTGCTGTGCCCCTCTGCCTCATCCAATGCCAGCCAGAGATACTTCTGCCCACCTGCCTGCCCACCCTCGCTCTGATATTAGGCCAGCCAGCAATTTCCCCAGGGCTACCTTCCTATTTCACAGATGGCAAGGCGGGGAACCTGCAGCCCACCAGGTGGTGCTGAACTAGAACTCCTATAATCTCTGACAAATGGTCATGCTGGTTGGGACCGATGGGCATTGGAATCCAACAACTGGAGGACTACAGCTTTCCGACTCATAAGAGCACAATACACTATACAGATTTCTCTTGCACAAAGATAATCCTTTGGGTAAGGATTAATAATCGTAGGTCTGTAGCACAGTGCATGGATCTGACTATTACACTGCAGGTTTTATAGTGCTTTCTCTATAGAAATCATCTTTGTGTAAGAGAAAAGTCATTAGGCCCAATCCACACTTGTGCTAAAGCTGGGTTGGCCTTCTCTATTAGATCTTAACTTAAGATTAACAGGAGATCTGGGCTGCAATGTGGGAAAATGTGAAGTAACTGGAAGGACGAGAGCAACTCTGGGCATATGCAAAGTGCCATTTAACTCACTGAAAGTTGAGCTAAAACAACTCTCCTTTTAGAAATTGGTTATTAATAGTTTACAAGCTATGTACAGTGCTATCTTTGCAATCTGGGGACAAAGAACTTTCAGTGGGCACTCTTTACCCAGAAAGAGAATGGCATACAAAATAAGACAAATTCTCATATTCTGTGGCTTCTTTGGGTATTGCCTACAAGGGGAGAAAGGTGGGCTGCTGCTAGCCATGGGGTCTCAGCAAATGCCTGATCAGGCCACCTTTTGGAGCCAGCCCTGGCAAACTAAAAGCACATTAGGGGGTTGCTCAGCAAACAGAATTCATACTCTGTTCCCCAAGATATTTCACAACCTCACAGTCTCACCTCTTCTACACTACAAAGCAACATATTGCACTCAAATCTGCTCTCCCAGAAATTCAGCAGCAGCCCAATTTGAGCAGGGAACAGCAGGTATGCAAAAGCCAAGAGCACAAGCTAGCAGAAACAGTTCTGATTTGCATTTAGGGATAAGTCTTCTGGGAGGAAAGCTGAGGGAACAGAAACCTTGATCTGCCTTTCAAAGTAAAAACCTCCCCACCAATTTTAATGCAAAATCACCCTGCGATTCCTTCTACAACAGCTCATTAGATCCACTCTGAGGTGCCATCACACTCTGAGGAGGATGGCAAGCTGAACTGGAACCCAAAGGACAACAGGAGGGAGCATGGGGTATCCTAAGCTCAAGGTTTTGCCTGGCTTGCTCTGAGGGTTCCTCGGTGGGTTTCCTGCCTTGCCCCAAAGAACACTAGGCTGTCAGCTCACCTGGTAGGTCACTGCCTCCTCCTCACATGTGGTTCCCTCTGCTTCCCCCCCTTCTTCTTCTTCTGCCAGGTCACAGGACATGGCGCGGCGGATCTCCGGTCCCAGGTCCTGCAAGCTCTTCAGTCCAGCCTAGAGGGGAGAAAGGCAGCTCAGCAACGGGCTCAGCCACGCTAGTACCCTCATCACCTTTCCTGCCTCAGGCCAGTCAAGGGGCCCATCCCCAAGCTGGGAGACTCACCTGCAAGGCAGTTGAGTTGCTGGGGGACCCATCTGGCCCCAGCAGCCCCTTCTCCTTCCGCTTACGGAACTTCCTGAAATAGTCCTGGATCAGGAACGTGGCATAGAACTTGCCAACTGTGACTTCCTCCTCTGTCAAGGGAAGAAGATTGACGTGGCTGCTTGTTAGGAGATGCAGCTGCTTGGAGAAAATTAGCCCTTCCATAAAGCTCCATGAAAAGAGGCAGGCTAGTTTTACAAAATAGGGAGTCCTGCGGTCCCATTGAGAACATGTGGCTTAGGGTGCCATGGCTGCAGGAATCTATTTTTAGCTTGCAGCAGAATGGCATGGCTGCACTCACTAGCCTGAGGAAGTTCACATTTTCCAGAGCTGATCTCCTTCTTGCACTCAGAGTGCCATTCCAGATGAAGGATCACTTCATTTCAGTTTCATGTCACAAAATTTGAAATAGCCATCATGAGTGGAGCTGGCACCAGGCAAAGCTAGCAGCCACCCTGTGGCCCATGAATGTTGAAAGGGCCCACTGAGTCAGCATGGCCCCTAATTCCCCTACCCTCATCTCCTTTGACACTCCAGAGACACCTGGAGAGAGCGGAACCATTGCTAGGATAAAGCACCAACCTTCTGGAGGGGGTATCACTTCATCCAGCAGTTTGGGCTTGGTCCGCTTCCAGATCTTCTTGATAACAGCACGGAGCTCCTTGTTGGCAACATCCAAGTCTCCTACAAGAATGGGACAGAGGGAGACCTTCAAAACAATCTACCGGATTCTTGCATGAAGCAGCCCCAGTGCTACTGAGTGACACCACTTTGGGCTGCTCTTAGAACTGCAGGCTGTGAATATGGTGGGCGAGGGTCCAATTCTGATGAGTGTAGGACAAAGTGAAGAGCAAGCAAGAGCTTCTGGACTGGGCAGCCAACTTCATGGTCAACAGTGCCCTCCAGACACTTTGGACTGCAAATCTCATCACCGCCACTCAGCACAGGTTATGGGAAATATAGTCCAAAGCCTGTGGAAAGCACCAGGATAGGGAAGGCTGGCTTACACCCTGGGAGTAGCACTGCTAGGCCATTTTCAAGGAAACAGGGAGGGTGGAGCCTGGGAACAGAACCTATGATTAATGCTCGTGCTCTGTTCTGCTGGAAACCCTGCCTGGGGCCTGGAAACACTGACTTAGCTGATCAGCCAGCTAGCATTTGTCCTCACCACTGATCCCTCTTCCTTCCTCACCTTCACTCTGTCTAGAACTGCCCAAGTCCAACAGAAAACGAAGCCGGGCTCCACCTGCTTTCCCACCAGGAAGGGATTTTGTGTGGAGCAGGTGGGATGGGGTGCTCTCAAGAGATGAGAGTGCCATTTGCTGCTGGCAAACTGGGCCTGTGAAAATCCTGTGATGGTGCCTGAGGAAAGGAGCGCTCTCAGCATATGCAGAATGTGCTTCCCCATCACCAAGTAACCATTCTGCACATGCCAAGAAGAACAAGTCTGGGACCTCACCTTCCGTCTTGATCTTAAGGGATGTCCGCACCAGGGCGAAGAGGGTGGCATTGAAGGTGACCGTCCCATCCGAGTTGAGGGGCATGTTCATCGCCACCAGCCTCTGCAGAGACAAAAGCCCACCAAGGGTCCATGTCTCCTCCCCTCTCCAGCCACCCCCCACACTGCTGAGCCACAGAAGCAATCACAGGTGAGCCCTGGATGGTGGTGCCAGGACTTCACCATGGGGCCCTATTGCTGAGGCATGAGAGAACCTGGGTGTCACGTTCTGGAATTACCTTGCAGGCTACTCGGTGGGGGCAGAGTTTCCCAAAGCCCAGGGGTGGTTGTATCCGGCGCAGGAGGGTCACCACATCGAGGTGCTTGATGCGACCCCTGGAGGAAGAAAAGCATTGTGAATGTTTGCATTTACCAGACTGTTCCAACCAGTTGCTCTCCCGAAGTTTTGACTACAATCCCCATCATCCCCAGCAGTGGGTTCCCAGTGGACATTGCTTCCCTTGCTGGGACTGCAAGTGGCAGCAGCCTAGATCAGTAAAGTCTTGGATTAGAAAAGGGACCCGCATCTTTAAAAGTTCCCTGTCAGGGAGAACCAATACCATCCTCTCCTCACAGTCCACCCCTAGGGATAAGAAAGTGACAATTCCAAATGGCCATCTTTACTGTCCCCTGCAGTACCCTGCAAAACTACAAAATATTACAGGAATATCCTGTTATTACTTTTAGTGGCGGGAACTGGGATTGTGGGACCCTGTATTATTGGAACCTGTGGTTTAGACAAGGGGAGGTGAGGATCAAGGGCTTCAAGAAGATCCAGACATACCAGCACTTGCTGGCAGGGGTAGTTACTGGAATTACAGGTGAAAAAGTCATGTCACTTACTTGGCAGCAGGATCGTACTCCGACCAGATCCTCTTGAACTCATCGAGATGGTGGGGACCCAGAATGGACCAGTCTCGGGTCAGATAGTCAAAATTGTCCATGATGACAGCAACAAAGAGGTTAATGATCTAGGAAGGGTGAGCTAGAAATTGGAGGGTGTTCCCAAGGAGCCCACAGCAGGCAGAGAGAAAGACTACACAGGCAAACAGTCTGAGACTACAAACTGTTTTGCTTGAGGCTGTTCATTGGCTATATCTCTTTTTGGTTTTGCCACAGAACCGAAGCACACAAGTACAGTGGTACCTCGGCTCACAAACGCCTCAGTTCACAACCAAATCGGGTCGCAAACAGAAATTTGAAAAAAATTTGCCTCAGGTCGCGAACTCCGCATTGGATGATGATCGCAATCGCGGCCATCTTCCCTGCACAAACACTCCAAACAATAACCTTCTCCCCACCCACCACGAGGGGGAGCCATGAGGGCACGCTCACCTCCGTCAAGGCCCTCCCGGTTCCTCACCGCTGCCCCACTTCCAAGCCAGAAGAAGGTCCCCTTGCAGGCGTTTGCCCGGCTCCAGGAGGGGGAGCGGGAGGCCAAAGAGGCAGGCACGGGGTGGCTCCCCCAGCTGGAAGGGGGCCACAAGGAGGGAGGTAAGGGATGCTTTCCGTGGGCCGAGGCGAGTGGAAGCGAGGGACGGGGCCGCGACCGACCGAGCGGGGTGCCTCCCACCTCTCCCCGCAGTGACCACCCCTGGGCTCGTCAAGGCGGCTATGGCCTGGGGACAGGGCTCATACTGTATTTTTGTGGTTTTAAAAAAACCCATATTTATTTATTTAAAAATTATATGCCATCCTTTATGTATAACATAAAGTTATGGTAAAGAACAGATTAACCTTATTTACATTGAACCTTATGGGGAAATTTGACTTGGCTCGCAATCAATTCCGGTCACAACCAGAATAGTAGAACGGGTTAAGTTTGTGAGCCGAGGTACCACTGTACATTTCCTTTCCTGCTTTTCCACCACCCACCCTCTAGGTGGCAATGTGTTGTAGCAGTACAGCACTTGCAGACAACTGAAAAAGCATTTTCTTTTGCTTTCTTAATTAAATGGCCCATTTATTTCCTTAGCTTCATAGGATAATAGAGTTGGAAGGGGCCCAAAAAAATGTTAATAGAAAATGTTGGTTATCTAGAAAACCAAAACTGGAGGCTTATGAGGTCATCTGAAGGACGTGTAGACAACCATGAGTAGGGAATGACAAGTGCCTCATATGGAAAAGCACTATGAATATTTACTCAGAACTAAATGATGCTGAGTTGCTCAGGGTTTATTTCCAGGTAGGTCCACATAAGTTTGTAGTGTCAGGGCCTATCAGCTCTTTCTTATGGAAACAGTTCTCAGTGACTTAATGTGGCCTCAGAAAGAGCACAGCAGTACCAGTGTGGAAAAAGAGCGCCTTTGAACAGGTCCTGTGTCCATCTCCTTCCCATGCTAATCATTTCCCACAAGTCTCAGGTCAAGGAGGAAGGCTGCCACATTGGAAAAGAAGCCTCAGTGTTGCTCACTGAAGCAATTAAGCCTTGATAAATTATGCCCTGCCGCCCCCCCTGCCCCGCCTGCGAAGGAAGCACTTGGGGAGACTACATGTGCATTGCCCAAGTAACATCTCCTTTGGCATTCAGGGCACCCAGTTGGCAAATGGCAGGAAGCCCCTCCAGATCCCAAAGGCTTGGAGGACTGCAAAGTGGGATTTGTGGTCGGGCAGGGATGACCCCTGTGTCAGGGGGCTGGCTACAACCGATGAGTGCAGAGGGCAGGGCAGGGCTCTCCCTGCTGCAGGATCTCACCAGGAAGGCACAAAGCATGAAGAAACTGATGAAATAGACGATGGCAAAGTTGCTGCCGCAAGTGAACTCCTCCCCAGGCTCATAATCAGATTCAGGGTCGCAGCGCTTGCCCGGCAAGCTGGCCAGCATGATCTCTTGCCAGGCTTCTCCTGTGGCACACCTGGAGGGGTGGTGGGTGAAGGAAGAGAGTGAAAGACCAAGATGCCTGGGGGCAGAAGAAGAGCTGGCACAAAAGCCCTCCTGAGGTTTGGCTGAAAGGTCTTGCAGGAATCTGGGAAAGAGGGACAGGTACTTACCCACCTGTCTAGAGCTACACGTGCTCAGGAACACCATACATGACAATCAACTCACTGAGTGATCCTGATCAAGAACTCAGTGGGCCTATGTTTGTCAAAGGGACAACTACTTTTGCTTTTGAAAGGGGTGTGTGAGAGAGAGGTGATGGGATGACTATTGTGCTGGCAAAATTGCTGCCCTTACTTTGAGGTGTAGAAAAAGAAATAATGCAAATATTCTTAACATTTGAGAACATAAAGAGAGTCCTACTGGATCAGACCATCTAGTCCAATATTCTGTACTTCAGTATCCCTGGATAACTAGGGGCCTCACCTGAGTTTGCATAGTCATATACTATAATCTTACCTATAGGCAGGAATGGGAAGGAGAACAAGGAAATGTACAGCTGAAGCGAAAATACAAGCCCAAGAACGGGGAGGAAAAGAGGTACCTGAAGAGCAGCAGCACAGCTTGCGGGAAAGTCTGGAAGTTGTTGTTGCGATTGATTGGTGTCCCATCCTGCATGGCCACTTTGCCAAAGGTCTGAAAAGCAAGAAAGCCACTCTCAGGGTCATGCCAAGATGCAATGAGCAGAGTCCAAACCGTTCTGCTGTAAACAACCCAGCCCTCGGCTCACCTCCCTGTAAGGGGCAGAAGAGGAAATGTGACCCCATTGTGCTGCTAGAGTAGCAGCAGGAAGCACATTGTTCCCTCCTGGACCAGCCAGATCTGTCTTTCTGGCTCCCGTGTGTTGGCTCCAAGCCCTGCCCAAATATGGTACATTTCTCACAGACAATGCTTGACCTGCTCCCTCAAACATGTATGTGGTGCTCTGGTACATGTAGGTACATACACACTCAGCCACACACTTGATGTGCACAGGCATCTGTTGACTGCCCTGGTTTTAGAAGCATGTACCTGTTATGCACCTATTATGTGCAACAAGGGCACACCATTTCAAGCAGGCCCATTCATAGCTGTGACCAAGCACGAGTCATTCAGAGCCATATGTGGATTGATTTGCGTCTTGCAAGCCCTCCAGAATGCTGGCGAGGGTCTGTGCTCACCTGCATGCCGATGACAGCATAGATGAAGAAGATCATGGCAATGAGAAGAGCAACATATGGTAGAGCCTGGAGGCAGAATAAGCAATGAATTTGGAGGATTCATCAACCCCCGCGCCCCTGCCAGACCCAAAGGCTGCCTGGTGGAGCCCAGTGCCCAGCACGTCGCCCCACAATCACCTCCTACTGGGCCTAACATTTCATGTTCCCCCACGTGTTCTGCTCTTTCATGCCAAAAGGGGAAGAAACACAGCTGGGGTCTACAGTCCCAGATTCACAGGGGAGGCAAGTGTCATGCTTCTGTCAGGAAGATGCTGACCTGGAAGGATTTTATGAAAGTCCAGAGCAAGGTACGGATGCCCTCCCCTTTGCTGAGCAGCTTGACCAAGCGCATGACGCGAAAGAGGCGGAAGAAGGTGATGGAGATGCGGGAACTGTCCTCTGAACTCTGCAGTGGCAGAAACCAAATTTTCATGACAAGAACTCTACAAAGCACGCATGCACAAACATGCATGCATGCAGCCATTGCATATACCCAGCTGACCAGGGTACAACTAGCCCAACATTCAAGTTTCCAGTAGAAACCAGCAGTATCTGGAAGTTCAGAAGTGTAGCATGGAGGTGATGGCCATCAATTTGTCTGCCAAAAGCACCTGGTGCTTGGAGGTGCTCTGCACCTGTTCAAGGTTGTTCCATTTGGCTGTTATAGCTAATACCTAAGTTATTCCACCCACCCATATTCACATATCCAAAAATGCAGGGACATGCATGCATCGGGCACATGAGGCCCATGGCTCCCTGCAGGACAGAGCACCAAGTCCACCACCGAATGCAGCCACTGCATCTTTTCTCACGTACATGGCTGCCTGCTTTGCCCCTGGCTCAGGCATCTCATTGGTCCAGGATTAAGGGGAACAGGCTTGTGTGGTTGCTAAGCAACCATGCTACTCTCCTGTTCCTGCATCCATGAGCAGCAAAAGATAAGCTGGGTGGGGTAGGAGGACATGCATGTTTAGGAAGGTGGCAACAAGAGCAGTGGGGCTGGATCCAGTAACAAGGATGAGGAGGGGAAAGCCTGGCATTTCAGGCAGAGCCACTGAGGATCCCCGCCAGCCCATCCTGGGATGCAGCACCGTCAGACTTGCAACATCAGCATCTGCCCTGCTGGTATTTCCACAGCAACTTTTGCATGCAAACACTGTGTAACCTTGCAGTGTTCTTGGACCTTCTCTTGGGGTGGTCCCGCAGATGGTGTTGACCTGCAGCCCCCATCAGATCTACCCAACACAGCCAATGGTGAGGGATTGTGGGGACCACAACCCAGCAGCACGTGAGGGCCACAGTTTGCTCACCCCTGCCCTACACAAACAGAATTTCGTTCACCAGTGTCAGGACCCAGTCCACAGCAGCTGAGGGATCTCAGCTGGGCCCCTAGACTTTGGTCACCAGTGGCCAAAGAGGGGATTACAGGGAGACCAATCACACCAGGCAGTGGAGCTTCCTCAGGGCAACAGTCCAAAGCAAATTATGTGATAAAGACTTCTCGGTCAGATCTGCTGCCCGAGGAAGGCTGCCCTAACCACTACAACATGCGCTGACTCTCCTATAGATGTGCCTATCGCATGCACCCATAGCCTGCCCTCAGGCTTGCTTGAGGTCAAACACAGGTGCAATACCTCTCCAACATGCCCTCCATTCTATGCAGGAAATGATATCCATAATTGACAACGACGATGACGATGGTGGTGGTGGTGGTGATGCCAACAACAACAGTGAAGATGGGATTATATTTTGTAACATCCAAAGGGAGGCAGCATCAAACAGGTAAGAAAGAAAAGAAATAGAAGAATGATTGTGTAGATGGGTAAAGGAAAGATAAACAGAAAAGAGATGGACAGTACATGAATAAATGATGTTTCACACCAAAAATCTGTCTTCTCTTCTACATTATGCATATGCAAAATCTGGAACAGAAGCTGGCATCTGGCAAGGAATTTTGCTTGCTTTGAAAGCAAGTTTCTAGCTCTCAGAGTGGCAGTGGAGCTATGTTGCAGTGATACATTAAACAGAAAGATCCAAACATTCAGGATATTCATCACGTACAAGTATACACAAGGAAGGAGAATACAAAGTCACTTTACAGGGCATATGTGGTGACAGCATCACTCACATTGACTTCGGTGACAGCGATGTCCACTACACTCCCAACCACGATCAGAGCATCGAAGGTGTTCCAAGCATCACAGAAATAGTGCTGAAAAAGAGCAGCAGAAAAGGCCTCTCTGCAACTCATCCTGCATGGAGGAGCCGCAGACATCCTCCTCCACTACCCATCTTCCAGCAGCTTCCAGCATCATGGAAATTTCTGCAAAGTGGCCTGGGATTTCTCACATGATCGTTATTCTTTTACTTCTGTTTAAGTACAATGAAGGCCACCATGCATGTGAAAAGGAGGTTCAGCCTGTCCCACCCAGCTGCTTTTTCCCCTTAAATTCAGTCACACACATACAACTCCTGTGAGGATTAAGAGGTGGGGAACTCCACCACCATCAGGGTGCCCACAATCTACAAGGCTCCCTGTTTTTAAGGTGTTTCCTTGAAACACAGAGAACATGTGACTCACCAGCAGACTCTCTTGTAGAAATGTGACAGGTTTCAGGATCTCGCACATATATCTGCCCATGCAAACACCACAAATCCCCAAATACCACTACGAGTAAAGGTTGCATGGGTAGGTTTGCATTTGCCCTTCTTCAGCCTTCCTCACTAACACTTGGCTTCAAAGGTTCAGCCTTAGGAACTGATGGCTGGCAAAAGGCCAGTGGCTTCTGCCCTTGCCTTTGCATGGAGCAACCAAGAATTTCAGGAGCCATGTGAAAAAATTCTTGGATTGAATACCCTGCCTCTTCTGGGATGAGGAGCCCCAAAAGTCCTGGACTGGTACAACCCCAAAAGCCCTGGTTTGGAGTTTTGCCTCTCATATTCTCTTTTAGAGCAAGTGATGCAGAAGACTGAACAAAAATTGTTTTAAAGCAGCATGTGTGAAAATGCTCAAACGCTGCAAAGGTGATGGCTCAGTTGAAGACTGCTCTGCAAAATAGCCCAACAACAGGGCTCATGGGAGACTCTGAAGCTAAACTTGAAACCTCATTGTTGTTTGCTGGGAGCAGAGCTAAGAATCCCCTCAGCAAAACATCTCTTGAGCAAAATCCCCAGCCCCCAAACCTTGGGCTTGAAGGCAATGATCTTCAGCACCATCTCGACAGTGAAGAGGCCAGTGAAGACCATGTTGAGCAGGTCCATGACGTAGTTAAAGGGCTGGGACTGTTCATAGTGCTGGAAAAGGAGACATAGCACAAAACATGTAGAAGCATCTTTGGGTGTTGGCATCTCAGGCTGGGAGCTGTTGTGAATTGCTTTGCAAGAGAAGCCGGCTTCAAGAAATCCAGTTGAAGGAAAGCCTGCAAGCCAGCTTTAATAGCTTTACAAGAAAAGCACTGCCTCTCCCAAGTTCCTTTGCCCTCCCTCCTCCTTCCCTGAGCATGCATGGATTAGGCAGAAACAGGAGGCCCTCCCACTGGCAGGAATATGACTGGTCTGCCAAGACACAGCTTTGTTTGCACACAAAGATTTCAGCATGTTTCTCCCCTGGACTCACCCGCACCTAAGTAGCACCTAACCATGGTTCCAGCATGCAAACTTCTCCTATTCCCCCCTGGGATGGCCACCTCCACCCCAAGAGTAACTGCCTCTCCTGATCTCTTCTCCCACCCCAGTTTCTTCACCCTCAAGGACCAGGCATCACACAGCCAGTGCGCACCACATTCTCAGCACATGCCAACCAAGACCTGGGTTCCTCTTATCGCTGCAGGCTTTGCTACTCTAACCCCTCAGACTCAGCCTTTCCTTCTCTTTCCCACCACACAGAACTCTTCCACGCCAAAGTGAAGAATAATCCTTGCGTCTGACCTCTGAACATTTATTTTTAAGTAGGGAGACCACCTTTCTTCCCTTTTCCATCCAATGGGGTTCTCAGGAAGTCCGCCATCCAGACCACAAGCAAACCCAGGGCAGCTTAGCTTCCTCAAGATGGCTACACCATGCACCCTCGGAATATGACCTCACCCTCTTCTTAATGTATTGACTTGTGGACCCATCAGCTTAGTCCTCCTTGGCTGGACTTATGGCTTTCTCACTGGGAGCCAAACTAGACAGGACAGGGGCACTCCTGTGTTTGTTCATATGCCTGCTCCACTGATGTATGAAATGGAGGGTTGTGGGTTGGGGGAGCCTAATTTTTATAACAAAAGGAGCCCTCCCCACTCTCCCGGCTCACTGTGTGATGCTCCCAGCCTGGCTCACTTGCATGACTGGAGCCAGGTGGAGGCAGCCTGACAGGGCAGCATCACTCAGCTGTTCCATTTGTGGACAACATCGGACCCTGTTCATGTTTTAGACATGAATGGAACGGGCAAGTGAAGGCTCTGGCTCCCCTGCCCAGTTTGGTATATATTGCCCCCATCCCATCCCATCCCATCCCATCCCATCCCATCCCATCCCATCCCACCTCGCCCCCACCCCCACTTCTTGCTGTTCATCTGACCATTCTCACCTGTACAGCCAGAGCAATGGTGTTGAGTAAGATGAGCACAAACATGATGTACTCAAAACCAGTGGAGTTGACCATGTACCAGAATTTGTACTGATACTTGTTCTTGGGGATGTAGCGCCGTAATGGCTGGGCCTTCAAGGCGTATTCCACACACTGGCGCTTTGGAGAGGGAGAGAGAAAACATTCAGCCGGCAGGGAGTGAAAAAAACCTTCTGACTCTCATTCTCATAGACAAGAGCTTTCTTGATCTCTTTGCTGTCACTCCTTGAACCCATTTCCCTTTGCAGGGCAACTGGCAAAGCACCTCTTTCAGCCCTGAAGCCCACATCAAGCTCCCGATATCAAAGGCCCTCCTACTTCTATTTCAACCTTGCTTCCTTGTACTCGGCTGCTTCCCCAGCCCTATGACCACCCCCATTATCTCTGCATGGTGCCCCCTCCTTTCGTCATCACCACTGCTTCAAGATGTCTCCTGAGAATGTTGCCCAAAGCCCAGGCTGGAGAAACAGGAACAACTGGCTCCAGGCCACTGGTGCAGCAGCCTCAAGCAGGCACTTGTGGCTCTGCTTGGCCTAGCACTGGGGAGGACCTGGTGCAGCACAGTCCTGCAGCCTTGCAACCCTGTGGGCCACAGGCATCACCGAGATCTGGCCCTCCCTGTGGTGCCTCTGCACGCAGGGTTTTGGCACAAGTGTGCTTTTACCACCACAGGGCTGACACTTGATTGGTGCTTCTTCAGCCATGGAAGGATGACCCAATAGTCATTGAAAGCATTCCGGGGGTGAGACAGCAGTAAAAGGCACAGTGCAGAAAGTTCTGGACCATAAACCACCTGATTTTGCCCTCTGGACAAAAGCAGTTGTCTACCCTTTCAAGAGACAACAACTCTGGCACTTAAATACTGTGGTCTTATTTTTCTTGGAATTTTGGTTTTTCACTTTCAGATGATGATGATGATGATGATGATAATAAAGTTGCAATTCTATCCATGTCCTTTTTCCACTTGCAAGGAAGCCAGTCCTCCTCCACTCCATTTTGTTCTCACAACAGCAACCCTGTGAGGTGGGCTATGCTGAGAGGGAGGGACTGGCCCAAAGACACCCAGCAAACTTCATGATCAAGTGGCAACCAGAAGTGAGCTCTGCCAGGTCCTCGGTCCACCACATCACACTGGCTCTCCCACCATACCACACTAATTCCCTGCTACTGTAAATAAATTTCTTCATATTTTTTTAAAAACTGTACACTGATAGGGGCTTTTACTTTGAAAGTTTGAAACTACAGTATAAAACCAAAGTCGTATTTTATATTTCAGCTGTGCTGCATGTTTTAATTCCTTGAAATTGTCTAGAGTGCTTTGGCTGTTGGTGGTGTAGAAATGTAATAAATAAGCCTCTATATTCCTTTGCTCAACGCAGGGGCTGCTACCACATTCTTCTTCATATGTAGGGCAAGACAAAGAGGAAGAGTGGTAATTTCATCCCCACTGACGGTTGCCAAGCAGTGAAGTGCTTGACTGCTAAAGTTAATCAGTTAATGTGGATCTAATCTAATGTTGTTTGTGGTGTACTGGGGGAGTGGAAACAGTTCTTTCTACAAGCAGAGCACCAAGTGTGGGTGTGCACGCATGCCCGGCTGCAAGGACGACAGGCACCTGGTTCTTGTCCAGCTCACAGTTCTTGTATTCTTGCTCTCCTTGTGCCCGGAAGGTGATGATGACAAAGCCTACGAAGATGTTCATCATGAAGAAAGCAATGATGATGATGTAGACAATGAAGAAGATGGAGATCTCCACCCGGTAATTATAGATGGGCCCTTCATTTTCTGCATTGGCATCAATGGCTTTGTACAGAAGCCTAGCATGGGAGAGGCAGCAAAAGGAGGGGAGCATGAACAAAGAGCAGAACGGTAAGAAAAGGGATGGACTTTGCATGTCCCAACCTCCTTTCATTTCAGGATCTATGTTTCAGTGTAAGCCACTCATTCCTGGATAAGAAAAGATCCCGCTAGACTGAGCTCCCCCTTCCTGTCCATCACTGCGGCATCAAGCATGTGACCTTCACCACTTTGGACCATGTGCCACTTGCCTCTGGCCCCCCACCTGGCTGATGGTATGTTCCCTCCTAACCATAAGGATTTCCAGTCTGCCCAAGGAGTCCCAAAAACTGAAGTCCTGGTGCCAGCCATCAGATTAATCCAGCATGGCAATATTTGTAGCTATTGCAAGTGTGGGTGAGAAGAGATGAGTAGGTCTTTAATAATCACACTCCTTCTATTTATGCCTGAAGAAGGCAGGAACAAAGTCAACAGCACAATACCTTGGGGATGGCAAAACAAAGTCCTTTCACACTTTCAAAGTTACCAACAAGAGTGTGAGAAGTCTCAGATTAGTGAGCATCAGGAAAGCATGTGTGTTTCAAGTCTCTCTCTCTCTCTCTCTCTCACACACACACACACACACACACACACACACATACAATTCCCACTACCATAACTCACGCTGGCCAGCCCTCAAAAGTGGAGACGGTGAAGAGGGCCATCATGCCTGAGAGCACATTGTCGAAGTTGAAGTCGCTGTTGAGCCACATGCGCTCGCGCACCATGGGGTGAGCCACATCTCCATCCTTGTACACAATGAATGTGCCCCTGCAATTGGGAGAGAGGGCAGGGGAGGGAATAGAAGAAGATTTGGCACATCTACAGGAACACAGATAGAAGATGATGTAGGTACATGTGGAAGATAGACACAACCCTGGACCCAATTACCACTTGCAGAAAACCATGCCTTTAACAAAAAAGAGAAAGGAAAAAAACAAGACACTGTTATGTTTGTTGCAACAGACTAACACTGCTTTCCTCTGGAAATTTCTACCACAAATCTACCCCCCTCCCCCAGCCCCTGATTGCCAGCTAAAGGCCATATGCAATGTTACATGACAGAAGTGTGTCAACCGCCTCTCATCCCTCCATCCATCCTTCCTTTCTTTCACTGAAAATCAGACTTGGGACGGTACCAGTGAAAGTAGGAGTGAATGGCAGATTCTCCTTGTCTATTCCAAACAGGGCTGCTGAAGTGGCTCCCCTCCCCTGCCCCCCATGCACATACACAGGGGAAAGGAAAGTGGGGGGATCAGTTTGGGGAGGGGCAACGTCCCTGAGAAAAAAGACAGTATGAAGGGAAAGAGTCAAGCAGACTTTTTCTCTCCTTCTGCCAGCCTGTTTGTACCTGCAGACTTCAAGGTTGCATTTCAGTTTTTGTCTTTGTTTTAATTTTTAAGTTTAAAAGCAAGTGTTTCCCATCTAGGGAAACCTAAACATCTAGGTTTTGAACCAACCCAAATTTCAGCATCTAGCTTTGACCTCAGTTTATTTATTACTTATTTAGAATTTTAATGTGTTGTAACATTTTGCCATTCTTATTTACTTGGGATCCATATAGGAGGAAAGTGTACCAGGATCAGAAAGTTGGGGGAAACAGCAGGTTAGAGTGCCGCCAAAGCAGGGCGGGTACCTACTTGCACTCAGCAGGGGTATGCTTGGCCTCATCGGTGCAGCTGTAGAATTTGCCCTGGGGTCAAAAGAAACAGGAAATCGGGGATCAGGTGGTGAGAGGGCAGGGAGGTATTCTCTCCAATATACCAACTCTATATCTCTGCTTATATAACACAGCTGAAGGAGGGCACAGAAGAGCAGTGTTTCCAGACCCAGGACCCTGACTTCCACTGCATCCTGTGATGTGACTTCCACTTTAATTGCAGGATCTTGGGGTAGAATTACATGTGGCTGCCCCTGAAAGTAGCAGCCCTGAATCAGGTCTCCTCCCTTCTCCTTGGAAGGCTTAGGCATGCTTATCCTTCTATGACCTCATCATGTTGGGTGTTTCCCACCTCATCTTCTCGAGCTGTTACTAGTAGAAGGTGAGGAAAGAACAGGCATAGGTACGCTGAGACAGGGGCAGCTGCCCCATGTCAAGCAATATTCTAGCAGTTCCCTTTATATTACCTGACCTTCACTAGATTGGTCTCCCTATGCTTTCCTCCTCTTTCTCTGGTTCTGGCTGGGGGGCAGGGGCAGTGTCTGTGTGGCTTTCTGTGAGTCTCCCCATAACAGGCAGTGCATCAGCAGTGTGACCTTGCTTTGGTAAAGTTGTAGCCTACCGGCCCAGAAAAGCAAACATACTCTAGTTGAGCCTACTAGAGATGAACTGTTTTAAGATGCTTGTAACAGTGATGGCTGGATTGCCCATGCAATGCACAGATATGGCAGTGCCTTGCATAGGCCTTTAGGTGGAAGTGAGGAAGCTGCCTCATCCCGAGTCAGACCAATGGTCCACTGCACCTGGCATGGTTGACACAGAGTGGCAGCAGCTCTCCTTTTTTCTACCTGGAGATCCCAGGGATTGCATGGAAGCTCCTGCACGCAAACTGTATGCGATGCTGCGGAGCTACAGTCCCTCTCCTATACTCCCCTTTGAACCTGGGCCTTTCTTTTTGATGGCCAGTGGATGAAACAGAAATCCACTGCCTGGTTTCTCCAATGGGATTTAAGATTGGTTGCTAGGGTGCTGGCATTTGAAAAAGCTGGAGTGCCTGCCCAAAAGGAACACAGCCACACTCCAGAATGTATTCACTGTCAATGTTTCCTTGATCCAGACAAATGTGAGCATGCATCTTGCAAGCTGAAATGCCCATTCTTTACCTTGAACAGCTGGACACCGATGCAGGCAAACATGAACTGCAGCAGGGTGGTGACTATCATGATGTTCCCGATCGTGCGGATGGCCACGAACACACACTGGACCACATGCTGTTGCGGAAAGAGGCACGTGGAGCATGAGATAGGGACTGCCCACCTCTCCAGAGGGCCTCGTGGAGATGGAGGCCAAGAAGAGGGGTTGGCTGGGCCAAGAGCCAAGTGCTCTGAGCGGCAAGAGTAGCCTTGCTTTCCAGCTGCGCACTTTAGGGCAGCCTCCCCACAAGCAGGCATCCTTCAGATTGCTTGGCTTATAGCTCCCAACATTCCTAGCAGACCAGGGCTGATGGGGGGTTGAAGTCCAAAGTATCTGGAGAGCCCCAGATTAGGGAAAGCTGTTCCAAAGTCACCATCTGCCTTTCAAACACGTCAGTCCCTCACCTTGAGCCCCTTGGCCCGGTTGATGGCTCGGAGCGGACGGAGCACCCTCAGCACTCGCAAGATCTTCACCACGGAGATGGCGCTGGAGCTGATGTGGAAACATAAAGGAAAGAATGAGAGCTACTAGGCTACAGTCAATCTCCTGATGCCTTCTCTTCCATGTGGGTATCTCAGATAAGCTAGTGCTGCCTTTTCATCCTGGACTGGGCTAGCGTGATTCAATTCTTGTTGTCCTCTTGGGAGTCTCCACTTCCCTTCCCCTTTCAGACTTACTGGATGCCAAAGGAGATGAGTGAGACGCTGACAACCAGCAGATCCAGAAGGTTGAACCAGTTCCGGCAGAACGAGCCCTTGTGCAGGAAGGCACCATAGGAAGTCATCTGAGGAGAGAGGTGTGCTCAGCACCCTGCCCACCCACCAGGCTCCACTCCATTCCTCTCTTCAGCTATGGCTCGCACCCAGGAGCTCAGAGGCTAGTTCCCCAGGTGCCTGCTTTCCTGACGATAAGGGCTGAGGATAAGCCTGCTTTCGCATTTCCATTAGTTCCATTAGTTCTCCAGACCCAGCCATATATACTTTGCTGGACTCTGACCCAGAGCTTTGGGTATGCCATCATTTAATAAGGTCAGAGAAAACTCACAGAATGTGCTCTGAGGTGCAGAATGCACCTAATGGTTGGAATCTCACCATCATTCTAGAGCACACATGAGCACACATCCCACCAAACTTTAGCCTTCTTGTATTCAAAGATAAACTTGAATGTGTGTGGGGGCAAAGCCTGTGAACTCTCAGGTCTAAGCTAGATGCTACATTAAATAGATACTGCCTGACTCAGGGGTAGACAGTACGATGCTCACTCTTCAACTGCTGACCCCATTCCTTCCAGCCCCACCTCACTGGCTGGGCTGGCTGCAGACATGGCCTGTGGGGCAGATGTCTTATCTTTGCAACAGATGTACTATCCCCACCCTCCTCTCCTTCTTTCTCACTCTGCTTAGAGTTGGTACCTTGAGCAGGATCTCCACAGTGAAGATAGAAGTGAAGGCATAGTCAAAGTAGCCCAGAATCTGAGAAATTAAAAAGGGAAGAGGGAAGGGGTGGAATTGAGGAGAGGGAAAGAGCAGATTGAAAAATAGAGAGAGGAGACTGAGGTTGACACCATTGCTTTTCTCCCATTTTACCCCATCGCGTTTCCACGGCACATGGCTTACATTATTGCGGAAAGAGTGGGCCCGGATAGGATCCTCGGCTGCCAGAGAGATGCTGCTGAGGATGATGAAGACGAGGATGAGATTGGTGAAGATGTGGTGATGGATCAGCTTGTGGCAACCAACACGAAGCCTGGTGGGAGAAGGGAAGGCTTAGGTAGCAGCTGACTTAGAGGACCAGGCAAATGGGACAAGCCTGCCAGGTCTTCCTGAGCAGGAGAGGGAGCAGCTAGGGAGCAGCCAGGGAGCAGGCCAAGGGCTGGGGCTCGATCTGGTTGGCCAGAGTACCAAAGGTTCTGGGAAAAGCCTGGGAGCACCTGGTGCCCCAGAACTGCACCTGAAGGACACTGATGGAGAAGCTGATACAACACCTCTGGAAGGAGATTGGAAATAGCCTCCAGTCTCCAGGAAATAGCTTTTGATCCTGGGCCCTTAGCACAAGGCTTTAGTTCTTTTCTCAGAGATCCTGAAAAAAAGCTCCAGCAGAAACCTTGGCCACCCAGTTCTGAAGGAGATAAGCAGAGAGAGAGCACCAGGAGATCCGGGTTCTAGTCCCCACTCAGCCATGGAGCTCACTGGGTGATACTGGGCCAGACAAAGATTCTCAGCCCAACCTACCCCACAGGGTTGTTGTTGCAAGGATAAGATTGAGAGGAGGAGGAGAAATATATAAGCCACCCTGAATTCATTGAAAGGAAAAAAGGTGGGATCTAAATGCAATAAATAAGCTGCCTGAGTCTGCCCAGGTAAAGCCAGCTTCACGCACCCCTCCGAATCAATGGGTGGAACCATAAGCAGGACCTCTGACAAATTGGAATGATCATCTTACAGTGGTTAGTCCTTCCCTCTCCTTGGAGATCTGTGGTAGCACTAGAGATCTCAGCATCTCCCCAAAGCTACAGTTCCCAGGAGAACACACAATAGTTAAGCGGATGCAAAACCTGAGATACAGTGGATGTTGCACACCTTTCTATAAGGCAGGTACTCAAAAGAGTGACCCTGTCAGCAGGACACCAGCTGCCCCTTGTGCTCTGCATGACCAGGACAGCACATTGGCAGAGGCAGCTTTTCAGCAGACCCTGATCTGGCTACTACTGGCTGGTCAGACCCTGACTGGCCAGTAGTAGCCAGATCGGGGTACTGCAGCCCATGAGCCCAGCCAGTCAGGGTCTGACCAGCATCACACTACAGCCATTTCCGGCTTGATTTCTCAGTGTAACTCCTTGCTGGAATAAGCAACCTCACCTTGCCCATGTGCCTGCCTCCAGTTCTCCTGCCTGATGATCATCATTCTGCACGATGAATTCCTCCTGCCAGAGCCAGCCCTCCCATCAGGCAGCATGAGCTGGCCGCCTCAGGCAACAGGTGCCAGGGACAGGGAGGAAGCCATGGCAAAGGGTTGGAGCGCACACCTGTCTGCGTCCGGCAGAGTCCCCTGCAGCAAGCAAGCCCTGTGTCCCTCAGGTGCAGCAGGGGATTCTGCCCCATTGCCAGTAATGAACAAATATATGTTTGCCAGTCTAGAAGAAGCTCCGCTGGACCAGAGGTGGATCTTGCCTGTCTATCATTTGGTTCACACAGTGGCCAACCTGCACCTGTGGGAAGCACACAAGCAGGATGCTAGTGCCTCAGCACTCTCCTGCCCATGCTCCCCAGCAGCATGAGTGGCAGAGTACAAAAGCTAGGCTGAGTGGAGCTGAGCATCATGGACGAGGTACTGGTGTGATCTTGTCCTTTGCTTCAGACAGCAGAATGTCTCAGGCAGGCCCTGCTGCAGGACTTTACTTTGCTTCTGTCTCCAAACTGGACTGCAAGCCCACCAGTGGCTGTGTCAGCATCCAGGGCATGGGCAGCTGACCAACTGGCAGGGGCACTAGTACCCAGGCAACCAGGTTAGGGCTCAGGATTCAGCCCAAATCATAGTCAAACAGTCCAAGGTCAGAGCCACATGTAGGAGGGCAAAGTAGTCTCTCCAAGAGGCAAGTGAGGTCAGACAAGCCAGAAGTCAAGAAACCAAGGAGACAATGCTGAGGGGAACAGATACCTGAGGGCTGGGGCCAGCAAAGGAGCAAGCAAGGGTCAGGAAGCACAGGCAGGGGCCAGGAACAAGATCCAAGCGTCCAATGAACAAAGAACACTCCAATAAGTCAGAAAGCCTTCATTGCCAAAGCAGCTTCTGCAGGAAAGTGCCAGTTCTTATACAGCTCTTCCCCCAGGGCTTCCAGGTGGTGCTCATGAGAGCCCTGGCAGCTGCAGTAGATTTGGGCAGTAATCCTGCAACTACCAGGGGTGCTAAGTTGGTCCTTGGCCAGCAGAGGGAGCGCTGAAGCTGCCTCAGGTCTTGACGCTATGCCAGTTTACCACTACCACTCTGACCCTGCAGGGCCCTTGCAGTAAAAAAGAGAAATTCAAGACCTCACTGTCATGTAACCAGACTAAGGTCACATCTCATGGGAATAGAAAGGCCCCCCCACCCTCCTCCACTTTATTTGAGCCTTGCTGTACTCACGGGTTTGTTTTGCTAAGGCAGAAGAAGGCACTTCCATCTGGAATTGGCAGCACCTTCTCCTTGGGAGTCTCCTCCAATTTGTCAAGGTGGGACTCTGCCAAGCTCTGCTGGTCTCCTTCTTCCTCTTCCTCCTCCTCACCTTTAAATAGAGTAGGGAAGTAGGATTAATCAAATTATATAGTACCATAAATATGGATAGTGCATTACAGAATGTCAGCAAAAGAAAACACATGTCCCTGCCCCAATGAGCTTACAATTTAAAGCTCAAAACATGAGGAAGCAATGAATGGAGGGGAGGAAGGAACCAGAGGAAGAAGGCAAGTCCTTGCCCAAATGACCTCATCTTCTACAGCTCAGGGAATAATGAAGCAATAAATGGACAGGGGGAAGGGACCCACAGAAAGAATATATGTTTGGACCAGAAACACATCCGTGGGCTTCATTCCTCTAGGGAGAAAGCTGTGGGGTTGTGGAAAGTTTCATGGAAAAGGTCGTATTTGAATGTGGATAGAGAGACAGGCTTATTTAGAAATTATGAGAGGGTCACCAGGCAAAGAGAAGGGAAGAGTCATTTGTGGGAACAAGAGACCTGAATGTGGAATGACTCCAAATCCAAGGAGCAACTCAGCACTGGTGCAGAAGGGGAGGGGTGAGCTGAATCAGGAATCACTGAAGCACAGAAACCAATGCCAAGCCCAGGCCTCCAGTGCAGGAATTCCTTGTCCCTGAGACCAGCATCTCCAGAAACTGCAGTGACAGAACTTAAGGCCAACAACCTCACCTTTGTGAGTGTCATCTTTCAGTTATCTGCTTGTCAAAATCTTGCACTCCCTGCCAAGGGAGTAACTAAAGCTAGGGAGTACATAAGACACCTTTCCCCATCCTGGTGCCTTTCAGATACCTTGCACTTCAGCTCCCATCAGTCCCAGCCTGCATGGCCAGCGGTCATGAAAGCTGAAGAGGAAGTCTAGAACATCCGGAGATTGGGGATGACTGATGTATGAACTCCATCAGTCTCTGAAGAGCATTGGAGCAAGTTGTCTGTTTGGAACTGTCCAAGGTCCTGAACTTACTCTCTCCACTTGCACTTCGCAGTTTCCTGCTTTCTGTCCTAAAAGTTTGGCAGAAACAGGTGCAGCCTGAAAAAAGAAGGTCCCGGGGCAATAATGCCTCAGGGTGGGTGGGCAGCCAGGCTGGCAGCTGTAGCAAGGCCACTGAGGTATGATGGCAGGCATGTGGAGCATGTTCAGGAGACAGAAATGGAGAGGAAGTGGGTGCAGCACATGCTTTCTCTGCTTCTAGGCTGGCCTTGTGGCACACATGACCAAGTATGTGGAAAAGGCTCGGCAGCCAGGGCGGTCAGTGCAAGCTCTGGCCCATAACAGCAGGGCTCCAACTCTCCCTGTCTACCAGGTCCCATTCTTATTTCCTGGCATTTTTCCTCTGCGAAGGGTCCTCCTTGCTGGTGCTGTTGAGGGGATTTGAGGGTGACCTTTTAAAAATCTCATTTCAGTGCACTCACATGCACTTGGGGTGCCATTCTTCATGTTTCGACTTCCTCTGCCAGGTTTCCAACAGTTAAATCTCCATGTGTATTTTGAAAAGGGGGAGGCATCGCTTCATTCTAGAACAGGGTACATCATGGGTTCAGGAGATCTTTCAGCCTGAGTGTCAAATTCAATTTGAGATGAACTCTTGGAAGGGCCACGTTCCACTGATATGTGGGGCTGAAAGCAAAAGGGGCAAGGCCAAAATGCCCAAATGCCTGCCTGTTTTAGCTTAAAGCTCTTACTGTCATTAACTAAGCCTGAAAAGATACAGGTCAACCTTTTAGAATGGAGGAAACGTGGCACAAAATCTGGAAAAGCACAAAATGATAATCTGGGGAAAGTGGCATGGCCACCTGGGAAATGCAGCAAGGCCATACTGGGATCCCAGGAGGGTCACACTGGGATTCTTGGATTGAGGTTCTGCACCCTGAGGGTACATCCATGCAGGTGCATTGCTATGGATACTAAACACCACACAGGGCACTGCCTACCTACTGGATCGAGCAAAAATCCCCTTTCACCCATGATGTTTTGGAAGATATGAAAATGTGACACTGTAAATGTGACAACAGCATCTGAGAAGATTCACAGCTGGGGGTTGGAGCTGCTGTGGCCAAGATGGTTACATGCACCTTCCTTGTGGCCACCACACATCCTTCTCCAAATCATTGCTTTTTATATAGAATGCTGGCCAAATTACACAACAGCTTTACAGAGCAACAACATCTAACGACAAGTCTCTGCCCCAAGGAGTGTACAATCCAAAATCAGTGGAATCAGTCCTCTTCTCTTTTACCCACAATGTAGTGACTGTTTTCATATCTGAGGCTCAGGTAGCCCAAAGAAATTCAAATTGCATTTTATGTTCAGGTTTGTCTAACAGTTATACAGATACAGAACAGAGAATCCGGAGCAAAAGAGGCAGAAGGAACAATCTGGCCAAGGGTAGGATTTATATTCAGTCACAAACCTGACAGAAATCAAGAGCTGCTTTAAGCCTCAGGTGTGAAAACATAAATAGCCTCAGTAGGGCAACAGTCGACATGACTCTTCCAGTGCCAAACAAAGCTGGCGTTTCCTTCCTCACCTGCTTCTTCGCTGCCTTCCTCTACTTCTTCCTCCTCCTCCTCACCACATTCCACCTGAGAAGAAAGGTGACGAAGTAACACAACATAAGCAGATGTTCATAAGAGTGAGAGAGGAGATCCCTTTGCAAAGTCCACAGGCTGTTGCCCATTGCGCTCACATTCAGGCCAGGGCAGGAAAGGGCTCACATGTGCCTGCGTGTACAGATGGACACCACAAGTGCACTCAACCCAGCACACATGTGCTGTTTCCCACAAGGCTTCTTCTGTCTACAGTCTGCTTTGCCATAAGCAAGTTGAGGAAGCAGCCATACAGTTTGTTACAGGGCAACTAGATTTCTGGCATTGACAAGTCAAAGAATCTGATCCGTCTTTCTGTCCTACAGTATACACAGGGCACAATCCCTGACATGCATGTTCTGTTCTGTTCACAAAATGCATTATTTTGCCCTTTACCCAGTAAGATTCCAGAAAAACAGTAAAAGAAAAAAGATTCAAAATATAGAATGACAGTTTTAAAACTCTGACAAGGGCTGGTGTGTTTAAATAATGTTTCCAGCAGGTAGGCACTGATAACAAAACAGCTGTGGTGCCTGCACAATATCAACAGGCAGGGAATTCAAAGCGAAGGACCCAATCCACTAGAGCATGGGTCCTCAAAATATGGACTGCGGGCCAGATCCAGCCCGCCTCAGAGGTTTTGGACTTGCCGCACCCGCCTGCATGGCGAGGCAGTGACTTGCTTGCCCGGAGATCATTTTGGACTTGCTTGGAGAAAACAATCTCTGCATGCACCCGCCCCTGCCTCACTGCGCACACATCCTGTGCCCCTGCCCGCACCCAGCCCGCACCCACTGCCAGCACCTTTCAACTGGCCCCCTGTTGAAAAAGTTTGAGGACCCCTGCACTAAAGGCTCTAGTCTGAGTGATTCCAAACTTATGGCAGGTCCGTGTGGAACCACCAGGGCTGCCTCCTCAGATGAAGGTGCTCTCTCCAGCTTTCTGGTCTCAAGCTGTTTAGGACCAGTAAACACGTATCTGCTCACTTTGTATGTGTGTGCATGTGGGTGAGTGTTGAGGTTGAGTATTTTGTCTTGTAGGCCTTCCTCTTCCATTCCTTTTCTTAGCATTTATCCCTCCAATGGCATTTTTCTAGCTGGTCCCACAATAGGCTTTGCTACTCATAAAAGAAAAATGGCTTCAGGAAAGAGCTGGGTGGGGAAGAGCTCTCTGTTTCTGGTCCCCCCCACCCCACACACACACATCTTTTCCTTAAGCCATTCTTCCTTTTAGTTAGGCTTATCCTGCTAGTCAGAAGAAAGCTGAACAAGAATTATGTTATCCTTGTAATATACCCACGTTCAGGGTTCCTTTCCTATTCACCAGTATCTGTCACTGCCAATGCAGCTTAGGTAGGGGGAGGCCTCCTGGACTTAATGCCGCAGCCAGGCAGACCTTGTCCACGAAGCAAAACCCAACCCACCAAGGGTCACCAAGAACAACTTTTATCAGCCAGCTTGGATAAATCCTTCCTACCTAGACAAAGTAAACTTGTATGTGCAAGATGTGCATTTGGGATCACACACTGCTTTTAGGATGGGGCAGTAAACATATTATAAACCCAGATTAGAATGTTGACTTGTAAAGTCACAGGAAAATGTGTTGCACTGTTTAAGATCTGAATCCTACTCAATCTAGCTACTCTGTAGCTCTGCAGATCTTGGTTCAGCAGGATGCTTGTATCCACTGGCTCAGTTACTATGTTTGCAGTTACCAGTGGATGACCTTGGCCTGAAAGAGAAGTCGTAAAGTGCCAAAGAGAACTTGTAAAGAAGGAATGAAATTGGGAAATAGAAATGTATATCGTTTATTTGAGTTTATTTTGCAGTTGGGCAAAATAAAAGGCTTGCTGCTTGCTATTGTATAGCATATTGTATAGTGTTTGCTATTATCTGTGGTTTCAGGCATTTCTTGGGATGTTTGGAACCAATTTGTGTGGATACAGGGTCCTGATGTACTTCTTTTGTGTGAATGAGGCATGCCTGCTTTTGGTGCACAGCTTGCAGGACATTCATCTAGCCCTCTCTCATGCAGCTGCAGATAAGCACAGCAACGCATATTCACACACCACTGAGGTCTGGGCTCTCTGCAAATGGCAGAGGACGGCACTCTGGCAGAATCCACAGGGCCTTGTTCTCTTGGGATCAAAACAGACATGTTGGGGAGATCCTCCTGACCTTAGTTAGGAGAAAAGCAGCCACAGTGAAGGCTCTCAGGTTGATTCATGGAGCAATGCTGGGCATGTCTCTTCAGTGCCCCCCCACCCCCAGTGCCATAAAATCCCTCCCCACTGAAGTTATTATGAGCCCCTTAGCAAAAAAGAAAGCAGGTACCCAAATCATGCCTGCTTCCTTTTCCACTGGATTTGCTCAAAATAGCTAGGGGATAACAGCATGTTTAGATCCCCCTCTGCAGACGAGGGGGGTAAATACACAAACTCAGTGCCAAGGCAGTGCTTTCCCACTGTTCCTTAAAGATAGAAATGCCACTCTTCCCGCATTTGCGTCAAAATTGCCTACATCCCTCACAGACATCACACAGCTCTTGTCCTCAGGGCAAGATCATTGAAGTGGATGGCACAAAGCAATTTCCGTTGCTATTCTCAGACATCCCAGACTTGTTTTTTGCCTGTTAAAGCATGAGCCTCTCCCACCTGCACCATACATTTTGGACTGTTGCAAGCAGTGATGGCAATGACCCTTTAGGATACTTTGGGGTTGTTTTTCCCTTAAAGATAATTTGCCTTTGAGAAGTCAGAAATTGCATGCCAAAATAAATGTCTGCGAATCTAGCTGGAAGTGCCAGCGTGTGTGCAGATATATATATGGGGAGGAAAGATTTCTCTACTTAGTAAATGTAGCATCCCGAGCATCCTCCACCACAAGCACTTTGTCAAATGCAGTGCCTGTGCTGCTATTTATGCTGCATAATTAAACTTACAGGTAGAAGGCGAAAAAAGAAGCTCTAGAGTAGGGGTGCACAGATTTAAATCCACCCCATCTGCTTTTCATGAATTGTTAGGCATCGTTCATTCTATCATTCTCTTACTGATAGAAGTGGATATTTTTTAGGGACAGACAAGAATGCCATTCCACTTGTGCCTATGAATATTAATGGTAGTGTGGATTAGCACAAATCTCCTCCAAAACATTAAACAATGGTCTGCAAGTCCACACGACTCACCCCCCACCCCCCAAAAACCCCTGGTGCACTGCAGAGCCCACAGGCTGGAGTCATAGAAATTTGAGTTCTTGGGATTCATTGTGGACTTCTGCAAAATCCCTTCTCTAGTGCTAATCAGCCCTATCAGGCGCTTTCACGTGGAAAGCTACTAGCACTAGCACGTAGAAGAAACTACACAGCTAGCCCATCTTCTCCTTAACACGTGTGTGTGTGTGTGTGTGTGTGTGTGTGAAGAAAAAAGTTACAAAAAGCAGTAAAAGAACATAGGAGAGAGACAGATGGAAAATGACAAGTGCAAAAGTGTCTCCCCCACCCTGGCCCACAATAAAAATTTGTGAATGAGACCAGGGTGACGGAGCTGTAAAAGCCTCACCAGGATGTGCCCACAATGGAAAGGAAAAACAGGATGCCAGCCTCCCTTGATCTGGTGTCCTCCAGATGTGTTACTTTAGCAGCCCCATTTTTTGTCAGTCAGGGGATGATAGGGATTATAGTCCAACAACTGGAGAGTACCCACTTGGGGAAGGCTTTCTTGTCCATACACATAAACCAACCACTTTGTAGAATTGCCGTCTCCAGGTCCTGGAAGACACACACTCAGATCTGAGGGCAGGGACTGAGTTCTCACCTTTACACTCTTCTCCTCCTGCTCACTGCTCTGCTCTCCATCAGCTGGTGTCTCCCTGTATCATGACAAGGACAAGCAGGGAGAGGAGGTATCAGAAGACAGAAAGGAAACACAAGGCTCTGCCTTACATCTGTGGTCTGAAAGGGTGGCAACAGGAAGCCCTCTCCCTACAGTTTCTCAGATTCCTCGTCCTTCAACGGGGGCTTAAAGCAGCATTCTTTGGCATGCAAGCCTTCCTATTCCCCCTTACCCTAGTCATTCTCCCAACAGCCTAGTAAGATAGATGATCAGTGTGTAGCTTAGACACTCAAGGCCACTCATCCTGTCCGGAGCTGAGCTAGAACTTGAGCTCCACTGGTACAGACATCATAATGACCACAGTACCACTCTGACAACGATCCATCTACTCCCTCTTCTCCATCGTGGCATCCTCTCAATGTGTTGGGCTGTCGTTCCCTTCATCAAGCACCTCTGGAAGGCACCAGGATAGCAAAGGATGATCTGGTCTGTTTCCCAAGAAACAGAGAAATGCTAGCTGGAGGTATCTGGAATGCCCACAGACAGGGGCATGAAGTCTGTCAACGGGAACTAGTCCATGGGCCACAAGCCCATGGTTTTTCCCATAGTTTTGTACACAATTACAAACATTGTAATTGTGTACAAAAAAACATAGAAACAGAGCAAGTCAGAAGGGGTCTTCTGGGCCATCTAGTCTGACCTCTGGCACCAGCCAGCTCCACTCATGACATGCCCACCATGTGCATGTCCAGCCTATCTTAGAACACCCTCACCGATGGGGCCTCAACCACCTCCCGTGGAAGCCCATTCCACACCCTCGGGGTCCTAACCGTCAGGAAGTGCTTCCTGGCATCTAAATGGAACCTGGGTTCCCTGAGCTTTGCTCCGTTGGAGCGCATCTTGCCTTCCTCTGCAGGGGAGAACAGGCCTCTACCCGTCTCCATGTGACATCCCCTCACATACCTGTATGTCGCCAACATAACCCCTCTGAGTCTCCTCTTCTCCAGGCTGAGGAGACCCAGTTCCCTCAGTCTCACCTCATACGGCATCCCCTGCAAACCAGCCACCAACCCTGTGGCCCTACGCTGCACTGACTCTAACCTGGCTATAGTCTTCCTGTAATGAGGGCCCCAAAACTGAACACAATACTCCAGTTGCAGGTGCACCAGAGACATATAGAGTGGTAGCATACTCTCACAAGATAGTGATGGCCAAGCTTCCTAGCCCATGGACTACCTTCAGCCTTCCTTTGCCATTTGTGCCCAGAATCTGGTACTCAAAGTTATGCTGCCTTTGCAAGTGGAAGTCCACATAGCTGACCACTGTCAGTCAACATCTCATCCCTCCATGACCATACGTTTATTTTTTAATGGTGACTCTTCCAAAAGCTGCAGAAACAACTAGAAGCCCAATTCCCATCTTCAACAAAGTTGCCTTCCTAGACAGGAATGCAATGACAGAATGCTCTTGTTGCTTATTTAAGAGCTCCTCTTCCTTTCAAGTCCTCACAAGGCGGCTGACAACCAATCACATAAAAACAACAGCACAAAACAAGTGACTGTCAGCACTCTTCAAACTGAAGAGCAGTTGTTCCACAGGACTAATGCTGCCAATACATAAACCATGACATTTCCCTCTGTCATTCCCCAACATTAGTAGGATTAGGGGCAGTTCTCACTTCTCCTTGTGCTCCTCCTCCTTGGAGGAATTGATATTGTCCCCATCTGCAAGGTTGTCCACAGCAATGGCCAGGAAGACATTGAGTAGGATATCTGGGGATGGATGTTTAGGAGCAGGTAACCTGATTCGCTATACATTCAGAGAAGGGATGGAACCCAGTTAAAGACATTTTAGTGGATTAATCAAAGGAGACTTAGTTCATTACTATGTCCAGTTCTGGATAGTCTGCTCTAAGCAATAATCAGATAAATTTTAAATAGTTTAGAGAAGGGCAACAAAATTAAATTGAAATGGTCTTACAAGAAAAAGTGGAAGACTCTGGATATGTTTAGCTGTGAGAAGACTGGTGAAGAGGATATGCTAGCACTTGTCAGGTACCAAAAGGGCTGTCACACTATTCTCAATTGTTTAAGATAACAGGACAGGAAATACAAGGCTTAAATTACAGGAAAGAAAATTGTGGTAAGACTTCCTCAGGGTCAGAGCTGTCAGTTATGACTTCAGGCCACCCTAAATGGATTCAAGCAAAGACTGGACAGCTGTCAGTCAGGGATGCTTTAAACTGGACTCTGGTCCTGAATAGGGAGTGGGACTTAGCAACCTAAATGGTCCCTTCCAGCTCAATGATTCTATAATTCCTCCATAAATCTAATCTGCATTAATGTTGCATATGCATTGAAACAATAGTTTTGGAGCAAGAAGCCTGCTTAATTTTTAGATGATGCAGTCTGCAGACCTATCCTGGCAGGCAACATCTTCAAAGAGACTTCTCTCTTGTACATGAGAACATAGGAGTGCCTTTTATAAGAAGGTCTCTGCTATTTGCAGTTTTTGATCTTGTTTTAAACCTGCTGGCCTATGAATTAGGACACTTTTTTAGCCAGTTAAGGCATTTTACTGTGCAATCCCATATGTATCTATTCAGAAGTAAGTCTCATTGTATAGCATTGCAGTCTTAACTGCTTTATAATTCAGTGATTAAACATTATAGCCACATAGCTCAGAGCCAAGCCTGAATGCACTTACACTTATAAGTGATCCTTATAAGGCACCTGCCCTACATTAGCTCTGTTGTTAACTGCTGCCATGGTAGCTACTATGGCATGTATATGCAGCCATGGGTTGGCTCAGTTGCTAACTTTAGGGATCAGAAGGGTGAGAAACCGTGGTCCATACTGCCAGTAGGTTGCTGCTACCAGGAGGAGAGGATGAGAATAACTAAGAGCTAAAATCCATACTGCCCAGAATGCAGATGGTAGAAATGTAGCAGATCTTATTTTACTGAAGGCAGTTAGGGACCTGATTCAGATCAGAATCACTATATGCAAATAGGAGAAATTGTACCTTCCCACCCAGCCACTTTGTCTCCTTATGAAAGAAAAATCCCCTCCACTGGCAAATTGAAGGTGCCCCCGCCATGTCTTTGGCACCTGGAATGGGGGAATTGGGAGGATGGTTAGTTGAAATTATTTAATTATCCAACATTGTGTGCAGCGGTCCAGATCCAGATTAGTATCTCTGTGCCTATATTAAAGCAAAAAAGGTGGGGGAGGAGGTAGAATGTGCTACACACTGTCCATTTAATGTAAAGTGTAGACTGGCCCTAAGAAAGCACAACAGGTTTGGGTTCACCCCTGCACCAAAGGCGTATCTACTTGGCTCTAATCAGTGGGTTCAAATGTTTATTTAATGCCCATTCATGGAATCTTTTTGTTCCAAGGAAAACTGAGTTAAAGGGTTGGCAACCCACTCATGTGATTCTGAATGCAATGGATACTCTTGTGCTCATTGCTCTCTCTGGTGCACGGGGGTACATAACACAGCATGGGCTGCAAGTTAAGGTTGGGCACAGTTATTCTTCCAATGTGCAATGAACCCAAGCATCATGTTAGTGCAGAGAAAGCTAAGCAAAGCTGGCAGCTAGAGTGCACTAATGTAAAAATCCATACTCATAAAGATGTTAGGGTGATTCTTTCTATAGAAATCAAAAGAGCCTTATAAAGGTACCATCCATTGCATCGAAGTCACAAATGAAATTAAATCTGTCAGGCAAACACAGCATAATATTGTTGTACTAATTAGCACTCCTAGCATGAGCCTTCTGACTTTAGATCTGCTCATCTTCACTGTCAGCCCAGCAGTCAAAGGATACAGTTGCCACAAATGAAGAGGATGATGAAATAGACACACACCAGCATGCCTGGGAAATAGGGGCCTCCATAGGCCATGATCCCATCATACATCACTGCATTCCAGTCTTCTCCTGTCAGGATCTACAGCATGGACAGGGAGAACAGCCAAGGTGTGTTATGATTCTACCAAAAACACTCCTAGAGTAGGGCTCCTTGCTGTGTTTCAGCAGCCAGATTTGCTGGTACACAGGAGAGTGGTACACAAAAGGCAAACAACTTCATGAAAAGACTCCACAAACAACTTTCATGAGTTCACAATACATCCCCTATGTAGACAACCCCCTAGTTTTGCCACAGATCAGTATGAGTCCTGGAGCTCTGGCCCTTACAGATTTTTGTTTTAAGATTTTAGATAAATACGCTGTTGTTACATTACAAGTTGCCTTCTAAGTTAAATACAGTTAAAGAAGGGGTTGCCTCATGGAAGTTGGCAAACAGTTGCTTGGTGAGATGTCAGGCGCCTAATTCTGCAACGAAACAGGGTGAGTGAACAACCTCCTTTAGGGTGCACTCTTGTTCTGCTTGGGAACCGACTGGGCAGGCGGGATCGTGCAGAGAGACAGCAAAGGTGGCAGTGCTGGCTCTTAATGGGCATCTCAGAGGACCCAGGCAGGCACCCTCCCTCCTTCCTGCTGCAGGTGTGCTTTTACCTGGAAGACGGTGAGCAGGGCCTGGGGAAAAGTGTCAAAAGTGCTACGCTTGGTCTGGGTCTCATCGAAATTGAACTTGCCCCCAAAGAGCTGCATGCCCAGCAAGGAGAAGATGATGATGAAGAGGAAGAGCAAGAGCAGCAAGGACGCAATGGACTTCATGGAGTTCAGTAAGGAGGCGACGAGGTTGCTCAGTGAAGCCCAGTGCCTGGAAGGTAAATCAGGTATGGCTAAATGGGTTAAGTGGCCTGGGTAGTTGACTCTCTGGGAGCCAGTTCTCCCGAAAGCGCATCCAACTACTAGAGAGTGCTGTGAGAGGGTAAGATGCACTGAGGGGCAGCAGATGATCTGGCTACTAAGTGGAGGGCCTATCTCTAACCCACAAGAGATGGCAAGAGACTTGAGAAAGCTCAGGTCACCTTCTGGTATCCTGGTGATGGGACAGAGCTCTGGTGGTACCCATAAAGCTTGCTTGCAAGCTGGCCAGGGAGGAGGAGAAAGGAGAGCTTCAGGTCATACCTTTGGGGGTGGTTCTGAAATTTTTGAGGCAGGCGTGAGCAACCTGAGGGCCAGATTTCATTTGGAAAGGGACATTCCAGTTATGGGCAAGTTCACAGGCAGAGCTAAGCCAAAATATCAAAATTACCAGCATCTCTTAGCATGTACTGACAGGAACTAAGCCTTAGGAAAGCTGTTTCAGACTTCTAGAACTGAGGAAACCCATGCAAAAACTGAGAAAATACCAAATGATTGGGGGCACTGGGGTGGGGACAAAGGACAGTTTTGCAATGTGGGGAATGGGGGCAGCCACCTGAGGAACCTCAGGGGCCAAATTTGAGTCTTGGTCCTGGGATTCATCACTCCTGCTTTCAGTTGTCAGCTCAAGCACTAAGCTTGCATGTTGGGTGGTTATGTGCTCAAAACTCTCACAGCAGTTCTGTCACTGAAGCTACACAGGTCTCTGTCTTAGGCTGCTTGAATAGAAGAGCACCTATAGAAGTAAGTTTGTTAGATCTTAAACATTTTAAGACTTGTGTCTCTTTCTTAGATTTTCCTGGGGAGTACCTAAAACTTAGCGCCATCTCTAGCCTTCCCTCTCCATTCTAAACCATCCACTTCTCCTGCATGTTTCCTTATTTCCTGTGAGGAAAAATATGACTGAGGCTGCAATCTGATTTGCATGTATATGGGAGTAAGTTTCACTGAACTCTATGATCCTTAATTCTGCTCATGTAGACTCATATTGCTAGGGAGACAAAAACCAATACAGACATGGTGATTCCATTCTGAAAAACAGTGGGAAAGAGGGTGATTATCCAACACTGTTGAACTTCAGACCCATGGATCTTATTTGCCTTTCTATATATTCCACTAATCAAGCATAAGGTGGTGCAGCTTCATACCATAGCTGCAGTATACTTAGTGTGCAATTTTTCAAGAAGCCTTTATTCCAATCTGAGATTTAATATCAATCTTTTCTCCCTCTAAAACACTAGATGGCTGGAGAATCCCTAGATTCAATACACAATAATGCTATATCTCCTGTAGATTAGCCCTGTATATTGCATTTAGGCCCTCCCCACCACAGGAATGTGGTACCCAAAGCCTTCTCTGAAATGGAATTCAACCCTTGAACCCAAAAAAACTGCTTCTAAACAGGTTTAAAAGAACAATATCCCACAGGTTTCCCCCTGGTCTGGGAAAAATTACTCTACCAGCCTTAGGAGACCAGGGATCTTTCATAGGAAGTTAAATCTAAGTTGCTCTGAGCACTTGGGGAAGAGCAGGATATGAAGTGCAACAAATAGAGAAATTAAGTAGTAATTCTGATCACTTCCCTCAGGATATTTCAATATGAAATCTTCTAGCAACTGGCAAATCCATATGAATATATATTTTTTTTTAGGCCACAGTCCTGACTTCTCACAACCCAGAGTGAAAGTCGCATCCCTAACCAAGGATTCCCCACCCAACCTAACCTGGTGACTTTGAAGATCCGTAGCAGGCGGACACAGCGGAGCACAGAGATTCCAAGAGGCTGCATGATCTCAAATTCTACCAAGACGGTCTCCAGGATCCCACCACATACCACAAAACAGTCAAAGCGGTTGAAGAAACTGACAAAATAGGCCTGCAGGCCCAGGCTGTACATCTTCAGTAGCATCTCCATGGTGAACAACGACAGCAGTACTTTGTTGGCATAAGCTGTGGGGATGAAAGATGCAGGGTCATAGAGATCCCCAAATTGTGGTCTACGGATCATGGGTGATCTGCAAACTTTATTCAGGTGGTCTGTAGAAAGGCTGTAGAACAGTTAGTTACGGCCCTGTACTTGATTTTTCTTCTTCTGACTGAAAATCAAGACTGTTTTAATGAGGGATGGATGACTGAGCAAGACAAAAAGGCTCTGACATAGTCCCTGTGATTTTCTTTATTTGGCACCAATGTAGTCTACTATTTTTGCAAGTTACAGTTTTGAAAGTCTTCTTGTTGGCATGGCCTAGAGCACATATTTTCCATAAAGAAGGCTGGTTTTGGCAATGATGCAAGTGCTTTGCATTGTAGGATAAAAAGAAGCCTCTTATGGGTCTGCGAAGACCTCTAGCGATTTTCAAGTGGTCTGCAGAGTAAAAACCTTGAGAACTACTGGGATGGGGGGAACAATAGGCTCACTCACCCTTCAGCATAGCCTTGGGCAAGCTATTATTCCTCCTGCTGAACACAACAGACAAGTTACTGTACAGGCCATTAGAGTGATACTATTTCTCAGTTCACAGCAGCAAAATGGGAATATTATAATGGAAATACAAAATGAGTGGAGGGACTCCACCCCTCATGCATGCCTCTGTTGCAGGACTGGGGATATTATGGCCCTCTAGATGTTTTAGCCTATGCCTCCAACAGTGCCTCACCAGTGGCCATGTTGGCTAGGGCTGATGGGAGTTGTAAGCCAGAACATCTTGTCTACTACTGTCCTACTGCCAGGTCTTGGCAACTGAGGGCAGCACACAGTGGCCAAGGTTTGCACAATCAAAGGGGGGGGGTATAAGTCACAGTAGTTTATTTCCCCCACCACATGTGCCAGGGACAGCTTGTCATGTCATGTGAACCTTGCCAGGGTGGCTTGTTGGTGTTGCTAACAAGCCATCCAGAACAAGCCATCCAGAACAGGCTGTCGTAGGGTCATGTGTGGCTTGTTACCTGTGGTACAAACACAGCACAAAAAGTCATGCTGCTGAGGGTAATTATGCTAATGCCATTGGCATGCACAGGACACTTAAGCCACTGTGGCTTGTAAATCACCTGGAGACTGGGCTAATTGGGTCATATACAGGATATTTTGGAATGAGGTCGATTGCCCCTCAATGCATTTTGGGACAAGCCTGCTGGTTCTTACACAGGGATGGGCAACTAGTAACCTCAAAGCAGATTAGCCAGGTGGCTACAAGGGAAGGGGGCAGCCAGGGCAGCCTTGGGGTGGTGCAGAGAAGAGCATTGATTAGCATTTACATCATGCATTGCAAGGCTTTCAAAATGATTTTGCTCCTGCTCAAGGCTGACCAATGTCTTCTTTCTCTGCAGCCATTTAATTCTCCAGGCAGCAGTCCAGTGAGGGGAATGCCAAACAAGTGGATGAGAGATCAGGCTCTACAATGAAACCAGTGCCAATTTAGTTTCTCAGTTATAGATCCCAAGTGCTCAGGCACTGGATGTCACAACATATAGCTGCCTTGAGCACTTATTTCATTGGAAAGGCAAGCTATAAACAAAACGTAACATATTTTGTTACACACAAAAATCACAGAGAAGAATCTATGTGTTGAGTATCTCTACTCATGCAGCTAGGGTACATTCTTCTTTTCCTTACAAACAAAACTGTGGACAACTTTTTTTTAAGCTATGTCTTGATTAACATTTGGCAGGGCAATCAAAGACTAAATAAAATTGTCTTTGAGAATGTAAGAAGAGTGGAAAGATCCCAAGAAAGAGCTTGTGCCTTCATTGGAAACTCTGTGTATATAGATCACTAGGGTGGCTGATTTGCCACTCTAGATGTTACTGTACTGGGCCACATAAGATTAGAATAGTATATATCAGATTTAAATTATATTCAGAGAAACTACAGCTGGAAAGGAAGCTGGGCAGCTAGTTATACGAAGGACAATTACGACCGTATGAGTAGTTTTTCCCAACTCATCAGCAGCACAATTAAGCAGTTAAACTCAACCTCATTTATGGAGATAATGCTGTCAGAATTTGAAATAACCCACTGGACATTTAGTGAACCATGGTACTCAAGCTGATTATTCATTCTAAGCCCTACTTTATTTTAAAAATAAAGAAAAGAACATGGGAAGTTTCCTAGAGATTATTTTCCCCCATAATATGCCTGGAGCAATACCTCCTATGCCTTGAGTTCTTAAAGAGCAGGAGGAAGTATCCAGAAAAATGCTTGAGGTGGCAGTTATTTATTTATTTATAAAATTTGTATGCCATCCAGTTACTAACGTCTCTGGATGGCTAACAGCATAAACAAATTGACGACCCACTCCGAGTTAGAGGCAGAAGGATGAAATTCTTTCAGGAATACAAATGTGACTGAAAGAGAGAAGGGATGCAGGGTATCTGCTGGCTCTTCCTCAACTGGTACCCTGAACTGTGTTATAAGAACTGCATCTCTCGTAAGTTGTAGTGCTGGAGTTTGTCTCTCTCCTACTCCCTTTCCATCTCTTTTTCCCTTAATGTTGGATCTTTTAGATTGTAAGCCTGGAGGCAGGAACTGTTTTGCTTGTACACTGATCTCTAAGTTACTCTGGGAGCATTTTCAGATAAATAACAGGGTAAAAATGTTTAAAATATATATGCAAATGGTCATCATGTAGCTGGAGTAAGAAAGGGCAGCCTAGCGGCCTCTCTCAGTAGGAATCTGTGTTGCTGTTAGGGAGAGGCAGAATATGTAGCAGGATGTCAGGCCATTACAAGTTTTCCGACTCTAGTTTATTGACTGCTACTGGGCTGTGGTGGAGATTAGGAAATTCACATCATCATCACTATCATTACATTTCTATCCCACCCATAGTTGAAGCTTTCTGGGCAGTTCACAACATTTTAAGTTACCCATCCAGATTTCAACCAGGCCCAACCCTGCTTAGCTTCCAGGATTAGGCAGGATCAGGCTATCTGGAAGCTAAATGACAACGTCCTGTCAAATGCCATTACCAGGTGGAGTAGAGACGCAGCACCTACTTTCAGGAGCTGACACAAGGCAAGCTGGATGTAGGACACGAAGAATAACCTGCAGTCAAGTATCTCTAAACCAATCTAGGCATTTCATCAAAGTGAGAGGTTTTTTAAAATCTGCGTAGGTGACCTACCCCCACAACCACACAAACACACTTCTCAACCAATTGCATCCCAAAGCTAACTTTAACACAATGAGCTCCTACTTCTCAGCCTTGCCCTGGCCACAACTTGCTAAGCCAGCCCCATCCAGTGCTTTCCTGACACTGCCCTGAGTGCCTGGCCAAAGGCCCCTTGTGGGAGCTTGTCTTTCCTTCCCACTTTTCAAAGCCCCACCTTGGATTTGCGTGAGCCAGTCGGGCTGGTTGTAGTGCTCAGAGGCAATGGTGAGGGTGTTGAGAAAGACAAGGAGCAGCACCATCCAGTAGAAAGAGACTGACTTGACAGCCAGCCGACATTTCTTCCGGAACTGACGGTTGACACGTCGCACTCGGCGGCTGTCTCAGAAAAGGAAGGAACAAAAGTTGCTGAAGAGTTCAGGAGAGCCCAAAACAGATGGGAAGGCAGCTATCGTTATACTCACCCGAATTTGGTCTTGGAAAGCTTGCCTCTGTGAAAAATAGGAGAAAGTGAAGAAGAGATCAAAGAAAGCCTCCTGTTATGATTGGAAGCCTGTCCCCTATGTAAGGCTGCAAATATGTCCAGGCTGCAGGGACAACCACTCCCAAAGGAGCTCTGTTGTCCAAGCATTCTATGTCACAGATATTCCAAACCTGAACCAGGGGTCCCATCATTCTTTTAGAAGACTGCTCCTTTAAATGTAGCCCGAGGTGCTGAAATTAAGCTGGTGAAACACACTTTCTATCACCAGATCTCCATACCAGGAAAAGGTTAACTTGCTACATTTCTAGAAGTTGGCTGCTGTAAAAAGCACAGAAGTAGTAGAGGTAGGATTTGGGGGGCAGTAATGGCACCTCTGGATGATAGTCCTGGAGCTGGACAGGGCACAGAGGAGTCCATCCATTCCACGTGCTTGACATACAGAGTTTTCCCCAGGCATACTTTGGGGACTTGCCTGTCTGCTGCCCTACTCAGTAAAGGTGCAGAACTCTTCAATAATGCAGAGAGTGGGAGGGCCTTGTCTACAGTAGGAATGCCAGAGGTGGGAAGAAATGATCTATTGAGGCAGGAAGCAATCAGAGACACAGAGATTTGAGGTGAATTTACAAAATGGACGACTTGGAAAGTCTTGTTCTAACTTTCTACAAGGGCTTGAAAATACTGAAATTAAAAATGACTGATTATCGGCTATATTCAGATAGGTTTATCACTAGAAGGACTGCCTTCTATATCTGGTTGGTGATGCTCAGTTTTATGGGCAAGGCTGGAATCTGAAAGCTAGGTCTTTCCCTTGACCCATAAGGTTTATCCATGATGGCTAGACTGTCCCCATGGATTGTAGGTGGCTTTGGCCTGATCCTCGAAGGCTAACAGCTAATCGCATTGCAGAACAGTCCTATGATGTGGAAATAGGCTGGCTAGATTTGTACCTCACCCCTGTTGGGCCAAGGGTCTCCCTGAGAACAGGGAGGTTTGGTGAAGCTGGGCCTTCCTCCTGCATGTGTTATGTTCTTCCCTATTCTGTCAATCCTCTTCTCATGCTCAGCAATCCCAGAGGCACTCCTGGCATGAGGCAAGCTGCAGCAGCCACATGAACGGGCAGGCTTTGGCTACCACAAAGGATGGCAGAGTAGGAAACAGGCCGATCTAATGCATAGGCCATTTTCCTCTGCAAGTCTACAAAACTGAATGGAAGAGTACCGATGAATTGTGCCATATTAAGTGACAACAGTCAAGGTGCTCCAGGTATAAAAATAGCTTAGGATGGCCCTAGAAAAAGCTATATCCTTGGCAAGGCAGAATGCCTTGCTGCCCTTCCAGACAACACATTAACCTGAACATCATTACAAACCTCTGTGTATGCATACACACATGCAGAGAGAGAGCAAAGAAAAGAAGGGGAGGTGGGATGCGAGAGAGAGAGAAAAAGATAAGATTTCCTGAGCAGCCTTTAGTATTGTGGAATAGTATTGCATGGAATGGGGGAGAGATCACTTTCAGACAGTGATGTTTGAATTTCAGGAACTACAAGAATGTCTCTTGTCATCTGGGAAATGTCGGAGGATATGATTCAGTGGTCGAGACAAATGCAGCAGAAGTTCAGTCATCACTGATGCTGCCACTTTTGAATATCACTGCAAGGACTTTCACAGCATTCTGGGCTTTCCACACCTCTGGGTGCCACCCCAGTACCAGATGCTTTTTGTCTTTCAAAAGTGAGCAGACATGTGGCATCACTAGGTCTCACCTCATGAGTCTCTGAACTGGCAAGCAATTCTGTTGGGTGAATTATAGCAAATGCACAGAACAGATGATTGGCTGAAGAGTTTACCCTACTTAATCCTAGACTAGCCATCTCCAAACTCAGTGCCACCCAGACCCCCATGATCCCCACCAGCATGGCCTTCATCCATGTGGTCTGGTAGCGAATTGGGTAGTGGACAGTATACAAAAGTTTTAAATAGATAAATAATTTTTAAAATAGAGAATTGGGGTTGCTGTCCAGCTCATCTAGAGGGCATGAAGCTGGGAAGGCTGCCCCACACAGAGCCTGTGCCACCTGCAACCAAAGCACCCTCATAATGTTCCCTGCTGCACAAGAGAAATCTCCACAGGGCAGGGGCTGAGGAAGAGGTGAAATGGCTTTATGGCTCCATGTCCATCAATTTGACAACTGTCTCTCCAAACTGGCAGCCACTCATCCCTGCTGCCCAAGGTCCTTTCAAAGAGAGATGTCAGGACTGATTCTGAGACCTTCTGCCTGAAAAGCAAGTGCTCTGCCACTGGGAGTGGGAAGGACAGGAGCCGAGCCCCCACCTTCCTGTAGAAGTCAGCCTAGAGCACAGGATAACTGAACGTTTTGCGTTATATTGCAGTCCCCAAAAGCGCTCCTTCCTGTAGCCAAGCAAACTTACAGGCACTGGTCACAGATGTTGTTCTGATGGTGCTCTTCGTCCCCAACGTTCTCTGTATTCACTGAGGTGGTTTCACTGGCAGGAAGGCTGGCTGGGGAGAGAAAGGCAAGTGGAATTCTTCAGAATATTAACAAGGATTCATATAAGCAGGTAGGGAAAATCTGTGACTCTCTAGAAGTTGTGAGACTTCAATTCCCAGCACCCCTGAACAGTGGCCATGGGAGTTGGAGTATGGCAACATCTAGTGACTCCCCATCTTTATCTTACAATAATTCAAGCCTCTGACCGGCATTAAAACCACAATGGCAACTCCCCACTTAATGTTATGACCCATTCACTTGTCACTTTTGTGATAAAGGTGGGCTTAAAGTATGCAGAACTAAAAAAGATGCAGGAAAGGGCAACCAAAATTCTCATGGGGCTAGAACAATTCCTCTATGAGGAAAGGTTACCATGTTTGAGACACCTTAGGCTAAGAAAAGAGTTGCATAATAAGTTGCATGAAAGAGGTGCCCAAAATTATGCAAGATGAGGAGAAAGTGGAGAGGGAAACACTTCTTTCATATTATAATAGCCCGATATTCATCCAATGCAGCTAAGTGTTGGGGGATTCTGGATGGATTAAAGGAAGTATTTCTTCATACTGCACACAGCCGAACAGAGAAATTTCCCATCGCTAGATGACATGATGAAGCCATCCACAATCTTGGATGGATTTAAAGAGGGATTAAACAAATCAGCAGAGGATAAGGCTACTAGTTATGGCCTTTAGTATCAGGCAATATGTTCTTAGTACCAATTGCTGGGGAACACAAGCAAGAGGGTGCTCTTGTGCTCATGCCCCACTTGTGAGCTTCCCATTGGGGCATCTGGTTGCCCACTGTTGGGAACAACACCCTGGACTAGGCTTTTGGTCTGATCTGGCATGCCTCTTCCAATGTTCTTAACATAGTACTGAAAGGCACTACGGGCAAATCAGACTGGCCACTGGCAAGACTGCAACACATCCTGGAATTTCATTCCTCGCCATGATTGAAAAATCATCCTCAGAACCTCCCCCATTTCTGGAATGTTCCCTTATGTCACCACCAATAATAGGATAGGGAAATGGGGTGGGTGTTGTAGGTGGTCCTTAGGGCACAGTTATCCTAGGTGGATTTCCTGGTGGTCTCTGAGACCGTCAAGAAAATAACTGAGGAAAACACTGAAATACCTAATGTTTCTAAGATGTTTGCTGAAGAAACAAACAGTTTTTCTGTATAATTATTAAAATATATGCTGAAAAGCAGCTTGCATCTTGCACAGCACATGCGGCTGCCATGGAAACTTTAAGGAATGAAAGGATGATAAATAGAAACAAAACAGAGATCTTCAGGCTCCAGAGAGGGAACACGAAGTTGCCAAACACTGAGTCATTCCCTAAATCCATCTAGACTAATATTGTTCAGTCTGATTGGCCTCAGACCCTGCCTAGTCCTGTCTAAGATTCTTTCACTTGACATGGTGAGGACTGAACCTAGGACTTTTCACATGGGAAACAGACAGCCTCCCACTGAGCTATGGACCTGCTTGGCCAACTGACCAGGAAGTCTGACAGGGGGAAACTGCAACGGATTCCTGCCTCTCCTGTTGCAGAGGAGGAGGAGAAACGATGTGTCATGCTGACTGGAACCAAGGAGAAAGAATCAGATTCTTGAGTAGAAATCAGTTTGTCAAAGGACTACCCATACCATGGCCATAATATCTGATAATCTGCAATGAACAAACAAATCAGAATAGCAGTTGCAGTATAAGCACACAGATTTGGATCAGAACAAAGGCCTGTCTAGCTACAGAGCAGTCAACCAGCCATCTGTGGAAAGCCCACAAGAGATGATGCATCTCACCCATGTTTCTGGTGCACAGAGAGGCATATTACATCTGATACTGGAGGCACTATTTAACCATCAGGACTAGTAGCCATTGATGAAAGTAGAACACATTAAAAATGGAAGCTTAGAGAAATCAGTCTAGACAGTCCATGAACATGGGTGGAAAAGGGGATGGAAATGCAGTGTTCCTGCAGCTTAGCCCTCAAATGAAACAAAGCATCAACATTATGTAAGAAAATGAGGAAATTACTGTGGGTGTCGGTGGAGTGGCTGCTATGCCTGAACCATTTCTTCTTCTTCCTCTCTGTGAGGTCTGCCACAGTCACACCTTCCATAAGGGAGGCAAGGATAGAGGACAGGATGGAAAGAGATGAATGAAAGGATGGAGGGATAAATAGGAGAAGGAATTATTTAGAACCAGGATGTAAGGAAGTAGATGAAGAATAACACATATTGATGAGTGACATGACAAAAATGCAAGGAAAAGTGGGGAAATTAACCTCAACATTCTACTTCCTTTCCCCCACTTTGTTTCTAGAACTAAATGGTGAGCTAGAGGTGCTCCCAGCTTGGCAGCTCCTTCTGCAGGATTGTTGAACTTCAGGGACTGGGATCCCAATCCAGCCTTCTGGGGGTCCCAGAAAGGCCCCACATTCCCCTTAGCCCCTTTCTTCCAACTTCCATTCTTTGATGGTTTGAAGGCTTTTGAGCATTTTTCTCAACCACTCTAAAAAGCTGAAATTCCTCTTCTAATTCTGAGCTACAGGCAGAGTCAGAGCCCAGTTAAAGCTAAAATAACTGGATATTTTGGCCCACCCACTTTGCTTCAGCCCCCCCCCCCCTCATTTTCTCTGGAATGGCATTTGGCCCACGGGCTTAAAGAGGCTGAACACACCTGCCCTTGAAATGATCACACTTTTTTTGAAACCTATATGCAAAATGCAGGAGACTCTTCACACTTCAAGAGCTATTGTGCTTTTTGTATCTGTACATCACACTAAGTCTCATCTCCCTGAGTGAGTGTGACTTAGCTATGTGGGATGGGAAGACACAATTCACTTGAGGACATCACTTGTCATTCAAACATCTTTCTAAAACAATTTTGAGCATCAAGCCAACAGCACCATCCCATCCAAACTCAAATGACTATATCTATCTTACTGAAGGTGGAAGAAGTATGGAGAAAGGCTTATGCAACAGATTTCAGCTGGCTAAACCCTTTATACTAGCATGCAAGGGGAACAGGGTGAGGTGCCACCGAGATGCATTGTAGCATCCTCTCCCCACCCACAAACCTCCAGACCTGAGGTCTGCCCTCTAACCTTGGAGTCACAGCCAGTGCAGAAAGAACCATGCCAGCTGCAAGGATGTGGGGACCGCACTTCACGGTCAGCATCATCACTCTGACTTTAGAGTGCATTTCTGAGGGTGGAGCTGGGACTCCAACTGCTCTTATGGCCATCAAAATGCTGTCCAGGACTATGCCCTAAGCGCTTCTTATTTGGTCACAGTTGCACTATTGAATACATTTCATCTGCAGCTGTTTGAAAGAAGATATAAAATTATCCATCTTTAGACAGCAAAAAGGCCTACAACTCCCAACATGCCCCGCTGGCTGGGGCATGCTGGGAATTGCAGGGCTTTCGACTGTTTAAACCTATACAGGATTGTGTCCTAAATGTCTTTACAGACTACAAAGCGTTTTAGCACTGATTATCAGAAGTGGAAAAAAATTAACAGAATATAAATTAGCACTGACTTAAAAGGCAGTATGTTGTTTTTAACCAGTGTAAACATTTGTGCTAGAACACTTCAATTTAAGTTCTACTCTGCACCAAGAAAAAAATAGTCAAGAAGAAATTTTAACTCACATTAAAGGAATGATTATAAGAAGCAAACACACTTATAAATTGGTGCTTATTAAAAAGGCAATATTGGAGGTGTGCCAATGTGTAGATGTAGGGAAACAGGTTTATCTGCCTGATATATCGCTGTACATATCAAAACTACAGCTAACAAGGCAGAGGAGTAGTGCTAAGGTGGAAGAAACTTGCAGAGACTGTATCACTCCATCACATTTTTAGCAAAGATAAATTTTTGAATAAAAGTGAAGGTAACATGGAGAAGACACAGGAGGGGAGCAATTTGGAGATGATATCCTGTAGATGCCATGTAAAAATGAACCAGCACATAGCAATTCCACAGTAGTGTGGGAGCCCTCTGAAACTCCTGAATTTGCCTGGATTTCTGAGAGCAGTATTGAAGATGGAAAAGGGTGAAAGATCCCTGGAACTTTTCCTCACTGAATGGGGAATGATGGGCAGAATTGGGAAAACAGCCTTCACTCATGAAAATATATTTGCCATTCAGGATTTAGCTGCTCCAAAAGTGTGCTCAGTGACCCCAATGCAGCTAATGAGGTCCCAATCAGCTAATTAACTCAATGCCAGGGGTTGTACCCTTGGAACTCCCCACTGCTGTTCCTTGCTACAGATCACAGCCATGGGGAAGGGTATGTGCAGGTTAAAGCTGCTACTAATTGGCTGATTCTGGGAACTGCTCCAGGGAAGAGCACAGTCTCTGTATCCCTTTCCTCACCAAAAGGCAGTGGGGACAGGGATGGGATGATAGGAAGAGCATGGGGGGAGAAAAGAACGGCAGGAACTATGTTGAGAAGATGAAACAACAGAGTGACCCACTCATCTGACCTGTTTATTCTATTCTTGCCACTCAGTCTGTATGCCCCATATATTTTCAGCGGCTGGTGTTCTGCTGGTTGCTTTGGCATGTGCACAACACTGGACTTCTGCACTCTCCTCCATCCTAGCAGAGTCCCTTCCCAGGCTGGCAATTTACTCAGGTTCCCACTAATCTTGCCTTGCCACAGCTTGGACTGATTCCTCTCTAATCCCTTCACCCGAAGCTGCTACAAGGCCCAGATGGTAGCATCCAGGCTGCTAACTAAATCACCCCCTGGAACAGCAGGGCAGCATTCTCTGGCAAAACAGGGCCAGGAGTCTGGGAAGAGGCCTTACGAGTGTGCTTCTCATCTGCCTCGCCCTCTTCGTCATCAGGTTCTATGTCTTCAGCCTGTGTGATCCAATCCAGGTAGCCCTTCAGATCCTCCTCCATCTGCTGCTTCTCTCGGAGCTTTTGGAAGTCGCCCCGGGCTTTGGCCTTCTCTCGCTCTTTGGAGAACTCTCTGTAGGGAAGAACTGGTCAAATTAGCCGAGCACACACTCGCTCAGTTGCCTGCAGGCAGCTCTCCTGCAAATGCATTGCCCACCTGCCGGCAGTGCAGCCTTTGATTCAGCCAGCTGACATGTGCTTGGCTCAGCTAGACCGCTCTTGGGGTGCTTAAGTTAGACACGGAGCTGAATCAAAGCATCAAGAAGTTGCAGCAGGTCAGCAAGATAACAGTATAACCCCTCACCCCATACACATTCCCAAGGCAGCATCAGGCACAAGCCAGCAGCTCACATAAACTAGCCACAGAGAGAGTTGCAGGCAAGCTCAAATGCCAGTGACTGGCTCATGGGTAGATACTCTGTGATATGGAGGGCCATGACTGGAGGGGGCTGTAGTATGAAGTCAGCCTCAGCTCCTGCCCATCCCTCCAGCAATGTACTCTTGCCTACCACAGAGTGGTAGATGCAAAACTAGAATGAGGGGCTGAGGCTTTGGGCCATTTGCTGAAAAGATGAACTACCCCGACACACACCATGCCGATGTGCCCTGAAGAGCAACCGGCTCCAGTGAATGGCTCATCCTTGGACTGGCATCTGCCATCAGCCATGCAAGCCCTAAATCCCCCACCCAGTACCTTTTTCTGCCTGTTCTGCAGGGCTGGTGAACTGAATTGCCTGAACTGAATGTCTTATGGGGAAACCCTTTACTTGGTGATGTGCATTGTGCACCTAACATTTCCTCTGCAACACTTTCCACACTCTTCCCTTTCTGGATAGACAAGCCACAGCTTAGAGATGCTGCTCTGCTTCCATTTTCCAGCCATGTCTTTCCCTCCATCTTTTTTCATACATGTGAAGTATCAAATGCATAAATTATACATTTGTACAGGTCACAGTACCATGGTACAAAATCTGGGCTACCTTGGTACATGCTTACTTCACATGTTATTATTTTTTCCTGGTGAGGAACTGAAACTTGATGTTATAAAATGCAAACAAATTGATATTAACTGGAGATTGGCTTGTAAGACATTTTCCCCTTTGATATTTGTTCTGGAGAAGTGACCCTTGTGCCACAGCATGCTCCAAATGTGACTTACCCACTCAGCACACCCAAAACAAGATTGAGCACAAAGAAGGAGCCAAAGATGACCAGGCTAACAAAGTAAAGCCAGGGCAGTTCATGTCCCATTGCATCCTGCATCTGGGGCAGAGAGAGAGAAACAGCCAAGGAGTCATCCACTTGGATGGCAGCATTCTGCAAATTACCTTCAGGAGGAGCCTAGCACAGCCCCCTATTCCCATACCAGCTGGGTTGCCGCCTCACCCAATAGAGCACGTCAGTCCAGCCTTCCATGGTGATGCACTGGAAGACAGTCAGCATGGCAAAGAAGAAGTTGTCAAAGTTGGTGATGCCTCCATTGGGTCCATCCCACTTGCCACGGCACTCGCTATTGTTCACCGTGCATTCTCGACCATGCCCAGAGAATGCACAAGGCGATGGGTCCTCTTCCGCCTCTAAGTCTGCAAGGATGGTAAGAAATGGGGAGATGGAGAATGCAGGTGAATAGAGGCAGGGTGGGCTGGGATAGTTTATTCCAGTGCTGAGCCAACCATCTTTTACAAACTTTTCCAAACCTCTCAAAATACTGCAGGCTTTCTTGCCAGGGGCCACTCAGAAATTCTACATGGAAAAATAGTTCTAGAATGTTTTAAAAACTAGGCACTGAAGAATATAAACACTCAGTTCTTTAAATCCAACCATGTGTGTGCATCAGTATAAACCTGATTGGCTATTTGGGTCAGTGACATCAATCACATTCATTGTGCGACCCCTGATTGGTTGGGATCATATCATGAAAAGCCCATTTAAGGGTCTTGTTTACTTTTTGTTTTAAGGCGCCAAAACGTTTTATATTGTTGAAAATAGCAACTTTCTCATAGAAAAAAATCTAGCCACACAATTTTCCCAATTCTGCAAGGGAGAAAAAGGACTTTTCCCTACAATTCATTAATACACACTTGGTTCCCAATTATTCTTTGGAAGGGCAAAAGTCACTACTTTCTCCCACAGCAGCAGTTTAACTATACCTGAGCCTATGATGAAGCAGGTCTTGTGCATGCGGCCTATGAAGAGCTCCAAGCCAATGATGGCATAGATGATGATGACGAAAAGGACAAGGAGTGCAATGTGCAGGAGGGGCACCATCGCCTTCATGATAGAGTTCAAAACTATGTGCAGGCCTGATGGGAGAGAAGGATTCAGGACACCAAGTCAGGTCTGGAGAGTTGTGTTTTACAGTGGTGTTTTGGCAAATAGTGCAACTCCATTGGCCCCGGACAGGCACAAGGCCACACAGTGATCTGTCTGCTTGTCTCAGCAGCACAGCAGAATCAGAAGAGGGACACTGCTCCTCCATTCTGCAGTACATGTTTGTAGAAAACCTGAAACTAGATCCTTCCAACATGACCTGCTTCTGGGTCAGGTTTTATATGCAGAAGAAAGTGCCCTTGCACTGCAATCTATTAGAACATGGGTCCTCAAACTACATCCAGGGGGCTGGATCCGGTCCTCCATGCCCATTTATCTGGCCCACCATGCCCATTTGGACCCGCCACATGCACGCCTGCATCCACATGCGCTTCCGCCACCGCCCACCTCGTCCCACGCGTGGGGAGGCAGCAGTTTGCCCGCCCAGAGAAAATCTCCAAGCGAGCAAGCTGCTGCCTCATGCGCCCACCTCGCAGCACGTGCCCACCCCTGCCCGCACCTTGCCTTCCCTAGCCGTGCACGCCCGCGCCTCCCCCACCCCTGCCCCCGTGCACCGCCAGCACCACCTTTTCGGCCCGTGCCCAGCACCGGCAGCTTTCAATTGGCCCTCTGGCAGAAAAGTCTGAGGACCCTTGTATTAAAAGGTAGGACTAAGAGCATTCACAGTGGTGCAGAGTGTGGCAATTTGGGTCGTGTGCTGCATAGTACACATGGTAAGAGGCAATACAGAGACATGGATTGCAATGTAGCATTGTGGCATGGCCCTGGACAGGAAGCATGCAGCTTCCTGTCATCAGGGAGGCCAAGTCATGTACAAGAAGGCAACCCCAGGTACAGTGCAGCAAGGTAACGTGCAAAGCTGTGCATGTGTCATGACATTAGAGCAGATCACGCAGTAATGCAAACCAACTTGCAGGCCCAAGCAAGCCTGGTTGTATGCAAGGCAGTGTCTGCAATGCAGTGCAGGAGATTAAACATGAGCCTTGATGTATTAGTATGCTGCAATCTAATGCAGCACAGAATGAAAACATATGGGCAGGAAAACAGATGTGACAGTTGCTAGTGCTGTGGCATTTAGGCAATCATTATGTGGAGTTTGAACAAAAATGCCACAGAAGGCTATCATTGCATTGCAGTACGGTTGTATATTATATTCTGTTTATGTGGCCTCACAAAAAACATAGAAACAGAGCGAGTCAGAAGGGGTCTCCCGGGCCATCTACTCTGACCCCTGGCTCCAGCCGGCTCCACTCATGACATGCCCACCATGTGCATGCCCAGCCTATCTTTGAACACCCTCACCGATGGGGCCTCAACCACCTCCCATGGAAGCCCATTCCACACCCTCGGGGTCCTGACTGTCAGGAAGTGCTTCCTGGCATCCAAAAGAAACCTTGGCTCCCTGAACTTTGCTCCATTGGAGCGCAATCTGCTTTCCTCTGCAGGGGAGAACAGGTCTCTACCCATCTCCATATGACATCCCCTCACATACCTGTATGTCACCAACATATCCCCTCTGAGTCACCTCTTCTCCAGGCTGAAGAGACCCAGTTCCCTCAGTCTCGCCTCATACCCCATCCCCTGCAAACCGGCCACCAACCTTGTGGCCCTACACTGCACTGACTCCAACCTGGCTATCCTTTCTGTAATGAGGGGCCCAAAACTGAGCACAATACTCCAGTTGTGGGCACACCAGAGTTGTATAGAGTGGTAGTAATACCTCTCTCGATCTAGAAGCCACACTTCTGGCTATGCAACCAAGGGTGGCGTTTGCCCTCTTGACTACCGCATCACACTGCTGACTCATGTCTAGCCTGCAGTCAACCAGCACCCCGAGGTCCCTTTCACAAGTGCTGCTCTCCAGCCACTTGTCCCCTAACCTGTACTTATGACACCTATTCCTATGCCCCAAGTGCAAGACCTTGCACTTATCCACATTGAACGCCATCCTGTTGTCTCCTGCCCACTTCCATAGTCTGTCCAGATCCTTTTGGAACTGGAGTACCTGCTCCTCACTTGTGGCCACTGCTCCAGTTTTAGTATCGTCTGCGAATTTGATCAGCAGACAGTTCACCCCCTCTTCCATGTCATTTATGAAAAGATTAAACAGGACTGGCCCCAGGACAGAGCCCTGGGGGACCCCGCTTGTTACTGGCCGCCATCCCAGTGATTCCCCATTAATGGTTACCTTCTGCTTTCGGTCAGTCAACCATGCCCTAATCCACCGGACAATGCTTTGGTGTATTCCAAAACTCCTCAGTTTCTCCACCAGGATATCATAGGGCACTTTGTCAAAGGCCTTGCTGAAATCCAGGTAAACCACATCCACTGCATCCCCTCCATCTAGTCATCTCGAAACCTTGCCATAGAATTCCACAAGGTTTGTCTGGCAGGACCTGTTTTTGCGGAAGCCGTGTTGTGTGGCTGCCAGCCTCCCTTCCATATCTAGCATTGTTAGATCTCTCTCTATTATGAGCTTTTCCTTTGTTTTTCCTACAATGGATGTAAGGCTAACAGGTCTGTAATTCCCCATGTCCCTTCTTCTACCCTTTTTGAAAATTGGGACCACTGATACCACCCTCCAGTCCTCTGGAACTTCACCCGTTCTCCACAAGGCCTCAAAAATGGAGGCCAGCGGGCGTGAGAGAACCCCTGCCAACTCTCTAAGTATTCTCGGGTGTAACCTGTCAGGGCCTTGACATTCTTGGCAAGTCTCAGCTCGTAATCAGCCTTAGCCTTGCGAAGAATCCTTCAGCAATGAGCCTCCTCCTCCTGGTATACCCTTTTGTCTATTTCCCCACTACCCATTTCCTGGGAGGTTCCTCTTTTGCCTAATCCCTCTAATCATCTCCTTTTGCATCCATGGCAGCGCTCTTCTTTACCTCCCCACCTTAGTAACTAGAGGTATCATTAAGGCTTGCGCCTCTAAAACCTCCCCTCTGAGTGCCATCCACCCCTCCTCAACTCGCTTGCCTTCCAGTAACCTATCCCAGGAGACTTTCCCCAGTCTGGCCTTCAGTTGGCCAAAGTTGGCCCTCTTGAAGTCCCAGTTTCTAGTGCTCGACCTGCTGCACGTCCCCATTCCCCTGATCTCAAAGCAAAGGATGGAGTGATCACTCGCATCCAGAGCTCCCCTGATCTGTAGTTCATCTATCAGCTCCTCCCTGTTGGTCAAGACCAAGTCAAGGATGTTCCCTCCCTCTCCTCATCCTTCGGACCCTCTGTGTGAAAAACTCTCCCTCTATAGCCTCTAGGAAGCAATGTGACCTGGCTGTCACCGCCGAGTGAGTCTCCCAACTAATATCTGAGAGATTGAAATCTCCCATAATTACTGTGTCTCTCCCCCGAGATATCCTTAGGATCTGGCCGGTCAGGACATCATCCAGGGTCTCAAGTTGACCTGGAGGGCGATAACATACCCCCACTGTCAGGTCTCTTTCCCTGTCAAAACCCCTAAGTTTCACCCAGACTGCCTCTACTGAATCCCCATCTGTGCTGCATTCTATCTCACTGCATCCTATCCCTTCCCTGACATATAAAGCTATACCCCCACCCCTCTTTCCCTTCCTGTCCTTTCTAAAAAGGTGATACCCCTCTATGTTTACATTCCAGTCTTGCCTTTCATCTCACCAAGTTTTTGTGATCCCCACCAGGTCATACCCTCCTATTCCCAGGAGAGCTTCAAGCTCTTCCTGATTATTACCCATGCTCCTAGCATTAGTATACATGCACCTCAACTCCTTCCCACCACTTCCTTTCTTTGGAGTTCCCAGCCACCTCCTTCCTCCCATCCTCCCTGATACCTGGCCTTTCTTTGCAGGAGTCTTGTCAGTCCCTGCAGTACCTCTAAAACCCTGGTCACAGAGCCCTGATCCTCTCCCCACACTTGTCCACTGCAGACACGTTTCTGGGAGGCCTGAACAGCACCCCCCCCCCCCCCCCCGCTCCGTTTAAAGTCTTCCGGACGAAGCTCACTAGAGCATCTCCAAAGGACCTTTTCCCCATTCTCGTGAGGTGTAACCCGTCCCTTGCCAGAAGTCCATTGGCAAGAAACCAGGTACTGTGCTCAAGAAACCTGAAGTGTTCCTTCTGGCACCACACCCTAAGCCAGTCATTCACCTCAGAGACCCTCCTGTCCCTTTCTGGCCCAAATCCCCAGACTGGTAGGATCGATGAGAAGGCCACTTGGGCCTTTAGCTCCCTGAGTTTCTTCCCCAAGGCCTCAAAGTCCCTGGTGATCGAGTCCACACCCTGCCTGGCTATGTCATTTGTCCCCACATGGATCACCAGAAGCAGCTGGTGACCCCCAGAGTGAACAAGATGCTCTACTCTATCCTTCATCTGCCAGAAGCGTGTGCCCGGCAGGCAACAGACCACCCTCACCTCAAGGTCGGGGCAGCACACCCCCACCTTAGTGCCCCTCAGCAGGGAGTCCCTGACGACAATCAACCACCGCCGTCTCTTCTCTGTGGTGGTAGGCGGCTGTGCCCTGGCCTTCGCCTCTCCTGCAGTGGCCCTCTTGCCGCTTGTGGTCCCAGGCTGGGGGTCCTGCTGGTCCCCTGAGGCCTCATCAGCCCCAGCCTCCGCAAGTGGAGAGAACCTGTTTCCCAGCTCCAGATTGGTGCCAGGAGGAGGAGGAGGCTGTGCTGGCCTCCTCCTCCTGTGGTGACATGCCTCCATGTCTCCCTGGCTGCTCCTCCTTTGTCTGGAGGGGGACTGCTCCCAGGGGGCCTGGAGAGCTCTCCCGGCCCTCAGGCACCTCACCTCCACCTCTAGGAGGGTCATCAGCTTGCACCGAGGGCAAGTGTATCCCTGCCTCTCCTTGGGAAGAAGGCCGAACATGTCGCAGCTGTCGCAGCAGACACAAACACCCATGACTCCCACCAAGGCCATCTCCTGGTCTGCCATTGGGAACCCTTCAGAGAACCTACCTTGGTCCTCTGCCTTGCCTGTCCTGCACTACCCCTCACTCACCCAGTTCTCCCAGACAAAAACCCACACACACACACAAGGATAAAATAAAAATTTAAATTGGAGGAAAACAAAACAAAACAAACCAAGAACACTGGGGCAATGTGTGGTACAGAAGTATATGCAGGGGCGGGGGGGGGTGATGCTTACTGGGGACACCAGAGACGAGGCGCAGAGGTCTCAGTACCCGGAAGGCTCTCAGGGCTTTGACATCAAACCCACCCGGCTTCCCACTCATATGATGGGCTTCCCCAGGCTTGTGGGAAACTTGCTCCAGGATGACACTGAAGAGGCTGTGGAGAAAATGTTGGATGAGACAGGGGAGAAGAAATGTTTGCCCACATCGCGACAGGTTGGCTATCCAGCTCAGCCTTCCCCAACTTGGTGCCCTCCAGAAATGTTGTGCTACGTCTGCCCACATTCCCAGCCAGCAACCCAGCGGTACTTCCACCACGGTGCCCCCAGCAGTCCAGGCGCAGTGCACCCAAGGCCAGATAAGTTATTTTGCCATCTCGGGCAGAACCTGCCCTCCCCCCCTCCTAGCACCTCTCACCTTCCATACACAATTGTACAATTAATAATATTTAGTGCTGCCTTTCCAAGACACCCAAAATCAGCTTCCTGAGGCAGCTATTTCACTCTGCCCAATAGCAGATTTGTGGCAGGACTTGTTAGAGCAGTTGGATCCAGCCAACGTGTTAACCCACATTTCAGTCATAGTCCATGATTCAAGGACAACCCACACGCAACCCTTGAGTGTGGATGATCCTGATGTCTATGCTACTTGTCCATCTGGTTAAGCACTGTTAACTTTGACTGGCAGAAACTCTTCAGAGCCTCATGTACCCATCCTCCCCATCACCTGATCCTTCCAACTGGGGGTGTCAGCAATTGAAGCTGGGACCTTTTGCATGCAAAGCTGCTGCTCTGTCATCAAACTGCCCCCTTGCATCAAGGGGGCAATCTTTTTCCTGCATTTGTTTATACTGAAATTATGTGTCACCTATATGATTTAACTTTGGGGCATAGCAACATAAAACACAATACCAGTAATACAAGTAAGCAGGGTAAGACAGAGTGGAGTTGGAATTAACCAATATATTTAAATGTCAGGGTATGGGTGTAGGGATTAAAAGTGCTGAACTGGGGCTCAGGAGATCCAGGTTCTAGTTCCCATTCAGCCATGGAGCTCACTGGGTGACTTTGGGCCAGTCACAGACTCTCAGCCCAACCTACCTCACAGGGTAGTTGTTATGAGCATAAAATTGAGAGGAGGAGAAGGAAGTGGAGGAGAAATGTGTAAATTGTCTTGTGTTCCTTGAAAGGAAAAGGGCAGGACAGATCTATAACAAACAAACAAACAAACAAACAAACAAAGATTTAACCCTGTGCCTAAAGGGCAGCAAAGAACAGGCTGATTGGACCTCACTGAAGAGAATGTTCCATGGGGCCCCACAACAAAAATATCCTTGCTCCAGTCACCCCCTGGACAGCAGGGGCACCTGGAAAAGGACATCAGCAAACGACCTGAATCAATGGGCAAGTTGGTCCAAGAGCAAGTGTTCTTTTATCTTGGCTTGACATGCTTTTACAATCCACTCCACGTCCATCATATTGTATCTTGAGAGACCAGGTATGTCAAGCCCTTTCCCCTGACTGGGCAAGTGCCATCCCTTGTCCTGTCCTAGTGCTAGTGAGCTCTATCTATCTCACAGCAGTACCCCTTAAGTCCAAGGCACCACCCCAAGGCTAGCATCTCAGATCTGAGCCTCGGTAGACCTGGCTTCCATGCTATCTGGTTACTTCCAGCACTTTGATTCTACAGCCCTGTACAAAGATAGACTTGTCACTACAAGACTGGGCCCAGTCAACAGACAGTGGGATAGCAGGAGTACACCAGCATCGACGGCAGGCATATTCATGTATGTCTGGCAGACATGACCCTTAATCCATCCCAGTTTTGAGGAGTAAGGGTCACAGGTTAAAATGCATAGGAACCCATATATATGTACATACAGTAACGGTCAGAGGTTACAGGGAGCATAAGGAGATGGCAGGGCTGTGACCATTTGCAGTATGGTCCTGCTTTCTGGCAACTCTGCTTCAGGACTTCTCTCAACCAAAATTTGGGCAGGCTCCTCTTTCCCATTCTGGTATTTCAGAATCAGGCAACCAAGTGGAATGATTGTCACACACACTTTAATGCCACCACAAAAACTCACCCCACCACAACGATAACAAAATCAAGAAGGTTCCAGCCATTGCGGATATAAGCACTAGGATGCATCACCAAGCCATACGCAAGAATCTTGAGGAAAGTCTCCACTGTGAAAATGATGAGAAAAACGTACTCCACTTGCTCCTGCAGAGTTGGGAGGAAGGAGGCCAGGAATCCCAAGTTATACTTCCAAAGTTTTGCCTTTCATGTCCTGAAAGCAAACTAACACTTCCTTCCAATCTGAATCTGGAACCTTTGCCAAATGCTGTCAAAATCAAATTGCAAATTGCAAAGAGGTCCATTTAAACAGATTGTTATTCCAATTCTGACACTAGAAACTATGGCTGAAAATTCCACTCAAGGAAAAATGGGAAGGATTTCCCTGCATTAGTACAGACTCAGTTCAGGAACAGCATCAGCAGCTTACAGAGACAGCAGAGGAGCAGGATGTTTGTGACACAGAAACACAAATGCTAGCAGAGTAAAGAGCAAGGGAGACGAGAATCACATATATAAATGCATACACAGCAGTAGCAACACATCTGGCAGCATGCCATGTTTTCCCAAGAAAGGAAAATATGCACACATGTGCCTCATATGATGCAAAATTGGCAGTGGCGGGTGTGGGGGAGAGAGAGAGAAGAAATCTGCAGTGCAGATTATGGGAGTCATCATTTATAGGCCATCCCTACCAGTTGCTTACTAGGCCCCAGTAATGTGCAAGTATGAAATATAGTTAGTGTTTCTTTCTACCTCCCTCCCTTCTGCAGCAATAACTGCTCTCACTCCTGTACTGAAAATAGAACCCAGAAACCCTGAACTACAGACTGACATTGCAAATGATGAAACCCTTCTTTCTCATAGGCGTAGGTGCTGTGTGATTGGCATACCTATCCATGCTTAAGTTGCAGAGTGGGGAAAATAATTGGCTGAGAAATTAGATCATGCTCTGTCCCTGACCTCACTAAAGTCAGGTGTGCATCTGGATTTACCCCAGAGAAGAGAATAGGAATCAGGATCTGGCCCCATCCAGTTTTAGTCAACAGATTATTCTGGATTTACAGAAGCAGAGATCTGGGAAGCAGAGATCAAATTCTGACCCTGACCCCAGCTGCAATCTGTGGATGACTTCAGTTTTATAGAGGAGCTTTTCTGGCATCATTGCATGACCCTCACTTATTCACCAGAGCAAGGATGGTGAGGTAATGGGCAGGAGACAACTGTTGCCTCAGCTGGCCCCAGTCAGGTGGTGGATTAATGGTTATTAAGAGATAATAGTTTTAATTAGTATTACCGTGTTGCCTTGAGCCAAAATCAAGAGGCAAAGATGGAATTATTAAGAAAGAAGGAGGCCAAGGCAAAGAGTTTACTGGGCTACCAGAAGAAAAAATGCAGAAGGGAAGGGTATGATCTAGGATTCTGGGGTTCTCAAGAAGGAAGGTGGTACCCAATGGCTAGAGCAATGAAGAACTGGGAGCAATGATTCCTGGGTTCATGTGAAGGGGCCTTGTTTTGTGAGTCTTGGACCATTTAGTTCAGTATTATTGGCTTTGACTGGCAATTCCTCCAGGGTCTCTCAAATCTTCTAGAGGTCCACAATACTTTTAGCAAGCAATGCAAGGAACCAGTGGCAGTTCCAGCTTTGTGAGTGCCATTGAACAAGACCCCTTCAATGGGCCCCTGCCCCCAGTGAGTCTGCCTTATCAATGCCATTGTCACTAACTGCTCTTGCTACTCATCCATTTTCTCATGACTTGCTTGCTGGACAGGCAGAAAGCTTTGAGGAAGAACACAGTGGCATCTACCACTCCTTCTCTTTCTCATTACCACCATTGTCTGGGCAGGAGTGAAACACAGGGGAACAAGCAGCTTGCCATAGTGAAGAGAAGGAACAAGTGCAGGGGGCTCTTTTCAGTGGGTCCTTACTGGGATCTAGGCCTTTGGCAGGAGCCTGACCATGCCTAGCCTTGATACCAGCCCTGGCGAGAGTTCATGTGCAAAGCATGAGTTCTAACATGGAGGTCTTCTCTTTTTCCTCCCTTTGCTTTTACCCCACTTCTTTCTACCAATCCAAGGTTTCATGAAAGACTCTCACCAAGTTGTGGTTGGAGATGTTGGAGTCGTCCTCTGGGAAAGGGATGTAGACCCCCAAGGCCACACAGTTGGCGAAGATGGTCATAAGGATGAGGATGTCAAAGGGCCTGACAAGCATTCAGTTAAGGACCCAAACAAGACTCTTTCTTCCTTCCCTCAGAAAACACACACCCCTGCCTGCCTTCGCCCCACCCCAGCCAGCTGAGCTTCTCCCAAAGTATAAAAGCAGGATGCTTCCATTCGACAATGTTGATCGCAGCCTGGCGGATGGGGTTGTTCAGCCTGAGGCAGAAGAGGGCGCGTGGTGATCGGTGCACCACATTGGTGCCCTGGTTCTTATGCTTGTTGTGCTGGAGACGCTTTTTCTGCGCACCGCTGCCCGTAGAGCCCAGGGTGTCAGAGCCCCCACCAGTAAGCGTCCATGCCAGGGCCTGGCCTGTGGCCTCCACAAAGGCCTCTGCAGCGGAGCGCGGCACCTCCAGAGCGCCAGCTGCTGCGGGGTGGAAGTAGGGGTGGCGAGAGAAGCGGGGTGTTAGTAGGGAGCAGGCGGCCGCTTCGTTGACCAGTAACTACCCTGTTTCTCAAGGAAGGCCCAAAGTAGAGATTCATCCTCCCTTTAAAAAAAAACACCCCCCCCCACCTGTAAGGTGTTAAAAACCAAAAGGCAGTTGATTAGCATAAAACACAACATAAAACACAACTCTCCGGCATAGCAAACTTTTCCAAGATGGAGGCCTCTGTAAGACCAGGCCAATATAAAACCTCCCATGTGGCCTCAGCACTTTGCCCTTATCCAGTTTCAGTGCTTGTTCTATATCAAACTCGCCCCCATACACAAATCCATGTACTTTTCTGTTGTTTCCCCAGACCAGGCTCCCTACCCTTTACTTTGCCCTCTTTCCTATTCTTGATTCAACAGCATTGAATTTCTGAGAGCTGCTATCCTGCCAGGTTTTGTCCGATGTGCTTGATAACTGGACCCACATCCTATCAGCCCCACAAAACTACTTATTTCAGTGCTCCCACAGCTTACCTCAGTCTCATTCCTTAGTATTTCTGAATGCACCTGTATGATTGCAATCCTAAACATGCACATACAAAGGAGTAAACCCCTCTGAACCCATTAAGATTTGCCTCAGAGTAAACATGCCTAGAGTTATGCTGTAACACTCCCGCTTGCCTCCAGACTGCACACCCCTACATCTGTCACCAAATACATCAGCACGGGGTCACTCACGTCCTCCATTGCACTCCGACTCAGACATCTTGCTGGCTGGTTGTGAGTAGGAGAGGCCAGATGTGTCAAGCTCCAGAAGATGCTAGCATTTCAGCCCAACTGTCTCTCTACCTTGCAAAGGGGGACTTCCCATTCTGTTCACCTCCCTCCCTGGATGGGGAGAAAGGGCCAAGAGAGCCCTGGTGGCTCTCATGAGAGGGCCAAGGCAGGAGCCTTTCCAGCCCGCCCCGCCGCCTCAGTTGCACAACTTGCTTTCACCACGGGGTCTCCTTGGAGTTTCAGCTCCCCCTCCACCCCACGGCTTGTGCCTGTTTCACGCTCACTTGTTCCCTCTCTCTCTCTCTCTCTCTCTCGCTCTTTCTGTCACTCTCTCTGCTTCATTCCCTCGCTTGGTTGAGGATTAAGGCAGATTGCCTACTTTAAAGGGCAGCGCGGGAGGCAGGGAGGAGGGAGCTTACACAGCTGGTTAGGTCACCGACTGTCAAGAGCTGGGGCCATCCCAGCCAAGAGCCAGGCTAGGCCCAGGAAACAGGCGTATAGTCGGTGATGTGAGAAAAATGGGGACAGCCTTGTCCAGATGCCACATGCTGCAGCCCGGGTGTGCGTGCTGAAAATGGAGTCAGTATACCCTGGTGCATGGTGGATTCCTCTGCTGGACCAAGAACAGACAGGTGCCCAGTCTTTGATGACAGCAGCAGGTTCCCTTCTTCCTCTAGGCTAGGCAGTCTTGCTTGGCACCCACTTCCAGTCACCCTGGAACAAATCACTACCTGCCTTTGTGGAGTGCATGATGGGACAGGTTGGTTATTCCCCACTCAGGCCCACTTGCCTGAAAGAGTTATTTCTTCAATATGTACTTACCTGATCATTAAATCTTAAGTGGCTCTGCGTGGAGAGCCCCAGACAAATAAAGTGAGGCAAGTGACCAGTAAGGAGAGGGCCTTTGCAGTAGTGGCACCCGTGTTATCAAAAAGATTTCTCAGAAATGTTTCCCTAGTATGAGTGTTATGGTTTTCCCATATCAGGCAAAGACCATTTTTATTCACCCAGGCTTTTAAAATAACTTATAGACAGGTCCTCTCAGTCTAAAAATAACAATCTATAGTCTATTTTTTTTAGTTTGTAATAGTTTTCTAAACTGTGGTTTTAATGTTATCTGTTTCTGTAAGTTGCAGAAGGAATTTGTGGTATGGGTCAGCCAGATAAATATATTTAATTAATAAATGCATAAATAATGGAATTGTTCTAGTTTTTTACTCTAGTACATTTGATCCAGAAAGGATGGAAATAGGTATTAATTTGCAAGTTGATAATATTTCTTACTGTTACTGCATAACTATTGTGATCAGGCTTATATATATATTTTAAATAACCTGAGAATAATCCTAGCCCGCTGTCAGAACACAGGGTGAGAAAAGGTAGCTCAACATTGAGCCTGACTTTGCACATATAAAATATGTTGGCTCTGTTTTCCTGCATCTTTGCACCACACCATCTTTTCTTCTGTTTTCAGGAAATGTAAAGCGATTAATCTTTAGCTGGTATGTGAATATTCCCAAGAAGGTTGCCCCTCAAGCTAAGGTGGGCTGTATCACTAACATTACCATTTTCTTTTTAATTAAAGTTTTGGAGTTTTTTTAGAGAGAGCCAGAAAAACAGAAAGAAAAATTGATGGATTAAACAGAGAGGGAGAGACAGGACAATGAAATCCAAGAGAAGAAAGAGTTCTTTCAGTTTAATGGGTAGTCAAAAGAGTGAATTTGAGCAGGTACTGCTTCCCTCAGCCTTACAAAGGTAGGTTAACAACAAAAACAAGGTTGTCCTACTTTGGGCACATCAGAAGGCAAAAATCCCTAGAAAAGACAATTGTGCTAGGGAAAGCTAAAAGCAAAAGAAGAAAAGGTAGACCAAATATAACATGGATTGGCTGCATAAAGGAAGACAAAGCCTTGAACTGAGAAGAGCTGAGCAGAGCTGCCACAGATACGGCATTTTGGAGGGCTTTAATTTATATGATCAGCTTAGGTTGGAGACGACTTGATGGCACATAATAACCACAAGAACAAGGTAGGTTGCACTTGACAAAAGTTCCTCTTCTGCCAGTGATTAAAAATGCAGATGTACTGTCTATTACACCTGACCATCATAGAAAGAGAAGCAGAAAGACCGATGTAAAATGAAGGAGCCTTCCAATATGGTGGGCTGAAGAGAAAAGTGGGGTCTTAGGTCTAAAAAAGTTTTAAATTATCAGTTGAGCTAGAATCCTATGCATATTTAGACAGAGAAAGATCTTAGCCAATTCCTCAGCCAACCATGCTGACTAGGGAATGCCTGGAGTTATAAGATTTGTAAATTTTAAGCTTAGTTGAATTATTTTAAAACAGCCTTCCCCAACCTGATGCCCTGCAGATGTGTTGGACTGGATCTCTCAGCAACCCCCAGGATTTTAGTTCAGCATATTTAAAGGGCAGCAGGATAGAGATACCCGTTTTAAAGGACATCTGAACAGACGTTCCAGGTGGATTGAAAACCATGCTGCACTCTGTCAGCTATTTGGTGCTTCCTCTTCAGGTATCCAAACACCTTGGGAGATTTTATGTTTGTTTTTTAAATTGGCCTGATGGAATACTCCCTCCTGTCATTTCTTTTTCACAACTTACGTGTGTTTTGTTCTGACTGCTGCACACAATTAGTATTTTGAATTAAATTGGATTGCCAATTCATTTCATGCAATAAACTACAGTATCTTCGTGACCCACCCAGAGAACGTTGACAGAAATACATTAGCAAATGCACAAATTAATACGTAAATAAATAGCAGTCTTTTGGATGGCACTTGGGGGTTTGTTCAATTTTCCGCTTGTAAACTGGAAAGCCACAATGCTTAAAAAAAACAAACAAACGAACAGGTGCGGGCGAGCACTGACGATGGCTGTGTTTTAGTTGCTAGGAGATCGTAGCTTCCGATCTCACTGCTTGAGCTCCCTCCCAGCAGCAAGCTTTCGTTAAGCCGGTCCAGACTACAACTCCCAATGCACCTTTTGTCCTCATGGCGGAGGACGCACGCGGCGTGCCTGCACGACAAACGTTATACAAACAGCAAACTTGCAGACACATCCTGCTTCAGGACACTATTAGGAAGCGATGGGATGCAGTGAGAGTTGCCCTTAGAAATCAGTGTCGAACAAGGTAGCTGCAGTAAGGCGTTCGTGCGTTTTTTAAATGAAAGTCTTATTTTATGTGGAAAATGCGAGTATATGTGAATGTGTGTGGTATTTGAATTCTACATGTGTCTTCTACATATTAGGCTAAAAATTACGATCATTGACCGTCGGCGCAATCGGGTGGTTGGGGTGCTTAGCAAGGGCCTTGATTTTGCTGCAGAAAGCCGAACCAACCTTAGTTCCAGCTTCAAAAATGCAACATTGCAGGACTGTCAAAGCCTTGCTCTCCTAGCTCCAGATCATCTCGAATCATGTATAACAAATTAATAAATGACATTGGCATTTGCAGGGCAATTTTGAAAACAACTCCCGTTTTTCACACAGAGAGACGAGAAAAAAAATAGGAATTCGCTGCTAAATCTTGCTTAAAGAGAAACCTACAGGGTTTTATCCGGTAGGCTGAATACAACGTTAGTCAAATTGAAGCCCCAGATATTTCAGTGCGTCTGCTATCCTAAGTAGGATTAACATCGGAAACAACCCGTCGCTGCCCAATCACAGCAGTGCTGAATTCTTGGATTCTTCAATTGGTTTTTTAATGGATCTCACTGGAAGAAAAAAAAGTTTTCATAGTGAACCCAGAAGTTTTTTTCTCCAGAGGGGATGCGCTACTCTTTCATATTTTTGTACTGTGGTCCGCATTACGAATCCTTTGAAGAGGAAGAGAGGTTCTGGATCACAAGTCCCAAAATGCTGCGCGCTATGGAAGGGCCGCGGGGGCCCTTCGCACTACATTTCCCGTCATACCCTGCGGTAGGTCCTGTGACTAAGTGCACGGCCCAGCTCAGAGCAGAGGGAGCGGTGAGTACGGTCGCCTCCCTCTTCTTACCCCGCCGCCTCTAGCAGCCTCTTCCCTTTTCTTATAACAGACTTCCAAAGTTTGGGATTGCCATTCTTCGATCACCACCTCCAAAGCTGTAGTAGCCTCTGTCTCTTTCCAACACTCCCGCAGCTCGGTTGTCCCCACTTCCTCTTTCATACATAGGACTTAAGCACCTCATGGGATTTGGCTTGGTGCATGCAAAAACTGTTTTCCTACACTGGATTGAAAATGCCTAGTATTTTTAAAAAGAGAAATAAAATAGCTGTGTTGGTTGTTAGAATAATCTCAGAATCCTATATTAGTGAAATACCTAGTTACTAGTGTTTGAAACATCTGCAAAAAATGTGCAAGCTTCGAGATTACCAGCTCTTCCCTTCAGGCAAGAAGATACAAAAAGCAGGTAGGGGAGAAGATGTATAGTGTGTATTTATATCTGTCTATTTTTATTACAGAAAGTTAGTGCAGCTTACTGTGGCTTGGAGCTTGCAAGGGCGAGAAAAGCTTCCAACATTTATTCTTTCCAGCTCTAAAAAAGCTGGTCACTTTCTAAAGGCATTTGTAGGGAGAGTGTGATGTTACCGGATTGCAACCTGGATGATTTATCCTAACAGTGAGAAACACTGGATTCCTGACCTTGTGTCCTTTCTTATTCCTGCCCTCTGTTCATCCATCTTTGCCAACCTGGCACTCTCCGGACGGTTGGGTCTGCAGCTTCCATAAGAACCATAGCATGATCACTGGTCAGGAATGCTGGAGGTTGATGCTCCAAACACCAGGTTTGGAGAAGCTGCTGTACTTTTGGGCAAGCAGGACTTCAGGAGTTGGCCTACGGGTACAGGAGGAAGGGTGCAGCGAAAGCTGCAGTGGTGACATCTTCCAGGATATCAGTGCTAGGAGAGTTACTGTGCTGCAAATGGGCAAATGTATACTTCTGTCTATCTTCCATCTATACTGTATATTTTGGTTTGAACCAGGGCAGTCCTGTCTCAGTCTAAGCCTTAGCTATTGCGTAATGGGGAATGAAGTATGTGTTACCACCTGGCATTCAGCAGTTCCTGGTGTGGAGAGGTGAATAGAGAGCAGACTGCTCTCTTGGTACTCTCATTTAGCAACCTCTTACATAGCTGCTAAGAATTTGGTCAATACCATGCATCCATACATTCAGCTGATATAAGCCCCTCTTTCTTCTTCCTCTTGGACCCTACCACTGAACCTATCCATCCTGGCCTGATAGTTTTCTCTTTCATAACTCACACTCAAATGCACTCATCTGGCCTGGATAAATTAAGTGGTATCTACATTAGCTAAAAGAAAAGTTGTGTAAGAAAGAAAGGATGTGAGAGGGGTCTGTAACCTAAAGCCCATGAGCTAAATTGAATCCTCCAGGGTTCTCAGATGGGCACATCACCTTTCTCCACCTCCCAATCATTTGATAGTTACTCAGTTCTTTTTGTCACTCAGGAGCACTAGAAGCCACTCTTCTGATTTGTAATTAGATCCAGCCATAGGGGCCTATATTTTAGGGCAATTGTGCAGGACCTCAGACCTATAGGATAAATCCAGCCCTCTTGGGTTCTCCAGCCCCTTTCCCCACTTGTCAGTCTTTTAATGGTCTCTTGGCTTGTGTGCAGTTGCACCCCCATTCTAAAAGGTTGCAATGTCTCTCCTACAGTTTAGTTAGTGGCAGTAAGAGTCTTAAATTACAATATTCTGGATTTTTGGCCCACCCCTTTTGCCACTACTGGGATGCTGCCCCCCCACCAGCCTCTTATGAAAAGGAATTTGGCCCTCAAGCTGAAAAATGGTCTGCATTCGTGTTCAGGCATGATGGTCTGTGCTGGAAAAAGGACATCCCCCATGTTAGCTTAGAGAAAAGATGACTAGGTAGTGGTGTGAGATAGGTCTATAAGGCAGTGAATGGGATAGCAACAGAAAATTACCCTCTTTTCCTTTTGTGCTAGAACTTGGGGACCACCCCATGAAATTGGTAGGCAGCAGATTCAGAACAGGCAAGATCAAGTCCCTTGCAAGTCATCCTGGGAGCTGTACTCCAAAACATAGGGTTGGGAAAGCTACTCCAAACTACTGCAGTAGAAAAAGAAAATGGGATTTCTCCCAAAGACTATGCCAAGTCTGCTGTTTGTGGGATCCTTGACTTGAGCTTCACTAGTGTCACCATTCCCATGATTGGCTTTTTTCTAATGATGTGGCTTTTTTCTAATGATGTGATTTTTTTTTTCTTTTTAACAGGGGTTCCCTTATCCCCAGATGTCCTGATGACATGGAGGAGGTGGACAAGATCCTCATACATTCCCTCCGCCTCTCTGGGACGTAAGACTGCCTTTATGCTGCATGTCTTATGTAATGGTAGGGGGTCAGTGGGAGGATGGGAGATGAGCAGGGAGGTGCTGTGTTGTTCATAGCAAATTTGCTAGCTGGAGGCTAGAAGGGGTCTGAAACCGTGCTGTAGGAAAGGACTTGATGGGGGGCTTGATTGTGCTCTGTTGTACTACATCACAGGCCAGGAACCTAATTGCAATTCTGGTGCAAATACAAAAATGCCTTTCCTGCCATGAGTTACGCATACAGCAAATGTCATGATACAGGGCATGAGCCGGTATCATGCCCCAGGAGAGCTCATTTGCTCACAGCCTTTACGTCAGGCTTTACTCTGAGCCCTGGCAAAAACTCAGCTGGGGTTACAGATCCAAGGCTTGCTTTTGCTGTGTCACGTGTGAGCTCTTTGCTTTTGCTCGGGAACTCGTGCATACTTGTAGATCTCTCAGTTTGGCTCCAGTGAGGCTTTTTGCTTCTTCCAAGGGCTGTGTAGGAGGAAGCAACCTCCTACACAGTTGCTTAGTGACAGGGCTTGGATTAATCAGGGGGCTGCAGAGCCTTGCTGGTGGATCTGTGACTCCTTTTGCACAGCAGTCTTAATAATGAGCACTCTTACAACCCCTTCAAGCAGACCTGCCAACTTGTGACCTAACCGTTGCATGCTGTGGTCCACCAAGTGCTTGGCAGCCTTCTTTTTCTTGCTATTCCGGGCAGGCAGCAAAAGTAGGAGGTGTGCGGAGCACCTGCTGGGCTGCTGTACGTGACTGGCAAGGCTGAGTTTGGCTTGGTGAATCACACACTGGGCAGGGCTGTGTTAGAGCGTGCTTGTTTTATTCCTCGTTGTCTGTTTCCAGGCTAAATGCCTGAAAGCAATATCCAGAACATTGCAATCACATGCAAGAATTTAGGATATTTTAAAAGGCATAAGGCCAAAGAAATGCTGACAACAATCCCACCATTCCTATCCTCAGGGCTGGCATGAAGGGTAGGTCTGGTTGGGTACTGCAGGAGCCCCCAGGATTGCTCCTTCTCTTCACCACTGTAGTCTGCTGGTTCGCTTGTCTCCTGCTGCCCAGACAATGGCGGTGGCTGAGGAGAAGGAGATGCTCTGGCCTGTTTGCTCCCTGGTTCTTTGCCTGTCAAGCAAGCAAGCGGTAGCTGAGGTGAGAGAGAAGAAGAAAAGGAGTAAGAGCAGCCAGCAACCATGGGGGTGAGATGGTGAACCCTGGAACCTGGAGCTGGCACTGTCCAAGGACCCTCAGAAACCCAGACCTGGCATTGTGTCTGGGTCCCTGAGATTAGCCTTCCCTTACTTGGTGCTGGCACATCTCAGGGTTGGGGCACTGGATTGGGGAAGGCCGTTCTTAAAGCCTCTTCTGAATAGCAGTTCATGTGCATGATCCTGTTGGTAATGTTCAAGGGGAGACATGGAGGCATGTCACCCACAGGAGGAGGAGGCCAGCACGGCCTCCTCCTCCTCCTGGCACCAATCTGGAGCTGGGAAACAGGTTCTCTCCGCTTGGGGAGGCTGGGGCTGATGAGGCCTCGGTGAACCAGCAGGACTCCCAGCCTGTGACCACAGGTGGCAAGGGTGCGCTGCAGGAGAGGCGAGGGCCAGGGCATGGCCACCCACCAGCACCGGGAAGACATGGCGGCAGGTGATTGTTGTTGGGGACTCCCTGCTGAGGGGCACAGAGGCGGTGGTGTGCTGCCCCAACCTGAACACAGGAGAGGTTTGCTGCCTGCCGAGTGCACGCATCCAGCATGTGAAGGACAGAGTGGAGTGTCTGTTCGCTCTGGGGGGTCACCAGCCACTCCTGGTGTTCCATGTGGGCACAAATGATGTGGCCAGGCAGGGTGTGATCGGGATCACCAGGGACTTTGAGACCTTGGGAAAGAAACTCCTGGAGCTAAAGGCCCAAGTGGCCTTCTTGTTGATCTTACTGGACCGGGGATTTCAGCCAAGAAGGGACAGGAGGGTCTCCGAGGTGAATGACTGGGTTAGTGTGTGGTGCCAGAAGGAACACTTCGGGTTCCTCGACCACAGCACCCAGTTTGTTGCCAGTGGACTTCTGGCAAGGGACGGGTTGCACCTCACGAGGATGGGAAAAACTTCCTTTGGAGATGCTCTAGCGAGCTTCGTCTGGAAGACTTTAAACTGAGCCGGAGGGGGGTGGTCAGGCCCCCCAGAAACGTGTCTGCAGTGGACAAGTGTGGGGAGAGGCTCAGGGCTCTGGGAACAGGGATTTAGAGGTACTGCAGGGACTGACAGGACTCCTACAGAGAGGGGCCAGGTATCACGGAGGATGGGAGGAAGGAGGAGGCTGGGAACTCCAAAGAAAGGAAGTGGTGGGAAGGAGTTGAGGTGCATGTACACTAATGCTAGGAGCATGGATAATAAGCAGGAAGAGCTTGAAGCTCTCCTGGGAATAGGAGGGTATGATCTGGTGGGAATCACAGAAACTTGGTGGGATGAAAGGCAAGATTGGAATGTGAACATAGAGGGGTATCATCTTTTTAGAAAGGACAGGAAGGAAAAGAGGGGTGGGGGCGTGGCTTTATATGTCAGGGAAGGGATAGGATGCAGTGAGATAGAATGCGGCACAGTTGGGGATTTGGTAGAGGCAGTCTGGGTGAAACTTAGGGGTTATGACAGGGAAAGAGACCTGACGGTGAGGGTATGTTATCGCCCTCCAGGTCAACTTGAGACCCTGGATGATGTCCTGACAGGCCAGATTCTGAGGATATCTTGCGGGAGAGACACAGTAATTATGGGAGATTTCATTCTCCTGGATAGTAGTTGGGGGACTCACTCGGCGGTGACACCCAGGTCACATTGCTTCCTAGAGGCTATTGAGGGAGGGTTTTTCACACAGAGGGTCCGAGAGGCAACGAGGGGGGGAAACATCCTTGACTTGGTCTTGACCAATAGGGAGGAGCTGATAGATGAACTACAGATCAGGGGAGCTCTGGATGCGAGTGATCACTCCATCCTTTGCTTTGAGATCAGGGGAATGGGGACGTGCAGCAGGTCGAGCACTAGAAGCTGGGACTTCAAGAGGGCCAACTTTGGCCAACTGAAGGCCAGACTGGGGAAAGTCTCCTGGGATAGGTTACTGGAAGGTAAGCGAGTTGAGGAGAGGTGGATGGCACTCAAAAGGGAGGTTTTGGAGGCACAAGTCTTGGCAATACCTCTAGTCAGTAAGGTGGGGAGGTGGAGGAGAGTGCCACCACGGATGCAAAAGGAGGTGGTTCGAGGGATTAGACGAAAGGGGAACCTCCGTAGGAAATGGGTACTGGGGCAAATAGACAAAAGGGTATACCAGGAGGAGGAGGCCCGTTGCAGAAGGATTCTTCGCAAGGCTAAGGCTGATTATGCGCTGAGACTTGCCAAGAATGTCAAGGCCCTGACAGGTTACACCCGAGAATACTTAGAGAGTTGGCAGGGGTTCTCTCACACCCGCTGGCCTCCATTTTTGAGGCATCGTGGAGCACGGGTGAAGTTCCAGAGGACTGGAGGGTGGTATCAGTGGTCCCAATTTTCAAAAAGGGTAGAAGAAGGGACATGGGGAATTACAGACCTGTTAGCCTTACATCCATTGTAGGAAAAACAATGGAAAAGCTCATAATAGAGAGAGATCTAACAATGCTAGATATGGAAGGGAGGCTGGCAGCCACACAACACGGCTTCCACAAAAACAGGTCCTGCCAGACAAACCTTGTGGAATTCTATGGCAAGATTTCAAGATGACTAGATGAAGGGGATGCAGTGGATGTGGTTTACCTGGATTTCAGCAAGGCCTTTGACAAAGTGCCCCATGATATCCTGGTGGAGAAACTGAGGAGTTTTGGGATACACCAAAGCACTGTCCGGTGGATTAGGGCATGGTTGACTGACCGAAAGCAGAGGGTAACCATTAATGGGGAATCATTGGGATGGCGGCCAGTAACAAGCGGGGTCCCCCAGGGCTCTGTCCTGGGGCCGATCCTGTTTAATCTTTTCATAAATGACATGGAAGAGGGGGTGAACTGTCTGCTGATCAAATTTGCAGATGACACTAAAACTGGAGCAATGGCCACAACTGATGAGCAGGTACTCCAGACCCAAAAGAATCTGGACAGACTATGGAAGTGGGCAGGAGACAACAGGATGGCGTTCAATGTGGATAAGTGCAAGGTCTTGCACTTGGGGCATAGGAATAGGTGTCATAAGTACAAATTATTTATTTATTTATTTATTAAAACATTTTTATGCCGCCCCATTCGCCGAAGCCTCGGGGCGGCTTACAACAAAAAATTAAAATAACATTTTAAAATATATACAATAAAATACAAATATATAATATAAAACATACACTATAAAACAAGCCGCCCTGGCCAAATAAAATTCAATAATATTAACATTTAAAATACTGCTTAAATAAAAAGGTCTTCGCCTGGCGCCGAAAAACAAATAACGACGGCGCCAGGCGGACCTCTCTGGGGAGCGCATTCCATAACTTAGGCGCCACCGCTGAGAAAGCCCTCCTCCGAGTAACCACCCTCCTAACTTCTTCCATGGAGGGCTCCCGGAGAAGGGCCTCTCCCGCCGATCTCAGGTGGCGGCTGGGCATATAAGGATGTAAGCGCTCCTTCAGGACAAGGTGACAAGAGGCTGGAGAGCAGCACTTGTGAAAGGGACCTCGGGGTGCTGGTTGACTGCAGGCTAGACATGAGTCAGCAGTATGATGCGGTGGTCAAGAAGGCGAATGCCACCCTTGGTTGCATAGCAGAAGCATGTCTCCTAGATCGAGAGAGGTATTACTACCACTCTATATGACTCTGGTGTGCCCACAACTGGAGTATTGTGCTCAGTTTTGGGCCCCTCATTTCAGAAAGGATATAGCCAGGTTAGAGTCAGTGCAGTGTAGGGCCACAAGGTTGGTGGCCGGTTTGCAGGGGATGGGGTATGAGGCGAGACTGAGGGAACTGGGTTCTTCAGCCTGGAGAAAAGGAGACTCAGAGGGGATCTGTTGGCGACATACAGGTATGTGAGAGGATGTCACACGGAGGTGGGTAGAGACCTGTTCTCCCCTGCAGAGGAAGGCAGGATGCGCTCCAATGGAGCGAAGTTCAGGGAGCCAAGGTTTCGTTTGGATGCCAGGAAGCACTTCCTGACAGTCAGGACCCCGAGGGTGTGGAATGGGCTTCCACGAGAGGTCGTTGAGGCCCCATCGGTGCGGGTGTTCAAGGATAGGCTGGATGTCCACATGGGGGGCATGTCGTGAGTGGAGCCGGCCGGTGCCAGAGGTCAGACTAGATGGCCTGGGAGACCCCTTCTGACACGCTCTGTTTCTATTTTTCAAGGTATTACAATAGTTTCTGTACCGTAGATGGTGGGGCGGAGGCATGGCAGTTTGCCTCATGGCATGAGTAAAATTTGAGCACTGATAGGGTTCAGTCATGCAAGTAAGGCATGTTCAGGGAGGCTTATTTCCATGAAAAAGCATGTAGGATTGCTGCTCTGACCATTCTGCTGACAGTCCAGAGAAGACATTGATACTGTAGGTGTTCAGTTGCAGCAAAGGCCCCTGGGAAAGAGGCTGCCTGATCCAGTACCTAAGCCTAGACACGCACACGTCACGTCAGCTTGGACAAGTAGTATAACAGCAGCGCCGAAACCTGTTAGGACAAACTCTGCAAAATGTGTGGTAATTGGCATTCAGCTCCTTCCCTGGGATAAATTCTGTTTTTCCACACGTTGAGTAGAGCTAAGAACATAAGGAGAGCCATACAGGAGCTGTATACTGGGTTGACATTTTCATCAAGAGGTCCACCACAACCCCAGTCTCTTTCTTGGTCAGTCACTACTGACTACTCAGATCCCATCGCTTATGCTTGAAGTTGGGATCTTTTGCCCCAGCGTGCATTGCTTTATACTTACTTATGCTGTGTGGTGGTGGTAGTGGTAGTGAACCTACAGAAAATGGGTGATAAAAACAGGATTTATTCTTTTTTAACCATTCTCCAATTTGTGGAAAGCTTGGTGCCACAGGGAGTTCTCCCCACCCACCCACCCACCCACGCATTTTTTTAAGCTTTCTCATCTTGATTTTAAAGGCAGCGTTGGGACACAACCATGTTATGACCTTGGCTGTCCCAGATTCCATTAAATATCTGAAAGCAACTGAAGGTGCAGGCTTTTCCATTTCCATTTGCATTTCAGAAAAGGAAGCGGTGGGTAAGCAGTGTTGACACCTCTGAGGGTACCCTTTAATACCTGCATTCTTTCCCCACTGCTGTAGGGACATTCCGGATGATGTGCAGAGCATCCGTGAATTCACCACTGAACTGATTATAGAATCTGTGGTGCGATGCCTCCGTGTCATCAATCCTTCAGTGGGAGCAGGCCTCAGCCCCATCCTGCCTCCAGGCATGTCTGCTCGCTTCCGGATTGGCATGAGCCTGGCACAAGCCTGCCAGGTGAGTACAACTAAGTTCAGTTCTTCATGAGCTCAGTCACGCATTCACTCTTGGCTCTAAGCATGTATGTTGAAATCAGGCAGGTCATTTCTGGCATGCCAGGGACTGTTGCCTCGAAACTCAGGATTGGTCTGCTGTGAGGAAGTTGTATACGATAACACCAAGTCCTGTTTTACATCTGTCAGTTGTATTCAGAAACACCAGAAGCTACCTTCCTGATCTCTAAATTAGAGATAGTTGACAAGGTCTTTATTTTAAGATTGTGCTGCAAAACCTCATGCCTGGAGACAAATCCAGCTCTCTCAGGTTCTTCAGATGACTTCACTCCCTTTCCCCAGTCACCACTGCTTTAGAGGTCTCCTGGCTTTTGTGTAACTTTTCTCCCATTCTAGTACCTCTCCTATGGCTTAGTTACTGACAGTAAGAGCCTTAAAGCTGCAGTATGGTGGATTTTTGATGCACCCCTTTTGCCTTTGGCTCCACCCATCACTGGAAAACCTCCACCACCACCTCTCTGAGATCTGTAAGGCAGTGAATAGAGTAGCAGAAAAAAGTTACATTATTTTCCCCTAGTGCAAGAACTTGGGGACCATCCAATGAAAATGGTAGGCAGTAGGTTCAGTATGGATAAGAGCAAGTGCCTTGGACGTACCTTTGTGCTCTGCTTTCTGAAAAGTTCAGATATCCATCCTAGGGTGTAAGTATGGACAGTGAGAGCTTTAAGCAAAAATGTACCAAAAGCATGGTCCCACCCCACCTGAATGTAGCCCCAAAGAGCTTCTCTGAAAAAGAAGTCAGCAGCCCTTGGGCTGTCATATGTTCGGTGATAAGCCAATGTAAGGAGAAAGTGGCACTGAGTGATTTAGAACAAGATCCTCTTCACATTTGAATAAATGTGTCCCCAGCAACAGATAATCCACCTAATGGCTGGAGGAAAGTTCCCTGCAGAAATGGATGCAAGGCTCAGTAAGAGCACGGATAGCAAAGGATTCTGGGATAAATTGTGCTAACTCTAAGCATACATTGGGTCTATTATAGCTACAATACAGTTGACGATACTACAAATACAAAAGTATGCAAAGGAGCCACAGGGATATATAGCAGAAATGATTAAGGTAATGGGAGATACATAACAAATGTAAAGTAAAGCAAATTCTGTTCTGTGACAGTCCAACACAACCATTTCAGGAATTCCACCCCTAAAAGGTGAAGACCAGAGAGCTCTTTTCCTAACCCTTGGCTTCCCAGTCAGTCCAACCCATTCTCTGACTTATGTTTATTGTCTGGCACCCAGGACCTGGGATATCAAGGGGAAGTTGGCTATCAGACCTTCCTGTACAGCAGCGAGCCTGAAATCCGCCGCCTCCTTCTCTTCCTAGTTGAGAAGCTCCCAAGAGATGCTTCGGAGGATGCCGACCAGCCTGTGGGTATGGAGGATGCTGTGCAAATCCAGATGTGGGAGGCTGAGTCCTTAAGCTAGAGTCATCTCTCTAACCTGTACTGTTTTTGCAGGCAAATCCGCAGTGCTTTGCAGAGCCATTGCGACTGCAATCAAAGAGCAACTGGCTATTCCATGGGTGCCCCCTGCCTGCCGTAGCCCCCGCCTGCAGCTATTACAGGTGTGTTTACTTGTGTGAATGGCTTTGCCAGCAGAGTCTGGTGTTGCATTTTGATTTCTCAGCATCTTAACTATAAAAAGTTTCTAGACCTTTCATATTGGGGCAGGGAATGGGGATTCGTCTGAAGAAATGCAGGAAGAATCTGCAAAAGATAGATGCTGTGTCTGGTTACTTGGCTGTTCCTGGTTTTCTGAGTTTCCCAGGGCTTTTTTGTTGTTTGGTCTTCATGTGTTATCCCTTCCTGCTGATAACACTGTCTCAGGAAATGCAGAAATGGAAACACTAGGCCTGAAAATAGCATGCAGAGGTCTATAGATCAAGCAAATTTATACCTATGGATTGCTTATCCTAAGCCAAGCGATCAGGATATTTTGTTGCAGCGTATATAAACTTTCTCCTGTTGCATCCCATTTTCTTGCTGATTTATTTATTTTTTGTGTTTGTTTCTAGTCCTGAGTCTTTAGCTTGCCTCAACAAACCCCATCTCCCTGTGGTGTTCTTTTCTTTTTAATGGGATGAGTATTTTTCCAGACTCTTTTCTCTTCATCCTTGCCAGGGCTCATGCCTCCTGAAGCGCTTCCGAGCTCAACCCTTGGTCCTACCTCAGGAGTCTGGCCCATTCATTGGGCAAGTACCCCAAGGTGAGTTCAGGTAGAACTCTCATAGAACCCAATGGTGTCATCCTATGAAGTTGATTGGTGGGAGATTCAGGACAGAACAGGCAAAAAAAGCACTTTTCATAGCACAGACCCTGACACTGTTTTGTTCTTGACTGATCTTGGGGCATTGCATTTTGTGAATTTTGCAAGTAGGTGCAGATGCCCACTTGCAGTTCTTATGCGACTGCTTTTGCTTTGGCTTTCGGGCCAATTGAGAAATCAAAGCAAAAAGGTCTTGTTATCCCTGGAATCAAGCATTGCAGCCTTGTGTCCTGATTAGATGCCAGTGAGTGCATTCAGATGAAGCATCTTTTTTACATTTGTATCAATTACTCCAGTTCACCATTTTGCCTTGCAACATCAGCAGGCTTCTTAGATAGAATGTTTAAGCCTCTGGGGTTTGAAATGGGGTAGCAGGTGGGAAATGCTGCCCTCTCAAAACTTGGCTGGTGTGATCATCCCAAAGAATACTGGAAACTGGCTGTAGTGGGGGTCTGGGGTAACCAGCTTGTGTCGGTGTGACTGGTCTCAGCCTCTTCTCCCTAGAGAGGAAAGAGTTCTTTGTCAAGTTCCTGCCTCCTGTGCCAGCTCAGCTGCCCCAGCCTTCATCTTTGGTGCCGTCTCTGTTGGAGCTTAATATGGCTGAGCTGAGCAGAGCCCAGGACTGGGAAAGTGAGTGGAAAAGCCAAGGCCTTGGATCACGCATGACTCCAGAGGTGGGCATGATGGACAAAGGAATCCGGTTCTCTGTACTTAGTCACTGGTGGTACCATCTCTCTCATTTTTCCCATAATTTTAAAAGACCTAGCTGCTAGAGTACTGTCTTTTTTGCCCCTGTGAGATTCTTCAGGACATGCAGGATGCCTTGCTAGAAGTCGAATTTCTACTGGAGCCCTTCTTTCCTGCCACTTTTCCCAAAAATCTGGATCTAGTCTGTGCTCCTAACTTCCAGCTTCATCATATGGGGTAGAGTCCACTCACATCAATATCCAGTTTGATAGGTTGCTATGCTCATTACTTGCCTGTATTACAGTCTATTATTGCTTATCTATTCATTTCTATTTATAACTCATTTTTTCATTAACAAAAAAATCCCAAGGCATAGAACAACAATGTTAAGACAATAAATGTTTTACTTACATCTGTGTTTATTAGCATTTATAGATGGCATAATATAGTAAGAATGGTAAGGTGGTGTTTACATAAAGGATTATACGACAGTTGGTATCAAGACTGATTGCTGTGGCAACTTCCCGCTTCTAAATGTCTGGAATATCTGTAAAGTCAGTGCTGAGTGTGCCTTTTGAGGGAGGCAGCCTAAAACCAGGGCAGTGGCACAAGGAAGGCCCTGCCTCGTGTTATCACTTGGCATAATTCCGTTCAGGCAGGACAGTACGATGGGCCTTCACTCCCCTGAAAGACCTGAGGGTGCTGCAATGCCATTTCCCTTTGCCTTTTCCTCAGGAGTACCGTCAATGGAAGCATCAGCGGCTGCAGCGTCGCCTTCTGGACCAACTGCGGCAAGCTTCTGCTCATGCTGGGCCCTCCCACCAGGGAGCAGCAGGCCGTGACCTCATGCAGCTCCTGGGCACTTTTGCAGCTGGCCACGAGCATGCTGGGGCCCTGGCCAAAGGGTCTCGCTTCACTCATACTCAGCGCCTGGCTTATAAGCAGGTAAGTAGCCAGGACTAGCCAGGGGGTTCATTGTGGTCTAAGTGGGCTTTCAAAAAGGAAAAGCAGGAGAGAGAAGGGAAGTTGTTCTGCCTCACAGTGTTGCTCAGGAGGCACTAGCTGGAGAATCCTGTCTGTGGAGGTTTGTTGGGGAACGAAAGGGGAGGGTGGAGGAGGCAAGAATCTCAGCTGACTCTTTGTTTGGTCTCCCAACAGGAGGCAGAGGTCCCAGTGCCCATGGAAACGCTGCCAATCTCACGGACAACCGAACAGGTAAAACCACCTCGGGGGCTCTGCTTAGGGTTAGGGCAGTGTTGGGCCAGGTATGTAAGGCACCAGTCTACCTTGTAAGAAGGGAGAACAGGGAAGACATGTGACCTTCTGGAGGGAGGATTTTGGTGAAGCGCTCTGTCTCCACAAATAAACCGTTCACATGCATTTGTGCAATGACTGCGTATAGCATATCCACTTTGCATCCATATCTGAATTCCACTCATCCAGCCCAGATTTCTGATTTTTGCCAAGAAAACCTGGGGATTTATCCTCTGTGGCCTTATATTGTGCCTCCTATGCAGAATAGAGGAACTGCTACTAAATTATTTTTGGTAGCTGCCTTGAGAACTATGTCCTTGGTAGAAAGAGAGGATTTAAAGCAAGCAAACTACCACCTTCTGAAATGTGAGGGGGGTTGTCCGCTGAAGGCAAGTTTTTATTGCCCTTGTGATTGAAGAAGAGACACCCTAATAATATAAAGACAGTTTCTGCTACATGCTTATATAAACTTGCTTCCAGCAAACAATAGGTATTTATTGGGATACACAGCTAACCTCATCACAAAACCCCGGAGCAGGTAATAAACAAAAGCATGAAACTTTTAGCACAAGGAAATAAAAATCTGTCCTGGTAAGATGTTGGTATGGACTCCACATCCTCTTTAGACTTATTGCTGAAAGCCAGCCTGGATGGTTCTGAAATGATTCTAAGGAGTGTTCAGGCATGACCTTTGCGTTGCCAGGAGAGCTGCTTGCATATTTGGTGGTGGGGGTGGCAGAGAGGTGGATGCCACTGAGAAGCCCTTTGTGCGCGCGCTCTCTGAACCTCACATTTGCAGAGTGCTGTTTAAATGGATGGATCTTGAAAATTGTAATTGGACACAGGAGGTCAGATTTCTAAGGCAGGAGCATCAAAATTTTTCAGCCAAAGGGCCAAATTTAATTTTGGAGACTAGAGGAAAATGGAGCATGGTCAAAATATTAAAAATGCTGTTATATTTTTGCTTAAAGTTTTACTGGCAATAGCCATTATTATATTGTTAATGCATTGCATTTCTTTCCTGCCTTTTCCCATCTTGTTAGGAACCCAAGGTAGCTTCCATAATCCTCCTCTGTTCCATTTTATTCTCATAGCAACAGCCCTGTGAGGTGGGTTAGGCTGAGAGTGAGTGACTGGCTAGTGACCCAGTGAGCTCCATGGCCAACCGGAGACTGGCACCCGAGTCTCTAGTCCAAAACCATATCAGCTTTCAGCCTAGCCTTTCGCTATTCAACAGGTCTTTCTGGAGTGTGCATGATTTGTCAAACACACGGGAAATCTTTCCGCAATCAGTTAAGTACAGAATTGTTACTCCAGTCTAAGTAACAATGGTGCTGAACCTATTTCCACCCAAGGACTGAATTCAGTTGCAGAGAAGCCTTCAGGCATTGCATATGGGTGGTGAACACGAAAAGAGGCATATGGTAGTTAAAGTTCCTACCCCCATAACTACATATGCCTCATCATTTTAGAATGCCGGAAAACTGCTAAAGCTAGGCTACCACTAAGTATTAGGTGGTTAGAGGGGGAAAAACTGGGGCTAGGGGAAGGGGCCATGGCCATCTTGGAGTTATGGAGGATTGGATTTAGCCCACCACCCTGGTATTCCACACTCCTGATTTGCAAGCTCTATTTGGGTTTCTGAACTTTATTGGATGACTGTCTTATTAAGACTGTGGGGATAACTGTGGAGGAGCTGCTGACAAAAGAATAATCATGCATTTGCAACAATATAGCATAAACATCAAACAATATACTCAACAGCTTGTTCCACATTAAAGGAGTAATAATTGACTCACCATTCACACTGTTCTCTGATCTTCTGAGCCTGGTGGTATCCAGTGCAATTCAGACATCATTTTTCAAAATGTATGACTAAAGTATCCAAGTAAATCATGGATCACAAGACTAACTTCTTCTGTGTTTACACCATGCAGGATATCCTCAGACAACATTCCAAATCCCCCAAACACTGGCTCCTAAGATCTGGTTTTGATTCTCCCCTACCCATTTTTCCCCAATCCCTCCTCTCCCCACTGTTTTCAGGAGTCACGAGAACACCAGGCAGCAGAACTAGAAACCTTGGAAGGTGAACTGGACCACCTGGTGCGGCAGATCGAGGAGCTTGAGGGCCAAATGTCCACGCTGGGGCTAACCCTCACACAGGTGAGAACTGAGTGAGAAATGGGCATGCCCTTGGCTTGACTATTCCAGCTGAAAAGAAACGTTCGCTCTAGCACTCTCCATGAACTTGTGCAGCATCCTTGGTAGAGGAATGACTGATGGAGGGATGGCAGGTTCTGGGGCTAATGCTGACCCACAGGCACAATCCTCTTGACAGTTCCCCTGTGAAAGCCCCTTTCAACAGGGAATCACACAAGAACACAGGGGTGCTCTTTGACCCTTTGCATTCATTTCAATGCACTTTGCGCAGGAGAATTTCCCAGCTGACTGCAGCCATGTTGCCTAGCAGAGGTGCTGCTGTGGCTGCTTCTTGGATCAGCACTGAGGCAGGATCGTTTTCTTCTCAGGTGGAAAGGGAGATGCGACAGCGGCAGTTGGGAGTGACAGAGCAGGAGCAGGCCCTGCGTGTGAAGGGGCGTACAGTGGAGCTGCTGCCCGATGCAGAGAACAATATGGCTAAGCTGCAGGTGAGTGGCAGGGTGGGAGGGGCTGGCCAGCCAGGTCGATGGAAAGGGAAAACATGCTTCCTGTTGCCTGGAAGTGGAACAACCAGGAATGAAGAAATTATGGGGGAGTGTGCAATGGAACTGAAGTGGCATGCTGCAGTGAGCGTCAGTGCCTAAGGCTGTGACCATGAGTGGAAGAGCAACAGTGTGAAATCACAGCTTTTGTTTACCTTAAGCAGATCTCACCACTACCTTCCCATCATGGCTGGTTTGTAAATTTCAGTATGACTCACAGGAGTAGAGCTGTCCTGGAAGTAGAATAGGGTAATGGGGAGTTTAGTGCCTGTGACCTTCCTGAGTGCTCCCTCTTTCCGTGACTTGTTACTTCCATAAATAGTAGATACTATAAACAGTACAGTACCTTGTGTAACAAATACGTGAAAGGGGAATGCCATGAGTGAAGTGTGGATCTCAGCATCTTCTCGTTTCTTCAGGGAGTGGTGGAGAGCAGTGCCCAGCGAGTCATCCAGCTGGCCACCCAGTGGGAGAAGCACCGCGTGCCACTGATCCAGGAGTTCCGGGACCTCAAGGCCCTCCATGATTCCAAGGAGGTAATGCGAGCAAAAGTATGAGCTGAACGTTCCTTGGGGTGGGAGGCTTGGCAGCGGTGACATCTGTTCTCTGCCTCTCCTTGCAGCTGGAATCATCACGGCGCCTGTCTCAGATCAGAGAGCTGCATGAGCGGATCCGATCTGCTGCTGATGAGGCTAAGCGCAAGGATGATCTCTACAAGCAGCTGGTTAGTGGTTGTGCTGGGGAATAGGTCAGGATCTGGGGCTCACATATTTGCAAGACCTGCACAGGACAGTTATCATGGGGCAGTTACCAGTGTCAAGTTTGCACATGCCCACAGGGCAGCTTCCTGTACCAGTAGGAGTCTACAGAAGAGTCTCAGAATCTTTCCCCTACGTTTTGACTATTCCCCTGTACTCTATAATGTCATGCCGTGTCAGTTGGAAAGGAGTACCATCTCTTGTAATGCTGAAGGGACTTGGGTAAGACTAAATTGGTAGCTTTGTTGTTGTTAGTCACGAAGTTGTGTCCGACCCATCGCGACCCCATGGACAACATTCCTCCAGGCTTTCCTGTCCTCCACCATCCCCCGGAGTCCACCCAAGCTCACATCAACTGCCTCAGTGACTCCATCCAGCCACCTCATCCTCTGCCGTCCCCTTCTTCTTTTGCCATCTATTGTTCCCAGCATTAGGCTCTTCTCCAGGGAGTCCTTCCTTCTCATTAGGTGGCCAAAGTATTTGAGTTTCATCTTCAGTATCTGGCCTTCTAAAGAGCAGTCAGGGTTGATCTCCTCTAGGACTGACCGGTTTGATCGCCTTGCAGTCCAAGGGACTCGCAGGAGTCTCCTCCAGCACCACAATTCAAAGGCCTCAATTCTTCGGCGCTCAGTCTGCCTTATGGTCCAGCTTTCACAGCCATACATTGCAACTGGGAAAACCATAGTCTTGACTATATGCACTTTTGTTGGCAGGGTGAGGTCTCTGCTTTTTAGTATGCTGTCTAGATTTGCCATAGCTTTCCTCCCCAGGAGCAAGCTTCTTTTAATTTCTTGGCTGCAGTCCCTGTCTGTGGTGATCTTGGAGCCCAGGAAAATAAAATCTGTCACTACCTCCATTTCTTCCCCATCTATTTGCCAGGAAGTGAGAGGACCGGATGCCATGATCTTAGTTTTCTTAATGTTGAGTTTCAAGCCAACTTTTGTGCTCTCCTCCTTCACCCGCATCAAGAGGCTCTTTCGTTACTCTTAACTTTCTGCCATTAGAGTAGTGGTATCATCTGCATATCTGAGGTTGTTGATATTTCTCCCAGCAATCTTAATTCCAACTGGTGATTAATCTAGCCCCGCCTTTCTCATGATGTGCTCTGCATATAAGTTAAATAGGCAGGGCGACAGTATACAGCCTTGCCGAATTCCTTTCTCAATTTTGAACCAATCAGTGGTTCCGTGTCCAGTTCTCACTGTTGCTTCTTGACCCGCATATAGGTTTCTCAAGAAACAAATAAGATGGTCTGGTACTCCCATCTCTTTAAGAACTTGCCACAATTTGTTATGATCCACACAATCAAAGGCTTTAGCATAGTCAAGGAAACAGAAGTGTATGTTTTTCTGGAACTCCCTAGCTTTCTCCATGCTCCAGCGTATGTTGGCAATTTGATCTCTAGTTCCTCTCCCTCTTCGAAATTCTGCCTGTACTTCTGGTAGTTCTCGGTCCACATACTGCTGGAGCCTAGCTTGTAGAATTTTGAGCATAACTTTGCTAGCATGTGAAATGAGTGCAATGGTGTGGTAGTTTGAACATTCTTTGGCATTGCCCTTCTTTGGATCGGAATGTAAACTGACCTTTTCCAATCCTGTGGCCACTGTTGAGTTTTTCAAATTTGCTGGCATATTGCGTGTAGCACTTTTACTGCATCGTCTTTTAGGATTATGAATAGCTCAGCTGGAATACTGTCACCTCCACTAACTTTGTTGTTGCTCAGACTTCCTAAGGCCCATTTGACTTCACATTCCAGGATGTCTGGCTCGAGGTCAGTGACCACCCCATCGTGGTTATCAGGGACGTTAAGCTCTTTGTTGTATAGTTCTTCTGTGTAATCTTGCCACCCCTTCTTAATCTCTTCTGCCTCGGTTAGGTCCCTGCCATTTTGGTCCTTTATCATGCCCATCTTTGCATGAAATGTTCCCTTCATATCTCCAGTTTTCTTGAAGAGATCTCTGGTCCTCCCTATTCTATTGTTTTCTTCTATTTCTTTGCACTGTTCATTTAAGAAGGCATTCTCATCTCTTCTAGCTGTTCTCTGGAATTCTGCATTCAATTGGGTGTATCTTTCTCCCTTGCCTTTCGCTTCCCTTCTTTCCTCAGCTATTTGTAAAGCTTCCTCAGACAGCCATTTTGCTTTCTTGCATTTCTTTTTCTTTGGGATGGCTTTAATTGCTACGTCTTGTACAATGTTGCGAACCTCCGTCCATAGTTCTTCAGGCACTCTGTCTATCAGATCTAATTCCTTAAATCTATTTGTCACCTCTATTGTATATTCATCAGGGATATGATTTAGGTCATACCTGAGTGGCCTAGTGCTTTTCCCTACTTTCTGCAATGTAAGCCTAAATTTTGCAACCAGAAGCTCATGATCTGAGGCACAGTCAGCTCCTGGTCTAGTTTTTACTGACTGTATAGAGCTTCTCCATCTTTGGCTACAGAGCACATAGTCAATCTGATTTCTGTGTTGACCGTCTGGGGATGTCCATGTGTAGAGTCGTCTCTTGGGTTGTTGGAAAAGAGTGTTTGCTATGACCATCGTATTCTCTTGACAGAATTCTACCAGCCTGTGCCCTGCTTCATTTTGTACTCCAAGGCCAAACTTGCCTGTTATTCCAGTTATCTTTTGGCTTCCTACTTTAGCATTCCAATCCCCCATGATGATAAGGACATCATTTTTTGGAGTTAATTCTAGAAGGTGCTGTAGGTCTTCATAGAACTGGTCAACTTCAGCCTCCAGCAGCAGTGGTTGGGGCATAGACTTGGACTGTTGAATGGTTTGCCTTGGATTCGAACTGAGATCATTCTGTCATTTTGGAGATTGTATCCCAGATTGTATTCCTTTTCCTACTCTTTTATTGACTATGAAGGCTACTCCATTTCTTCTGAGGGATTCTCGCCCACAGTAGTATACCTGATGGTCATCTGAATTAAATTCACCCATTCCTGTTCAATTGGTAGCTTACTTAATACAATTCAGTCCTTTCTGAACAATTCTACTTGCCACACATTTGCAAATTTTAAATATTCTGGATTTTGGAATGATGGCTGCTGTTTTCAACTTCTTTTAAATTTTGGGTTTCCTTCACTTGTACTGCCAAGCCATGTATTAGTACAACATGTCCTAATCAGTTTCAAAGAAGCCAGCAACAACCCCTGGATTGTTTTACAGGTTTAACTACCCAGAGTTTGTTTTAAACCACAAGTCAACTTTCTTGGAAAGTGGCTACACTGGACGGGGGAATATGCAAGCCTAAGACTTTACTCAGGGTCGTTTCTTCTCATGTACCTAGTGCTTAATCTTACTTTGGCACGGTATTCAAACTTACCCACTGTTCCTAGTTTTGCTCTGGTGGCCAACCTGTGCCTGTCCTATAGCACTTTATAAATCTACACAGAAAATTAGCATAGCATTCCTTTGACATATTAACTTTCAGTGTGCAGGGAGTATCTATAAATGGAGTTTTGTGAGCTTATACCTCTAGTTTGTAGTGGTACAACCAGGACACAGGTTTGCCTACTTTCTCAGGACTAAGTTTTTTCGTACCATAGGATGGGGCTCAAGTGTGAAGAAGCTTTGCCCTCACCTTTGCACATGCTTCGTTATTGTAACCTATTCCCATTTCTGTTTTCATTTTCTCTGCAGCTTGTGGAGTTAGAATCGCTTCCCAAAGATGTCTCTCGTTCTGCCTACACCCAGCGCATCCTGGAGATAGTCAGCAACATACGTAAGCAGAAGGAGGAGATCACAAAGGTGAAACAAAAACACCTGGGAAGTGCTTTCGCATAAGTTGTCTGTATGCTATGCATAGTAACATCAAATGAGGTGTCTGGACTGTACCATTTCAGAACGCAGGTGGGAGAAATTGCATGCTTTCAGTCCTTTCTCTAAAAGGTGCACACCCATTAGCGGCAGTTGCCCAGAATGTTATGCTATCCTTCAAGTGGGCCAAGGTGAGTTGGCTGTCCTCTACTCCTTCCTCCAGCCTGCATCCCAGTGTCTTTGCAGCAGAACCATTCTACTGTCCTTGTGCCAAATGCCGCCCCTTCTCATTGTTTGCCATTTTATTTTTCAGAGTTTCAGAAATGCACAGGTGGAGTCTCTTATTTTTTCAGAATATTATACAGTTGTCTTCATAATTTTTGCCAGTCTTTTACAAGTACAAAAATACATACAGACAGCTGTACATTATATGTCGCCTTGCCTGATCATCTTCATTTATTTCAATTCATTTCTGTATTGCCCTGTAGTCGAAGCCCTCTGGGCAGTTTACAGCAACATATAAAACACAGCAACAAAATGCAATGCAAATAACATAAAGCAACAGTGTTAAAAGAATTTAAATTTAATTTAAAATAGTTTAAAAATACATTAAAGACCCAACAAAAAGAAAAAGCACCAGGATAATCCCTGTAGGCCCCTGGATAACCAAGGAAATGTTTAAAGGCCTCTAGCACAGAGGGCTAATGCTGAAAAGATGGTAAATTTGGTGCCAGATGCCCACAGCAGTGAGGTTGTTTTATTGAGGGGCCACCACAGAAAAGGCCTTCCCACTAGTTTCTACCCTCTGAGCCTCTTCTGGGGTTAACATTCAGTGCATGTTCCCAGAGGTTGAACAAAGTGGCCAGTTAGATCAGGGTTGGGAGAGGTGCTTTGACAGGTAGTGCGGTCCTGGACCAGGTAGGGCTTTATAAGTTAAAACCAGCACCTTGAATTCAGTCTATTTTAGTAAAATAGCCAGTGTGGTGTAGTGGTTAAGAGCATGGGACTGGGACTCAGACGATCCAGGTTCGAGTCCCCGCTCAGCCATGGATCCAACAGGGTGACTTTGGGCCAGTCACAGACTCTCAGCCCAACCTACCTCACAGGGTTGTTGTTGTTGTGGGGATAAGATGGAGGAGGAGAATGATGTAAGCTGCCTTGAGCCCTTTGTAGGAAAAAGGCAGGATAAGGCAGGATATAAATCGGGGGGGGGGGGGGGGGGGGAAATAGAGGGAAAATATAATGCAAGTTTCTCCTCCATTTGGTTCCATGAAATATATGCAGATTTCTTTATATATGTAAATAGAAGGGATATATTTCTTCTCCATTTCCATGGCAGCCATATCTTTTTTAAAAAATCTCAATTTTTGCAAGTAGTTTACAAGAGACCTTTAAAGGTGGGATGGAGTAGATTGGATGTCAGCAATATGAGACTTACGTGGCCCCATTCACGCCATTACATTCCGCCACCTACTCAGGGCTTCAGCCAACTATCAAGGAGCTGCAGTAACCACAGCAATAACTTTTCCCAAAAGGAGCTGCAAAAGAATGGCAGGAGCCAACACCTCCCCTTTCTGGAGTAGCTGGATACCTGGGCAATGTTGAAAATGTGGGGAGCACAGAGAACTGTCAATTTAACACTTGAAATTCAGGGGATTACTCTGCCAGAGGGTTCAACATCCCCTTTCTTGGTGCATCTTTTCCCCCACATTTTCCTCTTCACTTGTGATTTTCAATTTGACAGCTCAACAACTGTGTGCAAATGAGCTTATATGCAGGTCCACCACACCAGTTTCCATGTATGTTACCAAATGTGCCTCATGCCCTTCAGCAGCTTAAATTTCTAAGAATATCAGCCAAACAAAACTGTGTGTTGTTGTGCGAGTATGTGTGAACTGCATGGGTGCATTTGTATGCTTGCAAAAGATCCACATTTTTTTTAAACATGAAGACATTTATGCACAGTTCTGGGGAATTTTTTTTTAAGGTGGCAAAGTAAGTTACAGTCAGTGGCATGGCAAGGAGGTTTGCCCCTCTTATTGAATGGCTTGCTGACTGCTCCCTATAACCTACAATGAAATTACTGTCCCTTGTTTAGACAATGTGACAACCTTCTGCAAAGGGAACAGCCACTAAAGCATGCAATGGGTTGTCACCATGGCTTCTTGCCTCCAAATAAGCCACCATGCAGAAAGGACCTGGATTCACATAAGATGACCAACCATGGCTAGTTGCCCTTAATGAGCTGTCATGCTGGGCAGACACAGTCACCTGTTCTGTATGTAAAGTGCCGGTATGTTGAGCTGATGTTTCTGAAGCTTTGAAGGTGCAAGGAGCTCCTTACAAGAAGGAATATATAAAATGTCTTTCTTCCACCTGCAGTCTTAAGTAGTACAGTTTGTAAAGGGATACATTACATGGGGCTTCCTGTTCATGTGCTTTGTATCTTAGGGAGTCTTCCCCTAAGGATGTCTTCACACATGTGCATTAAGTCATTTGAGGAGGAGGAGGAGGAGGAGGACTCATTACTTTTCTGTATTGCTCATACCCAAAGCTCTTGGGGCGGATCGCAACATTAAGTCACCTATCCAGATTTCTACCAGGCCCGACCCTGCTTGTCATCCAAGATTAGGTGGGATCAGACACTTCAGACAACCTTGCAGATGACTTGCAAATGTGAAATGGCTATTCTGGATCAGCCAGCAAGTGAATGCTCACCAGTACTCTGCAGTGACTGGTTCCTAAACAAAATCATTGCCATGTACATACATTTGCAAATCTGCCCCTTTGCTGTTGTTTTTAAATTGTTTGGATTCCTAAATGAAACGATACTATTTATTTGCCACTAGGAGGCAAAATGTTTCCTAGCTAGAACCTTGAACTACAGGAAATGGCATAACATTTCCTTTGCCCAGTTTCCTGCACAAAGCTAGCTAAAGTCCGTGGAGTCACACACGAGCCAGTCCTTATTACTTCTGGTCTATAACTGAACTAATCTCCCATTCTGACATCTAGTACAATGTGTAGAGCATGTTCCTCATGCAAACGCTAATGGGCAGCTACTTTGCAATCATAAAGAGTCTTAGCTAACAGTGACCTTCAGTTTTCCTTCCAGATTTTGATTGTGTGCCACTCTTGACTGTTTCCTTTCATTTTGATTCTCCTTGGGGTTATGAAGTCTGGGCTGGCAGTGTAATTCACAGTGGAACTGGCCCATATGGGAAAAAAATATTTAAGCTGTAGAACCTGTACTGAGGGCAGTGTGGCAAAGGAAGATTGCCTTCTTTTCTAGGAGGGGGCCTGTGCATATTAGGTTACTGATTCAGCGAACATCTGGGCATACACTCAAAGTCTAGCAAAGATGTATTTCTTAGTGTATCCCGTAGCAGTGGTCATCTGCGGCCTGGTAGGCCCCAGCCGCTCCCTGGCCATGCCTGTCCCCAGTGTGAGTGCTTGTCTTGAGCTCTGAAGACAGAGCAGGATGTTCCTATGCCTCTTTATAGCAGCAGTGAGCTACTTGTAGGCTACAACTCTCATTATGCCTTGCCATTGGCTATGCTGGCTAGGGCCGATGGGAGTTGTAGTCCAGAAATCTGGAGGGCCACAAATAGCCCATTCCTTCTTTACAACATTGGTGTGGTTGTTCCTCTATTTTGAATTTAGGAACTTTTTCATTTACACTTGTAAATCTGTTTAAGAGCTTTCACTTGTCTGGCTTTGATTGCTAAGCTCCTGCTGTTTTTCTTCGCTTCTCAAGATCTTGTCTGACACCAAGGAGCTCCAAAAGGAGATCAATGGTCTCACTGGGAAGCTAGACCGGACTTTTGCTGTCACTGATGAGTTGATTTTTAAGGTGAGGGCTGGGGATCAGAAGCTGAGGGGGGAAGAAAGGGACCTGTGGCTGGTTTTGCCAATGTTTTTCCATCTGTCCCATCCACATTTATTTCCATAGGATGCTAAACGCGATGAGGCTGTGAGAAAAGCATACAAGTATTTGGCAGCATTGCATGAGGTGAGATATTTTCTCTCTTTCCCCACACCCTGGCATCATATGTGTGTGTGTGTGTGTGTGTGTGTGTGTGTGTGTGTGTATTAATTAATATATTCGCACAGTATATAAATTCTTCTGGCAACCCCCTTCCAGCTGACAGTGCCTCTTTCTCCTCCTGCAGAACTGTAGTCAATTGATCCAGACTATTGAGGATACAGGCACCATTCTGCGGGAAATTCGGGACCTGGAGGAACAGGTGAGGCTGACTTGAGACTGGGTGGTAGCAGGAAGAATTTGTGGTTTTGTGGCTGAGCAGATTTCCTGTTACCTGAATAGTTCTGTCCTTACTCATGGTATTCAGGAAAAGGATTGTGATGTCAGGAGTTTCACTTGGGATCTCCCATACCATGAAGGGCTTCTTTGCTATCCCCTAAATTATGATCTCTCCTTTGTTACTGATGCAGTGCTAAACATGATGCACGTTAGTTTTATTGGTGTGGAGCTGGGGGGTGTTTATATTTTAATACTAGCTAATTTAGCAGGCAATTTCTGCTTGGCTGTACAAACAAAAATTATTTTTTATCCATTTAACACTCACTCATAATGGTGCATTTGCAGAAATCAGAAGTGGAATTGGACTTCTATTCCACCCTGGTATTTGTAGGACACCAGGGGGCTGGGATTTTTATTTCTTGGGAAAAATAGCCAAGAAACATTGGGGCAGACCACTAGCCTGAGTGCTTATACAGGCCTCTGCTAAGTCAAGAAACTGGAGGGCTGGCTTTCCCCTCCCTTTCACGTGAAAGCTGCAATGTCAGGAATCTGAATTGTTCAACTTTTTTCAGGAAGCCTGATGAGCTGATTCAGCTCAGTGGGACACAAAGCGAGTAGGAATTTTTCCAATGTAAACTATATCAAGCTTTCTTTACAAACTGCAAAACTGCCCATGTGTGTGTCCCTCCTTCCCAGATTGAGAGCGAAACCAGCAAGAAAACCCTGAGCAATCTGGAGAGGATCCTTGCTGACTACCGGGCCATGAAGCAGGAAAACACAGTGCTGCTCAGCCGTTCCAGAGAGACATGAAAGCCCATCCCCCACACAGCCACAGGGTGCTCTTGGGGCCTGCCCCTTTTTCCATTCAGACTCTGCTGTGCCTCAGACAAGGAAGGGCATGAGGAATGCCTGTCCTTCCAGGCTCTGTTTGTATTGTGGGTTGCCTAAAACTAAGCTACAGGGCAGCCTGTTTTCTGGAAAGTGGACCCTGGGAGTCTTCTTTCTGACCTAGATTGTATATCAGAGAAGCAGATGCAGGGGTGAGGTATTGTTTTCTCCATTTATTATTTCAACAAAGCAAAACAAAGCAACAATAAAATCCTTTTTCCTTTTCTTTTTTGTTAAAAAATACATGTGCTGATTGGTATGGGGTACAATGAGGTTGGGATATGTGGCTGCTTTAGACTGCACTTGTTTCCACATTCCCTGTTGCCAAATTTGAGGCCTTTGCAATATTGCTTTCTTGACTGCAAGCAGGGTCAGCTGTAGGCCGTATGTGGGTAATGCCCTCAGCACAGAAAGCCAACTTCACTATCATACACATTCTATATTCCTGCCAGGACCTCTGAAGGGGCAAGTCAACATCAGCTGCTTCAGCTCATGGTCCCTGAGGAAAGCCAAAATGGGGAGAGGACCCTGGCCTGTAGTGGACACTTCTTTCTGTTCTTGGCTGGCCTGCGCTCTCCCATTCTCCTGAAAAGCCTCCTGCTCCTTGGCTGTCCAGAACTGGATGTGGATAAGTGGAGCAATGCTTGTTCCTCTTGTTATAAAACTCAAACTCGTCCACAGTCCACACGGCTCCCTTCACATTCTCCACACGCACAAAGCATTTGTGTAAACTAAGGTTGTGTCGGATGGCATTCTGTGGATTGAGAAGAGTCTCTGAGAGGGCGGCCACTTGCTGCTAGACTTGCATTTTTCTTTACACTAACCTTCAGCCCTAACTATGATTGCCCTGCTTTAGACCTACTCCACACATAACACTAACCCATGGTTTATTTAACCCATACTCTTATTTCCTTACTGATAGATAATCAAAGAAGACCTGGTTTGTTTTGTCAATGACTAGATTGTTTTGAATCCCTTCTCATGTGCTTGCTCCCTCCCTAGATCTCAAATGACTTTCTAGTATTGTATACTGTCCTGCAGAGAAGTTGCTTTTTGAACCACTCTTGCAAGCTGCCTCTAGCCTGATGAAACCACCTACACCTTGAGTTTGCATGTAACAGCAACCAATGATTTAAACAATCCAGAGTTTATAACCCAACAATGAACTGCAGTTTACTTTTATGGTAGCATTCACATATAACCACCTAGAATTCAGAAACATGTGGGTTAAATAAACCATAGGGTTAAGCATTACAGATAAAACAGGTTATAATCTTCCTCTTTTTCACACTCTCAAATAAATTCACCTTTGAGTCCTCTTTCCCAGCTTTGTTTTATGCTTCCCATAATTGCTTGTTATTTAGCTCTGGTTAGTCAGACAAATAGTTCATTTTATTCTTGGTACAGAAATTAATATGAACATGTTTGGTTACCATTACACTGCATTCTACTGAATATAAAAGGCTTATTTTACTCTGAGGGAAGCCATTTGTGTACTTGACCAACTGCAGCCTGTCAGACCAAAAGAGGACTTTCCCAGGTACCAGTTCCCCAAGCCTTCTCTCTAGCTGGGACATCCAGATGCAAAATGGGTAGACTGCCACTGAGCCACGGCCCTTCTGCATGGCAGCTTGTGCAACACAGAATCAGATCCCTTCATCTGTGTGTTTTCTTAAGCACGGTTCTTCCGTGCGTCTGTCCCAATTTTTTCATGCTGCTTTTTCTTCTCCCTGCTACCCACTGCCCCAAGTCAGTTTTCAGTCCTGCTTCCCCAGACTGTGGTCAAAAAGCATTTCCATTCCTCAAAATATAGAAATAAAAGTACTTCATAGTTTTTTGAACTGAAGTTTGAGATTATTTCCAAAGGTTGAGATTGTAATGCAGAAATAGATACTCTACTCCTCTATCCATTTCCTTTCCTCTCCTGTTATCTCTTTCTTTCCCTGATCTCCAATGACACTTCCTTCCCCCAACCCCTAATTTCTCAGCCACCCCATATTTCCATCCTGATACCACTTCTTCACATCCCCCTTCTCAGCTCAAACCTGGGGTCCCCTCACCTTCCAGGTAGGTATGTGGTGCCTGAAGAAGCCAAAATTGTTGTTGAACCAGCAATAGATCTCATTCAAGCTGAGTTGTTTCTTGGGAGATTCTAGGATGGCCTGAAAACCATAGGCATGGATAGTTAACAGCAGCACCCTGGAGTCAAAGCAGCCTAGCTCTGCTGGTGGGTGGAACTCTTTTTGGTGAACTAACAAAGGAAATGTCTGGTTTTGCGCTTACAGTGCTAAATTGCATGCATGGGGAAGGTGCTAGGAGATGCACACAAGGCATGCATTGGAAGAACTTGGCACCCACATTGTATGGTCAATTATGCAGGCTGAATGCAGAAGAAGCCTGAAACATGGTTTTGCTTAGCAGCTGCCCTGTGCAGCCTTAGGAGAGGGCCCCGAGATCTCTTGCAGACCACAGAGAATGCTGGGCACAACTAAGTGCTTGCATGTAGTTGGAGAGCCATGTCCTAACATCCCATGTAGTCCTCCTGCAAGGGTTCCACGGGGATGTTCTTCAGCAGCATGCCTCAAGGTGCCGCTACACAAATGACCTCTTGGGTAGCTGATACGGTCATGCCTTAAGCAGTATCTGAGTTGTGGCACTTATTCTGCTCTGCTGTGCCATTCATACATGGAGATCATATGCACATGGGGAAACATGTTCTTCAGCTGCCTCTTTGCACTAAACTTGCTTTCTGCACAAGCTGATAACTGTTTAAGATAGGCATACAGAGCTTGTCCTGGTAAGGAGTGCCTTACAGTGCATTTATGCTAACTTGGCTGCAACAAATGGACACAGGTTGACAGTGACTTCACTAAGTGCAGAGAAGGAAAAGGTTTCTGGACATGGGATAGTGGTGCAGTGAGAAAGAGTAGGTGGCCATGGCATGGGGAGGGGCTTATTTCTACAGCATTCAGTCCTACCTGGAAAACAGATTTTTTTTCCAGTGAGCTGATCACAGAATAACAGAGCTGGAAGTGGCCACAAGGCCCAACCCCCCGCTGTTGCAGGAACCAAGTTACAGCATCCCACTCAGATGGCTGCCCAGTTTCTGTTTGGATGTCTCTAGTGAGGGACAGCCTACCAGCTCTCTAGGCAGCTGGTCCCACTGTCGTGTTGCTCTGATGGTGAGGAAGTTTTTCCTGATGTCCAGCCTGAATCTAGTTTGTTGCAGCTTGAGCTGATTATTCTGTGTCTTACATTCTAGCATTAGCAAGAAGAGATCTTGTCCTTCATCTTTGTGACAGCCTTTGAGGTACTTCTAGAGGGATAGCAAGTCCCCCCTCAGTCTTCTCTTCTCAAGGCCAAACATACCCAGTTAGTCTCATTCTCTCCTCCTAGGGCAGTGTTTCCAAACCCTGGATCATTTTTGTTGCCCTCCTCTGAACCCAGTGTATTTTTTCTGCATCTTTCTGAAATCTTGCTACCCAGATCATCTGTCCTATTTAAATATAGTCTTGTGCTATTTGCATGGTGCTTCATATCTGCCTTTTGCAATAACTTACCCAACCAATGAGGAAGGCATATGTGAATGGTGGACGGGTGGTGCTGTGCCTGTAATATTCGATGCTACGATTTCTCTCTGTGGTGAAAAAGAAGGTGGAAATGTTAATAGGAACAGTTCTTCATCTTCCCTGGGATCTTCTGATCCCAAGTCCTCTCTTGCTTGCAAGCCCAGTAAATAAGAGCTTGTTTGTGTTGTAAATGACCTTTTGTGAGGTCCCTCATTCTTGGAGCTGTAAAGGATGACATTGGTAACTTTTGTGACACTCTGCACATGCTTAGGAGCACTCCCTTCTAGTGGGCCTAGAAGGTGTTGCAAAGAATTTCCCTAGGTGTATAGCATGATTCAGATTTGAAGGTGCTTACTGGCTTATAACCACCATGCTAATTCAGCATGGCATCAAGCCGGACTCACATAATGAAGCTGTTTTCTGCTCATGGGCTGAGCTGCAAATGGAACTGACTCCATACATGTAGCTAGAGTGTGTTGTTCTTGTCCTCTTCATGAAAAAGGAATTTAGAACATAGGTGATCTAGAAAACAATTGATCAGGATATCTCTATAAATAGATAGGTATACCCATTCATGAAAAACAGGTACCACCAGCACACAGCACCTGCTTTCATATGAACAAGTAAGAGTAAAATGGTGGACTGCGTGCTTCCATCCTATAGGGCTGGGATCCCTCCATTGCTCTACTCATCTCTCAAAAGCAGGCACTGCCTTCAGCCTTCTCAATGCTTTGTTGGCTTCTGCAACTTTTCCCCCTACACTGGACAGATAACAGAACTACATCTTTGACCCCAAGTCCTGCAAGCTAATACCTAGGGTGCACCAATCAGTTTCTGGAGTGCCAGGATTTGGAATCCCATCCTTGAGATCACTTCTCACCTGAACTGCTCTGGCCTTCATGGTGGGTTGTGAGGTGTCTCTCACTCACAAGCTCACTCCTTGGCCCTTTGGACTGCCCTGGAAGGATTAGCCCTGTGCTTACATATGGGAACTGTGAGTGGGAGTTGGATGCCAGCTCTGCCCGCATAATGTACAGCCGCTCCTTCTCTTGTGCCAGCTGGATCATAGAGCAGAAATGAAGAGAACACGGTCAGTTTCCGGGATATAAACATTCTGTCAATCTTGCCCTTTGCTTGGGAAGTGACTGAGAGTGTCTCACATTCCATTTGGTTGTATCCTGTAAGCCCAGACTATCGATCAAGTACCAGTTCCTTTGGAGAGTGCCCAGAGAAAGCAAAATCAGCCTTTGAAGCAGTTAGTTTTTCCATTCCCCTTCCCACTTGGTCTTCAGTTCTTCTCTGTCTCGACTGTCAGCATCCAGTGGGTGCTGAGCATGCTTTGCCCTCATTTGGCTGTTTTGCTTCTCTTCTCCCTCCTCCTTTCTCCAGGCCTGCAATCTGGTGGGATTTTTTTAACTTCTGCAAATTTTAGGATTACACCAAGTCTGCTGATAACTCCCACTTGCTGCCATTTTGGCTATATAGATATCTGTACTTGGAGGAGAAAAGCAAACATGACCTTACATCTGTGTCCAAAAAACTTTTTTTTTCTTTTTCACCCTAGAGTAAGTGCATAAGGAGGCTTTTAAGATCTGGAGTGGGGGACCCTTCACCTACCCTAGAGTAATTATCTTTAAAAAATATCTGCTAGACACTGATTTAAAAGTAAAGTCCATTTTGGCCCAGAGAACAGGAATATGGGGTGCAACTTGCTGTACAGTAGTTTTGCCCAACCTGGTGCCCTCCAGTAGTTTTGGTCTTCAGCATCAGCCCCAGTCAGAAAATGGCTGACAGACAGAAATAGCCCAAAGCAAGGGCACCAGACTGGGCAGGGTGGCTCTCTAGTGCTATGTCCCCTCAACCCAGCAGAGCTGGCCCTTACCTCATCTTCCAGTTGGCGCACCAGTTCTTCTTGCATGTGCCACTTGGTATTACCCAGTCTGCGCTCCCTGCACATGCTTCTGCAAGAGACAACAGGCCGCAAGCCACCTTCAGACACACATCCTCCAGTTGTCCAGTTTTCACTTGAGACAATCCAACACGCCTGGCAAGTCTATCGCTCGCTGAAGGCAACCCTTGACATCTTAGCAGCCTCCCTGCTGATTCACACTCATGCAATACCTGGCACCAAGTCCCTGGGCAGCATTGGCTGCTTTGCAAGGCAAATGAAGCAAACTAACCGCTTTGTGGGCTCCTGAGCTGTTTTGAGCTGCAGGATAGTAAGACTCAATCCCAAGGTTCCTTTTGTCTTCTGACTTGCAAGCTGAACGTTTAAACTACTTATTTCAATTCAGCCTGCAACCCTTCCCTCTATCAACTAGATGCACAGCCAGGTTCCAAGCATTGTCAGACCTACCTTTTCCCCTGCCAAGCTGGTATTTTTCAGCTCCTTTTCTCATCCCTGAGCTGGAAAAAGCTTTCATTTCTCATAAGCAAGAACTTTCTCCTGCTGAGTGCTGAGAAAAAGAGCCTTCCTCACCATGCAGCAAGGAAAACCTCTCTGATCAGCTGCTGATCAGAAAAACGAGCTTTCCCCTATCAAGGGAGAGGAAGTGGGAGCCTAAAGAAGAGGCTGGTTGGCTGGATGGACAACTCTGTAGACTCTGAGCCTGATCAACCAATTATCTGATTTGGTATGAGGTTCCTATGTTCCATCTGTCCTAGATGCTGCCATTCCTGTTCTACAGGATAAGAGTAGTGCAGCTAGAGAGGTATGAAAACTTGTTTCTGTTTACAAAAATGCCTTGTTTGTACCCCTGCATATTTTCCAAAAATATTTATAAATTTTTGAATTTGCTTTTTAAAGATGCACAACTCTTCCCATTCAAATAAACTAAAAACAAATTCTGGTGAGCTCAAGCATCTGTTTTCCCTTCTGTAAGGCTTCTCTCTTTCTTGAACTGAGCTCATGGATTTATCCCCCTCTCCTGATTATTGAACATTACTACCTAGGGCTTCAATTCTCCTCCTTTTTCATGCAGGCTAGAAAGGAAAGTACCATTCCCTTCTACAACCAACTCGTTGAGTCACCACAACTGGTTCATGGGGCCAAAGTTATGATTTCGGGGCACAATCAAGTGGAATTAACCAACTGTGGTTTGGGCAGAGGCTGTGGCCTTCTCTGCCATGACTTTTTTCCCAACCAAATGTATGAGTGGCAAACCAAAAAAACAAAACAACCAGGGCACGATGTGGAGCTGTCTGGTGGTTACCTTTTTATTTTATCATATACATTGCTGGTATATTGTTACTACATTGCTTTTATATCTCGCCTCTTTCCCTCTTGTGAGGACCCCAAGGCAGCTCCCATAGTTCCATTTTATCCCCACAACAACAACCCTCTGAGGTAGGGTTGGGTTGAGAGAACTGTCCCAAAGTTACCCAGTGGGCTTCCCGGCCAGTGGGGACCAGAACCCAGATCTGCCAGGTGCTCAGTCCAACACTCTCACCATCACACCACACTGGTTGCACTGTTCTTGTGCAGAAAGGTAGTATAGAAATACCTTAAATAAATTATATGGAATTAACATTGCCAGCCCCTGACACTCGGAGGGCAGAGTGTGGGTCCATGAAGGTTTGGGTAGGACAAACTAGAGTCGTGTCTGCTGGGCCAGGGCAAGAACTCAGCCATGCATGGTAGCTCATGAAAATTTATGAAGATGATGGAGCAGGAAAAATGAGTTCAAGCTCTCAAGCCAGGCTTAAACCCCTTTCCACCCAGAGATTTTAATAATTCCTTTGGAGGATGCGCTTCAAATCTGAACGCAGCAGCGGGGTGGTTAACATCCAACAATTTATTTACTGAGCTATCAAAAAGATAACTCATCCTAACAACAGACCTCACTCAGGCTGCAGTTGCCCTGTGCTCCCTCTTGCTCCTACTCCTGCAACTGGGTAGCCCCGCAGCCCTACTGCCACCTTTTTTCACTTAAAAGGAACTACTTTCCCCTCTGAGCTGAGGGCAAAGCCTGAGGGTGAAGGGTGACAGAGTTTATCAGTAAAGGAGAAGGCCTAATACAACCTGGGCAGGTTTAAGTGGGATTGCTAGGCCTCTGGACCAGTTACCTGCACAGAATGGCCATGTGCCATCTTTTCTGGAGTACCTTGATCAAGTGTCCTGCACAGCAAACAGAACAGGTAGGCACATAGGTCATCTTCCACACTATAGTGAGATGTACTGTATTTCTATTTAAATTACAGTAATTATTTCTAAGTTTGCATCTATACATATAGATTAACCTATGCCAGTGTTATACAAATCACTGTATTCTCTGTCTGGGCAATACACAAGTGGCCACCCTGCTAATGTAACATCATTCTACAAACATTTCCAGACTTGGAGAAAAGCCTCAGGAATCAAACAAACTGCAGTGGGAGGTGAAAAGTCTTCTTTCTGTGTGTTGCTTTTCAAGACACCTGGTAGGGATGCTTTTGGCACACGAGACCAGTGACCAGATAACAGGTTAGCTCACCTTTCCTCGAAGCTGTGGAAGCAAGGGCTGTTGCCCACGGGTAGCCGCTTCCCTGGGGACCTGTCTCTGAAGTGGGGTGCAGTAACAGCAGCTTGCTGAGTCCAGTCTAACTTCACAGTGTTGATTCCTGAAACAAAGCCAAACCAGGAGGAGGGTGGGCAGCTGGGCAGCCATGCAAACACCCATGTCTTCCCTTTGCCTCTACTTACGAGGGGATGGAGCATGACCTGAGCCTGCAGACTGGCCTTCCTGTGGCAGTGATGACCCCGGAAAGGGCAGTAAGAGGCGTGGCTGTTGGCTGCTGTCTGTGAAGGAGGCCTGAGAGGAACCAGGAGAATGTTGAGAGAAATAACAATCAAGAGTTAGTACTCCCCCTTCTCAATGACAAGGCTCCTACAATCTTAAGCAGGACTGGCATCAAGTGTAGGCATGCCGGGGCAGCTGCCTACAACCTGCACCACAGCAGGGCCCTGTGACAAGAGCCCCTGGACCACCTCCTCCTCATCAATGAAACCTGCATGCTCCTCTGCCTCACACTCTGGTCCACTCAGTGGCAATGGAGAGGAGGAGGAGGATGGGTCAGTGTCACTGCCTCCTTGCTCTCTGGCTCTCTCTGCCTGTCAAACAAGGAAGAGGACACCAACTGGGGGGTGTCAAGGCCCCTCCATAACCACAGGTTGTTGACAGAAGCTGTTGGATTCCCCACCTCACACCCCACCTAGTAAAAATTGCCTGGCTCCTTTGTGGATTCGCTACTGGACTAGTTCTGGGATTTTACATCTGTACCCAGAGGACCCTATAGTCAAACCCCAGACAGACAGTTTCCTTCTGCTTTTCCTCTGCTAACTACTGAATCAAGGATAAGAGGGAACAGTGCAGGCTGCCCTCAGTTTGGAAGGAATGATCTTGACTAGAGGAGACCTACAACAGCAAAGTTTTGAGACTTGTTGATGACAGAAAAAGTGGAAAATCATAGCCATTTCTCCTTTTAAAATGAGCTGAACATTTTCATGTTCAGAGTGTTTTAAAGTGCTGCTTCTATGTGTTATGAATACTTTAATTAATGGAAGCCTAATTTTATCAAGGAAGATGTGTGTGTGGCGGGGGTGGGGGTGGATAAACTATGCACACATGCTAGATCTTGCTACCATCCCATAAAACCTACAATTCTGAAAGTTCTGGAATTCCAGAACTGATATATGCATCCATTTCTGGAAGGATACTCATCACCTTGAGAGAATTCCATCCTTAAAGGTGACCTAGAAATAATTTTAGAAGAATGGAGGTTCTGGCAATACCTGTTGAATCGGCACAGCTTGGCTCTGTTTGTCCTGGGAAGAAGAAGTGACGGCCTTGGGTTGGCTCAGCGCTGGTGGCGAATGTACCTGGGAAGGAGCAGGTATCATTGCAGTGTTTAGGGATGGCAGGGCCCCATTCACTGTGGGCCCTTGGCCAATCTGGTCTCGAAGGGCCTCTGAACCATCAGGGATATCAAGGGTAGGAGTGTGCCAAGGCAGAAGTCTGTTCCAAGTGGTGGGTGGGGAATGTATACAATAGGGATACAATTGGGAATTTAAATTAAATTAAATTAAAGCTCTTAATGCATTAAAGCTCTTACTGACATGAACTCAGCCTTCAGCAATGAGGCAGGGGATCCCCAAGGACTTGAGGTTGGGGGAAAGGAGTGGGGCCAGAGGAAGGGGAAGGGGCACAGCCACCTGGGAAACCACTGCAGCAGGGCTGGATCGAGCTGCCTGGCCAGAGGTTCCCCACGCTGCTACTGGGCTTGCACTGTTTTGCACTGGCAAAGACAGGTCCTACCTGCCTGGATTCAGTGCCAAGAAAGGAGGGGGAAAGACAGCAACAAGAGTTTTCTGTCTGTAGGCTTCAGCAACTGCCTGAGCAGGCCTGCCTTTGGACACTTGCCATGAGTGGGTTGGCCTCCCTGCCTTGACTGGATCCCGAGTGACTTCCTTGTTGCTTGTACGGCATGGCACGTGTCAGCACCGTCGGCCGATTCTGAGCGCCCCGTCTTGGGCTGGGCTGGAATGTGCTCTTTGGAGCCATAGAGGGGGATGGCTTGGAACCAGGCATCAAGAACTGGGAGTGTCTGGAATAAAATAATCTAATCAACTGACATTTCCACACTTTCCCCCCACAACCTTGATCTCCCAGACCTACCCAAACAGCCTCCCGGAAGGTGATTCAATTTGAATTTTGTAAATCTGCAGTGCCTTCCAGAAAAGTCTGGAAATCTAATTTGCCAGTGATGATAGTGCAGCGGGAGCAGCAACAAAAACGGGTGCAGTGGTATGCAACCAGAGACAAGTGTGTTTCCTGTTCTCTAAAAATGAATAATTTGAAGGAAGTGGTGAGTGGCTAGGAAATGGGGGAAGCAAGTGAGATGTGTCAAACCACAGGTGGCGCTAAGCTAAGCAAAGAGTTAAAAAGATAAAGTAATTAATTATTATCTGCCACACCTTGCATAGCTAATACCCTCATTTACATGGTCATGCGATATATGAAGTGGGAGGGGATGGGAAACATGTAAGAGGAGGATGGAGAGAATGTAACTCCTGAGTATCCCGGCCAATGAGGAGAAAATGGAAAGGGTTATGCAGCCGTGGAAAGCAATAAAAGACATGAATTGAGAGGAAACTATCTGGGAAGGACATTGAGTGTTACTTTGATCTTTCCCCCTTTATTGCAATAAAAAGATATTGACCTCACTCTGTGAATATTCCTATTTTGTAAAGAAAACAGGTTCTAAGATGAAAATTTTATAACAATAATCATAAGACTAACATTCAAAAGCTAATTGCATTTCCAGCATGCAAAGTGCTTAATAATTTGTAGGCCCACTTCTTTGTCTCAAGAACATGAGTAGTTCAATATTCCCAAGGCACTTGGGTCTCACTGCCTAACTTGGCCAGGTACTTCAACAACTGACAGAAATCTAGGACACACAGAGTCCAAAATCCCCGAAATATTAGGAAAAAAATGTATGTTTAGATTTTTTACAGTAAAAAAATAAATGAGCACAACTTTATTTTAACAGCAAATAGTTAACAGAATAAGGCATGCCACTCATGAAAAAAGTAAGTGCAAAGTTTTCCCCTCACAAACTCGAACCAGCTTTGAATCAAGGGCGTGGGATTATCTTTATACCGTGGGATACAAAATATGGAATATTTTAAAGACAGTTTACAAAGTTATAAAGAAAATCTCCAAACTGTGTAGCCGGTTTCTGCTCAAAGCTGATGAAAAGAAAGTGATGTCCAGATGTCATGTGCTAAAATGCTTCCACAGGGCATAGACCTCGATTCTTTCCTTTGACACCCAACTTGCATTCCTATTAGAATTTATTCCAAATTTCTTCCTTAGTTAATAAAATACTGATATTACTGATTTAAGCTCAGTGTAGCACATTCTAAAAAATGGATGAAAGTGAGCCACTGAAATGAAGTAATAACCCTGGCTGATGGGAGTTAAAATCTAAAACATGTGAAGCTTTACGTTGGAGAATGGTATGTTAGGGAAGCAGCACATTATATGTAGGAAAACATACCAAGCTTCTCCCTGTGAGGTTACTTAAAGATTAGTAACCGTTGTGCCTACCACATTAAGGCAAATGGAAAGAACAAAACCCAGGCAGCAATTTTTGCAGGAGGAAAAGTTGCTTTGGGAGAGAATGATCTAGAACAAAAGAGGTGTGTTTTTAACATGCTTGCCAGTTTTGCGCTGCAAAACACTTCCTTCTGCAGGCATTACTGACCCAATGCTCCTCTCAGAAAGGCTCATTCTCCTCAGTTAATTGGGGATTAACACTTTTCCTGAAGGCAATGCACAGCTCTGCCCTCACACATACATGCACATATGGAAAAGTCGCATCAGAGACTGACAAAATTGAAATACAGTGTTCAAATTCATGTTCAACATACATCAAAAAGCTAAGAACATTTTCTGTCAGAGAAATTCTATAAATAGAGTTTGCACTGCACTTGCAGCCTTGCTAGTCCTCATGTCTGCAGTTTGGAAGAAAGCTACCACCCACTCGAGGATGGCTACTGATCTATAAAGGAAGAGGATGGGGGAAGGGGTGGTGCTTTCTTCTGCAGGCTGTTGATCAGACTGTTGCTTTGTACCAGCCAAACTGATAGTTTTGTTTATTACTTCATATATTAAAAGGTGGCATGCATTCAGTGCTTTCTTGATTTCTATGCATTCATTATGAATGGTCTTCTGGATTTTTGTGGTCCTGGGCCACCATCTCTATTTCACTGGATGAATACCAGTGGGCTTATGGGAGGATTTTGCAAAGAAACCACAAATGAATTGGAAGTGCCACAGCTTTACTGGGAAGTGGACAGTTACCCAGTGTTGTGCTGGTATTATTTTTCACATGCAGTTGCTGTTCTTGGAGCCCATGTTAATGAATACAGTGCAATGTCTGCTGTGTTTATACTGTGATCAAGTGCTGCACACCAGTGCATAGTGTTCTAGGTGTAGGAGAAGCAGGAAGAGTTTGGCACATTGCACGTGCTTTATAGCACAAACCACAGTGCTGCAATTGCAGACTGTGTGAGATCACACTGCCATTTCAGGTTCCTCCGCCCCCCCCCCCAAGTCCACAAGATGTACGTGCACCTGCTCAGCTATGCAGAAATGCAGGTTATGTGCTAATTCACAGCCATACACCCATGCATTGAAATACATCTCCAAGGAAATGGCCCATCAGCCACCCTTTCCAGCAAAGGCTAACAGCTGTGGATTTCTTGCCTGTAAATCCCTGCCTGCCAGCTGAGTTTCAAGGTGAAGGCGGTGGGAGGAGAAGGGAGTGAGGTGCAGAGTATGTATTACAGCTTTGAACTGTAAAATACTGTTAGACAGGAGTACACATAACGCAGTAGCATATGGAAACTGCAGTCATCCTCACAAAAAACAAAATCCCAACAACCCCAAAATCATAAAGATGATCTTTGGGGAATAGGAATGATTTTGGAGGAGGAATGGCATCCGCACAACAAGTTGGGGTATGTGACATGTGCCAAATAGCCAGGCATTGCAGTATCGATAAAATTGCTAGTGTAGATTGAGGCCAACTCCCAAGGCTTCTGCAAGGGGAGGCATAGAAATGGCATAGAAATGTAATAATAATAATAATAATAATAATAATAATAATAATAATTTCTTGAGAGAGAAAAGAGATCCTTTAAGATGCTTTCAGCTATGTTGGCCTTTGTCATTTACTCCCTTGCATATGCATTTCTACGGAAACTGTATCACAGTCCAAAGCAGCCTTCCCCAACCCCCAGCATGCTATCTGGGGATGATGGGAGTTGCCCATTGGAAGAGCAGAAATATGGTCCAAATGGTTGCTAATTTTTGATTGTTAAATTACTGGCTTCCAGCTGCATTCAGGCCCCAGTGCAAGAACAGCATAGATGGTCATGGGAGAGACTTCAGATCCCAGTAATAATCATCAGAGAAGTGCACAATGCAGTTCTATTGGCTATGTTCAAGCCTAGAATCTCTTTGGCCAGCCCTGCTAGCTCTGGCATGCTTGGAGCCATAGGACTTCAACTCCTCCACCCCTCTCTGGTTAACCATGATTGATTAATTAATTGTAAGCTGTCCGTCTTGTTTTACTAGCAGTGCACTTGAGCTTCTAAAAGTACTGCATTGCACATAGAAATTGCCATTAGCTGGAAGGTAGCCTTCCTTAGCGTTGCCTTTTTTCAATGTGTCAGTCTACTCTGCAAAGGAATTAGAAAGAGAGCCTCTAGAAGAGTCGTCAATCTTTAAAGATATTAGATAAATTGCAATTTCGCCAACGGCACATCAGAACTGTACTTTAAAAAAAAAATCGTTTAGGGGATTTGTCAAGCGTATTCTGCAAAGCCTTCTGGGAGTTGTAGGCTTGCTTGCTGACTCTCCTTCTAAGGGAAATGACCGCTTGGCGGACACAGGAAACTACGCACGGCAAGCCAGGAATTGTAGTTTGCAACTGCTTCGCGTTTTGGTGATTGTCCAAATCAGAACCTCTCCTCGGTTAAAAAATAATAAATAACCTGCAACGCCCTTGCGCTGTAGAAATACGAGTTGCCGCCATATCAGCCTCTCTTGTTTATGGCTTGAGAGGAGTCGAGTTTGCAGAGATTAGTAGAGGGAAAAGCGCTCGTGTTGTAGGAGGAGATGCCGCCACCTCTTGGCTGTGCCATGAGAGATCATAACCTATCTCGACATTTGGTCGTTTTTCTTTACATTTGTATGCTGTTTGTAAAGTAGTGCATCCTAGTCTTAACTATGTTTATGTGATGTCCAACGCAAAGGAGCGTTGTTGTTAGTCGCAAAGTCGTGCCCGACTCATCATGACAACACGGACAACATTCCTCCAGGCGCAAAGGCGCATACAGTGATGATAGCACATAAAATAATGCGTTATACTTGGCGCTTGACAGAGTATCGAAACAAAATTGAAAAAGACAGATCCCTTCTCTGAGCAGCCCAGCAATCCAAATTTCAGTACTAGGAATAGAGAATCAAGGGTAGAAAAGCACTGGAAAGGTGGGGAGAATTCATTGGGGGACAAATTGGTTAAAATGGGTAGGAAAGGTAGCCTTCCCCAGCTGTTCTGGATGACAACTTTAAGCATTCCTGGCCACTGGCTATGCTGGCTGGAACTCCCAACACAACTGGAGGGCAACAGATTGCAAAACCTAATGTAAGCAAATACAGTAAATTATACTTAGGCTTAGTTTCTCAATTGGGAATGAGAATAAAAACTGCAGTCTATAGCCACTTACCTGAAAGTAAGTTTCATGAAACCAGTGCAGCTGGCTTCTGAGTAGATGTGTGTAGATCACATTGTAACAGATTATACCAAGGTTCTTGTAGAAAAAAAATAGTTTGAGGAACCATCTCAAAAGATGGGAAAACTTGTTTGATCTTCCCCAAGGGTACAAATGAGTGTGCTCTCAAAATTAAGGATT